ATATATATATATATAGATATATATATACATACACACAAATTACCAGAATGGAAAGATATTATAATTCCGAATCTGGAGTTCGAGTTATTGACGAGGGAACGACACTCTCGACGCTTCTAGTTTCTACCCGGCGTGTAAACATCGGTGCAACCGGAAGAAGGAGCAGCGTGGAGCTGCACACCATCAGAAACATTCAGTTGTTATAACAGTGTTGTCAGTTCATAACGTTTGCCTTTTTACATTATGGACAACACGACTGACGGTACGTGGAGTAGTTTACCTGTTAAACTAAACGATGGGGTTTTACAAACGTTGGAGGCGCTGACGTTCACACATATGACACCCGTACAGGTAAAAAACACTTTAAGATGTAAACCCACCTGAACATTGTCATGTTGGGTCTTTGAAGCAAACAGCAGCTTTACTCAGAATCATGTTTTCTTCCCAGTCCGCTTGTATCCCGCTGTTTATGAGCAACAAAGATGTGGCTGCCGAGGCGGTGAGTGTTCACGTCTTCCACTGTTCTCTGAACATTCAGTCCTCCCCAAAAAAACCTAAACGATGTAGTTGACAAAGTGTTCTTCTGACTGCAGTACAACACCCACGTACAATGTAATTTGTTTAGGCGTTTACTTTAATTTTCACAAGTTACTGTTTTGAAAAAAAGAAAAGCTAAACTACTGAGAGACCGAACGTCTGTCAAGTTCTGTGCCTTGTTGTGTTGTGGAGGTTACAGCTGAACTGGATTTCACTAATTATTGATGTTATTTTACTATCACAGTAAATGTAGCAACGGACAGATTAATTAAAAACAAATAATTTGTATGGTTGACTGATAACATTTATTTTTAGTTAGAAATGTTTCTACTTAACTTAATTTAAAATATATATTTCTAATAGATACACGCTAGCAACTTACTTATTATTGTTATGCTTAAATATAAGATTTTTTTAAAATCTGTATGTAAATATTGCACTTAGTAATGATCATATAAACTGTTTTGTTTCTGTAGGGCCAACACCAGACTTTTTTGCTTTTTAAAAATAGAGACTGAGCCTTTTTTTGTCGTGATCATATTTTCGTTGTGGTTGTCAACAAAATTTGATTAAACTTGATTTATTCAAAATCCAATTGTGTTCTAAAACGTTTTGGTGCCTTGTGACTGCAGGTGACAGGCAGTGGAAAGACACTTGCTTTCGTCATCCCTATCATAGAAATACTGCTGAAGAGAGAAGAAAAACTGAAGAAGATGCAGGTACAGTGACAAATACAGCGAGCACTAGTGGAGAGTTAGCGCTCTGTGACGCGGGGGAGGAGAGGGGAGGACTCTTGTTTTACTATTTTTTATTTCTTTGTAGGTTGGAGCTCTAGTAATTACTCCGACAAGAGAACTGGCCCTTCAGATCAGTGAAGTGATGGATCACTTCATCCAGAAGTTTCCACAGTTCACGTGAGTAGAAAAATGTAGGAATGTGAATATTAATTAGTAGATGACCAAAGGTTTGTTATTCCCAAAGGTCAAACCAGTCAGTCAACCCTGAATAATGGATATTAACTAAAACAACAATGAATTAAAATGAACATCAGGGCTTTATTTTCTCATCAATCAAGTGCAAAGAGAGTGTTTATCAGAATAGAAACCTCGTAGGTTTAATACACTTTTTGATCAGTTTAATTGATGTCATTGGTGGAATGTATTGTTTTTGTTTTCCAGGCAGATTTTACTGATTGGTGGATCAAATCCAATAGAGGATGTGGAGAAGTTCAAGGAACAAGGGTAGGTGGTGCTGGAAAATGACCAAACAATGACCATGCAGTTTAACAGAACAGGGTCAGACACAGTAATGCAAACATCGTCTCACTGGTGTTAAAAAAAAAGTGTGACTGATCCGAAAAACTGATTTCTTAGTCAAACCATCCTTTTGTTAGGATCATCGACTTTGTTTATAAAATGTTGGGCACATTTAAGAAAATGTTGAAATAAAAATATCATGAGATTGATATTTTACAATCAGTGCCTTCCAACAAAAGAATCCAGGGAAATTGTCATGGCATCTTGTGTGTTCCAGGGCAAACATTGTGATTGCTACACCAGGACGTCTGGAGGACATGTTCAGAAGGAAGTCAGATGGTCTGGACATGGCCAGCTGTGTCAGGAGTTTGGATGTTCTAGTTCTAGACGAGGCAGACCGACTGCTGGACATGGGCTTCGAGGCCAGGTACAGTGACAGTGGAGGGTCAGAGTGATGGACAGAAGTTCCCAGGTTCAGGGACAGTAGGGCTGCTACTAACAACTACTTTTAAGAGACTTTAATTTTCTCCTGTAATCAGACCAAAATCTACCATGAAAATAAAACTTAATTTTTTTTATTTCTCATGGCAAGAGTTTTGACATAATCTAAGACTAGATTTAATTAAAAAAAAAAAGTCACATCATTGAGCATGCATGCTTAGCACCACCTGCAGGCCAGGTGAGGGCAGTTCCACAAAATCATTACTACATTCTTGTGGTACAAGTACTGACATTTTCTTTGTGTTTGTGCAATCAGTCTGAACACCATACTGGGCTACCTCCCCAAGCAGAGACGCACAGGCCTGTTTTCAGCCACGCAGACGCAGGAGCTGGAGAAGCTGGTGCGGGCCGGCCTCAGGAACCCTGTGAGGATCACGGTCAAAGAGAAGGGCGTGGCCGCCACCGCCGCTGCCCAGAAGACCCCGTCGAGACTCTCTAATTACTACACTGTGAGCGTGCTCAGCTGTTTGATACAAGAGCAAGTAAAACTGAAACAAAAAAAGTACAGACTCAGAAAGTTGCATCTTTGCAGATATGTCGATCTGAGGACAAGTTCAACCACCTGGTGGCCTTTCTGAGGCAACACAAGCACGAGAAGCAACTGGTGTTTTTCAGGTAAGTTACCCTGGATCAACTCGTGCATTTCATTGAGTCAGTGTTATTTTGTATATCTGAACTCAGATAGAAAAGAAGGCTTAATATCAGTATCGGGAGATACTTCAAGTTGCAAAAAAAAAAAAAAATCACACTAAAAAATCATTTCTTTCCTTTCTACTAAAATAAATGATCATGTTTGTCTGTTGGCTTCTTCTGTAGGGTTAACCCTGTACTGTAGTGCAGCTACTCTTTTGGTCACTGAATGGTCATCAAATGTTGTGACGTGACCATCAAAACTAAGTTAATCGCTAAAATGTGTAGTTTGTTTCTGTTGGTGCCTGTGAGAAACCAGCGGCCAGTCTGTAGTAACTCCAGTCTCGTCTCTCCTCTCGTCAGCACCTGTGCCTGTGTGGAATATTACGGCCGAGCTCTGGAGACGCTCATCAAAAAGGTGACCGTCTGCTGCATACACGGCAAGATGAAACAAAAACGCAACAAGATTTTTGCCGACTTTCGAGCCTTGAAAAGGTGAAAATAAACTTGTGTCTGTTTGAACGCTCATTCTGGATGTGTGTGTTTGACATCACACCTGTGTATCGTGTGTTTTACCACAGTGGGATCTTGGTGTGCACAGATGTCATGGCCCGAGGCATTGACATCCCTGATGTGAACTGGGTTCTACAGTATGATCCTCCCAGCAGCGCCACGTGAGTTTAATGTCCAGCTAATTTCATCAATATTTATTTAGTAAATAATAATGTCAAAGTGCTTTAAAAACTTTTTTTTTCCTCAGTGCTTTTGTCCACCGCTGTGGACGCACGGCCCGTATCGGTAATCAGGGCAACGCCCTCGTCTTCCTGCTGCCTATGGAGGAGACCTATGTTAACTTTTTGTCCATCAACCAGAAAGTGAGTTATTTTTTCTTTGTACATCAATCACGAAGTCAGTCATTAGTCTCGTCCATCATCTTGTTACATCATCAATCGATGATCAGTGATAGAAACAGTTTTGTAAAGCTGAATTTCAGCCTCATCAGTCCCCGATATGTAGAATCAAGAAATCACAGACTAAAAAAAAAAGAAATCTTTCAAAATAAATACTGTACGACCAAGTCAAGAGAACTCACAAAACAACACATGGTGCTCCCATCAGGAACAGATGAGAACCCCCAGTCCTTGACTCTCTGTCAGGCTGCAGAACTTCAGTGAACAACATAAAAATTGTGGTGAAGTTTTCTTCCAGAAGTCTCCAACTTCTCAAAGTTACTCAAAGAACCCAGCTCTACAGCTCAGCAGGCCTGACACGTTCATGGTTCAACATAAATGACCTGTATTTATATGGCAGCTTTCTACTCCATCACTACTCAAACAATTTGGGTGTAATACTGAGCTACAGTCAGAACAACAATAACATGCATTTAAGATACGATTGAGAAATGTCTGTATATTAATTTTTTCATCATTGTCTTAGAACTTTTTGACTGTTCTCTTCTTGCCATATTCAGTGTCCGCTCCAGAGAATGTCCCCCATCAGTGATGTCGTGGATGTGCTCGACAAAGTGAAGGCCATGTCTGTAGCGGACCGTGCCATGTTTGAACGAGGCACGAGGGCCTTCGTCTCCTTTGTCCAGGCGTACGCTAAACACGAATGCCGTCTCATCTTTAGGATCAAAGGTAAAAGAAAACAGATTTTAAGTTATAACCTGTTGGCATATATGGAATTTATACTGAGTCCCATGTTATTGTCTAGACCTGGACTTTGCCTCCCTGGCTCGGGGGTTCGCCCTACTTCGCCTGCCCAGAATGCCTGAACTAAAAGGGAAAACATTCCCAAATTTCATCGAGACACACATGGACACCGACACCATTCGCTACAAGGACAAGAACAGAGAGAAACAACGGCAGAAGATTCTGAAAGAGAAGAAGGAGACTCCTCTACAGAAAAAGAATTTCACAAGGAACAAATCCTGGTCCAAACAGAGAGACAGGAAAGACCGCAAGAAAAGAAGGTCAGAGAAGAGGAAGCATGACGAGGTACTGAACTTTCTTCTGACCTTTTTATGGTTTATTCTAACCACAGTGAAGCCAAGGGACAGATTTGATTTCTACGTTTTGTCTGTTTTTCATCTGCAGGGCTCTGACGTGGACGATGACGACATACAGGAGCTTTTAAGTGACACGCGACTCCTGAAGAAACTGAAGAAAGGCCGAATCACAGAGGAGGACTTCGAGAAACAAATAGCAAAGTCAAAACATAAAACACCAACGACTGCCGGCTCTGATGAAGAGCGTGTTTGATGAAAACTCTGTGGGACTCCTGAGAAGAAAAAAAACTCTGACCTTTTATAGTTTTTTTTTACTTACATTTTAATTTTCATTAAGAACTGAGAGTCGGGGTCATAAATAAAGCTTGATGAGTTCGTCGCTGACGGCTGATGGGGTGAGGACACCCAGGTCAGTGAAGAGGAGGGTGATGAGGGAGGGAGGTGTGTAATCAATCATAGGATGCTCATCAGATAGGTTCTTTATGTTCTTCAGTGTGTCAGCTTTGTACTGTAAAAGAAAAGAAAACATTAAACGTTGTCCAAAAGCCATTTTAAAAAAGAATATACAAAGGACTAATTTTTATCCTTGTCTCTGAAAGACTTACAGTTCAAATCACTATTTCCACCAAATCCTCTAAAAGCCTGGCAAAGACCACACAGTCAAAGCAGACACTTCTGTTACCACAGCTCACAGGCCATTGTCCATGTCTTCAGTCTTACCTTAAATTTATCTGGCACGTCCTGTTGGTTGAGTGGATACAGGCGAACAAATTTAAAACTCTCTGCCACCACATAGAAGGGTTTGTTGTGAGCTTTGGAGCACAGTGCCATCTGGTAAGTGCCAATCTGTAGGAACCAAGGTGAAGCGTTAAGGTCTGGACACACACCGTCTCACACATGATAAATAACAGACACCAGTGGACTGCAGCAGAGGTACCAGGAAATTACTTTTTTTATTATGTACTTAAGGAAAGAGGCTTCCTGTAATTTAGTCCTAAGAACATCTGTCTCTGCCCAAATACTCCACTGCAATACCCACGTTTTCCCAATAGATGGCGTAGAAAATGCTAAAAACATTTTTGTGCTAAAAATGGAATTAGTTATTTCTGATTTCAACTTCTGTGTCATTCACCTTGTTGATGATTCCTCCACTTTCTACAACTCCCTCTGCACCAACAATGACCAGGTCCACCTTCTCCAGGACGTACCTGTGAGAAAATGACAGAAACAATAACGATAAGTATGTGATGGTGTCAGTGTATGGGGCTGATGGACAGACAGACGCAGCGATCACCCACCCCACAGCTGCATCCAGGACCACCGTCACTGGAACGTTCAGTTTCCTCAGAGCTTCTGCCATCTGTCGCCTGAATGGAGACGTTTGAAAATGGAACCAAATTAGCAGATTCAATGAGTGTGTGTCCAAACAGGATGGAACTGGAACACAGAGTATTATCACTATTCACACACCCGGCTGAGTCAGGCTGCGATTCAGTCACATAGACAGAGAAGCGTTTCTTTTCCGCTGCAGCTTTTTCCAGCACTCTGAGAACAACTCTGGAGTAAGAGTGGGTCAGGATTTTCTGGAAGATAAAGATTTGAGGACACGGCATTAATATACTGCAGGAAATGATGGCAAATGACAAGATCTGGCAAGAAGAAAGATATTACTGAAGAATAATATTCCTAAAGAATTATTTTTAAAAACTCAAATAAAATATAAAACCTCCCAACACCTGATCAATATATACAATAAACCTGTCAACGCTGATGGAGACGCCTGAGAGACATATTTCACCATGCTTACATTTTTTAAAAACCACACACCTTTACAGAAAAAATATCACATCTGTCTTAGAACTTTCTGACCTCTGCCACATAACTATCCTCTTTAAGGAAGAGTGTACCTACAGCGCCATCTTTAATAAAAGTGTGACACAGCTTGGCCACCTTGGTCCTGGACATTGAAATCTTCTCCAGGAACAGTTCTCCTCTTTCTTCCATTACCTTCTTACAACGTGACAGATCCTAGAAGAAAAAAAATTAACGTTAACAGTCGGCTCTCTACGGTTCACTTCTGAGGTTTGATTATTCGCTGACACAGACAGGAGGTATAAAATAAAATATAAAAGATGTATCTAGCTGCAATAAACATTTTTGGAAAAAAAAAGCTTAAATTTGGCTCTGAGGTTTGATTATTCGCTGACACAGGCAGAAGATATAAAATAATTCACAGATGTATCTAGCTGCAAAAAAACATTTTTGAAAAAAAAAGAGCTTAAATTTGGTATGTTTATAAATTAGAACAAAGTTAAATCATTCCCAAAAGCTTGGTTTGTAGGAGGACTTCACTTACCTCGTGCTCCAGTGATGTGAGGCTTATGAAGCGCAGGAACAGCTCCCCCCCTGACGACACGGCCACAGACGAGTCCACTCCTGTCAGTCGGTCTGTGGCCGACGTCAGACTCTCTCTCAGGCCCAAGATGGTTTCACCTTAAAGAAGGACGTAGAGAACTCAGAACACGGCTGACCAAAGAAGCCCGAGATACAAAAGCTGCTTTTAGACACAAACCGATGTTGAGACAGTTCAACAAGGATCTCCAAATCACTCACTAACTACTAGCAGTAAGTTTTAGGGACAATTATAGATACTTTTGAGAAAGCTTTTCTCAAACAACCGGCGATCCCTGACCTTAATCCACTCTGAGTCATTTTAAATATGTCACCATATCTCCTGTAACAGGATGTCGAGTTCTACGTCCTTCATACATGAACATGTGACTAAGGAGAACACTGACAGAACATCCAGATACTCACAGCTTATCTCATCTGTAAAGCTTTTTTTTTAATTTTGTGCCTGAATACTGCGGCTTGGCCTGAGTTTACCTTTGTCTCGCTTGAGGAATTCCAGTAGCGTGCGAATAGCAGCCACAGCCGAGGCGATGTCTGGATCTTTCCTCATCTGAGCTCTGAAGTACTCCACCAGCTCTGATCAGGAGAGGAAGGTTGGTTAGGAAACATGCATCTGTGTCCAGTAAAGGAAATGTGAACTTGAAATAATAACTGATGGTCTCTATATCAATCAGTTTGATAGCAAATGGTATTTTACCCCAAAGTTTCTGAAGGTTGGTATTAAGGTGCATACAAAAACACTGTATTTAGCTTTTGGTCGTTTTCTATATTTTCTCAACTTGATCAATTATGACAAAATTATACACATAATTACTTTACTTCAGATTCAATTACGGTCCGTCTCTGAATTCCACAGTGTATTTGAGGTATATTAAACAAGTGTGTGTAGAATGTTCAGCAGTCAAACAGTTAGTGAAACAGTGTTGGTGACTGTGGAGCTCAGTCTGATGCAACACAAGACATGTAGTGACAGACGTGAACACTAACAGCAATTAAATGTGAATTTAAACTACACCAAACCTAAAAGCAGAAGCAGAGTCTGGTTATAACAAATGACAACAAACGGTATATTACATGACAAGACCAAAGAAAGTCCTCACCTTCTTCATCCATGATTTAACACGCAGTCCCACAGGTGCAGCTTTCTGTTGCAAATGACCGATGTTACTTTATGCTAATTTTTCTTTCACTTTTGGTCACAACTCGAGTTAAAACAAACTTCTGGAATCACAGGTATAAAAAATGTAAACAGTCTGCAGACAGTTTGTTGATTACCTAAACTAGCAGCATTAGCTTTTGAAGACGTGCTGAGTTGACGTGTCGCGAGGAGATGACGACACCGGAATGGTGCGTTTGTGTGATGTCGGGAGACTAAAAATCGCAAGCGCAGCAGGGTTTATATTATGAAAACGCATTTCCCCCCTCGAAGTTCTTGTCCAATGTGTCCTATAAAAAATATGTAACAACTTTCTGAGGATTAGATTAGGGAGACTGCGAGTACAAAATAACTAATATTTTATAAATCCAAAACTGAATCAAAATAAATGAGAATTAAAATGTATTGAATTGGAAAGCCCTCATTGTCTCTCTCCAACTGTCTGTAGCGTGTAATTTCTTGTAATTTTATATTTTATTGGTATTATAATAAAAATATATTAAACCCTTTTGCACTTAATCTAACTAGCATTTGCTGAACATAGGGAGAAAATGTTCAATTTAGCCTGCTAGCCTGCCTGCCTGCCTAAAAACGTTACAAACAAAAGTTTGTTGTTTATCTAACACCAATGTTAGTTTTTATTGCAAGTGATCAATGCCTGCTAAATGTATTTAGTGTATATGTAAACGAAAGTTTGTTTAAAGCATCTTTTTAGCATCTGAAAAGTATTGTAATGTAATCTAAATAGGGTCGAGGACCTGCTTTTGGCTTGGTTTGGCTACAGCCTTCACAAAGTCTAGCCTTATAATGCATGTGGTCAATCCAATCAGTTTGCTATTAAGGAAATGAGAAAGATGTCAGAACATCAAAGATACAGACTGACCTCACTTCCTTTAACGTGAGTCACCACAGTTCTTGGAAGGGTTTATCTTCTTCACATAGAAATTAAATGTTATAAATAACCCTTTAATGTGTCGCGTACACTGTTGAAACATGAAGTCGAGGACATGATCGGCCCGATATGAAGTACCATGTGGTACCGTTGCACTCAAAGCATGAAACAGGACTTTTAAATATTCACTCAGCACCACCTGCAGGTTAGAGAGGGGAACTCTTCACAGTCAACTTCATGGACAAACACACGATTCTATTTTTATTCAGTAAAACTACACAAGTGTTAATAAACTTGGTCTAAAGCTGTTTGAAAGACAGCAGTCTAATTTGCAGTGAAAAGAAAAGCGACGACAGGGATCAGCTGAACAATTAAAAATATCACTTATCTATCTATTTATCTATCTGTCTATCTATCTATCTATCTATCTATCTATTTATCTATCTATCTATCTGTCTAGCTATCTATCTATCTATTTATCTATCTATCTCTAATTTAGAGTTATGGTTTGTAGGTGTAACTTTGGCCGGCTGTACGCTACAGTGATCCCACTCTGGACTTTTGTTTTCCTCCGCTGCGGGGACCTTACAGACTGCTATCAGACGCTTTTGTTCTATCACACACATACAAAGCGCAGCTGCAGCCGTGCACTCCCTCCCCCCGCCCCCGCCCTCACTGCTCCACTGGTCTCTACTGGTGTGCGCATGCGCAGTGGCTCTCCTGTGCGCTCTACTGTTTGCATTGTGTCTGAACTGCCGGCGAGCTTTCAAAATATTATAACCACCGCGGCAATGTCGGGCAGGTCGGTCCGCGCCGAGACCCGGAGCAGGGCGAAGGATGACATCAAGCGGGTCATGGCCGCTATTGAGAAAGTACGAAAATGGTAAGAGGACAAAGAGAAAGCGGCAGGCTCGGTTATCTAACACGAGAAAAAGGGCTTCGCTTGTTGGGGGAGGAGAGGGAGCGAGACGGAGTGAGGGATGGAAGTGAAAGAAATTAAAGGACGGGGTTTTTGGAATAGCAGATGTACTTGCGGCTCAGGTGCATCGGGGCGCACTAGTGCGGCTCTCTGTCTGAGGCGCTGCTGTTACACATGGAGCCGGCGTCTTCTCTCTCTCCGCTTCTCTCGCAGATTTTAACGGCAAGGGTTGAACCCAGAAGCCATTTCGATGCAGTCACATGAAGCCATTGCTGCCGCCGAGCTGTGAGCGGCGGCGGCTTTAGGACAGATAGGGCCAATGAAAGTGTGGAGTGTGAGAGAATTCGACGACAGCGCGGAGGAGTCGGAGCACTTTAGTCCGTGTGGAGTTTTAAATGAAGCGCTTTGAGTCGCCCTTTCGCTCTGATAGAGGAGAGGACACGGCGGTGGGGGTTGGGAGAGGGAAGTAGGCTACAGTAGTTGCATGGCTGCTGAACACGTACACTCGGTGAACGTGAAGAACAAGAACCAAGAATTTGAAATTAACTTTGAACCACGGACACGTTAACAACTCCATTATTACCAGCGTATATTGTTTTCTCGATAGAGACCTTCAACCGGGTCCAACGTTTAAATTAAACGCCATGGCGTCAAGATTATTACAAGTGGGTATTACAGTCAAATAAAGTTAAATATAACAATGAAATGTGAAATACGACTCGCATCAATCGAAAGGGGAATTTATATCGGATTTTGTTTGTTTTGGTCTTGAAATGTTTGAGTTTTTTCTTTTTAATTTCGATTGTTGTAATTTGGACGTTAGCTTCGAGTCACCCAGTAATAGCTGCAGTACTAACCTGCTGTTCGCCATCACAAAGAGGCGACAAAAGGATGATAAGCTACAATATTTGAAACAAACCGCATTTCTTCTTAGAGAAATACGTGTCATTTTGGTTGAAATGTGCTACAAGATATCATTTATTTTAATAAAATGTTCACACAAGACAACATCCTGTGCGTTAAAGTTACGTTTGCTAAAACTATTCATAACTTCCAAGTTACAGTAGATACTGTAGGAGTTTTACTTTTTTCAGAGTTCCGTAATCAGAAAGTAAACGTTACTTAATATCTAATTTTTTATTTTCTAAACACAATTGTATTAAATAAATAATTATATTATATTAATTATTTAGATATTTATTTTACCACCGTAGTAATAAAATATATATTTTTAAATAAGTTAGGAATTATTTTAATACTGTCATCATTCACTTTGTTCATCTAGTTGTAGATAAGGAAGTAAAAGATCATCTATGATTGTATGCAAAGTTTAAAGTATAATGAAAGTTTTATTTTTAAATGTAGTCGTACAGCTACTACCAACACAATAAATTTCCACCTAATGAGGAGACATTGGACGCCATTTGTCCCATGAGGTAATGTGTAATATTACACATATAAAGACTGATTAATTATTACAAAAAAGAAAAAAAATCTGTTCTTCTGTTTTCTTTTTACAATTTGTAGACAGACAACCGGTAAATGGAGACATTACCTAAAAAAAAATACAGTTTTAGACCTGAGAATTTAGCCATCATATCCTCGCTTTTAAATAGTCTCGTGTGTACTTTCCTGCTAGAAATGTTCTGTAGAATAAAGGCAGCGCTCTGTGGCAGACTGCAGCGTTCAGGTTTTGATTTACATAATTTCCGAGGCGCTTTGATTGGCTTGCAATGTATTTTACCCCAGAGGCTTTCAGTCATCGTTTTTCATTATTATTCTCATACACAGGGAGAAGAAATGGGTGACTGTCGGAGACACATCTCTTCGCATCTATAAGTGGGTGCCGGTGACAGAACCCAAATCAGATGATGTGAGTTCAGCCTTTACTGTTACATAGACGTTTAACCACAGAATGTTAGAATTTGAAATTTGGTTATAGCGACAGACTGTACTCTCCTGCTGCTGTGGATGTTCTTTCATGAGTCTTCAACAAATGCTGAAGCAGATAAAGCTGAAACAAGAAGCCAGTTCAACCACTGGCAACAATATAGAATATTCAACTTTGTGTTATGGTTGATCAGTTCGTAGGTATTTAAAGTTTTAAGTTTTTTGTGATTAAATAAAGAATGGTTTTAAATGCAATGTTAACATGCTTTCATTTTAGAAGAACAAGAACAAAAAGAAGGGCAAAGATGAGAAATATGGCTCCGAGCTGACGACTCCAGAAAACAGCTCCTCTCCCGGCATGATGGACATGCATGGTACGTACTGAGGAATTCTACATTTATTTTTAAGTCAGTCTGCTGAGAAGACCAAGGCTGCCACTGTTGCCGTCTTCCCTCCTGAGTCTTTCTCTCCGACTGTGTTTTCTTGCTTGTTTGGCTTAAAGTCATTTGTCTCACTGACAAAACATGAAAGATCAGTTTTTATGAACCTCGACTGTAAAATGCAGTTGGTTTAAAGAAAAGAAGTGAGTCATGCTCAGAGAGGAACACGTTGCCCCGTGGAACAGTACGACTCGTGATTATTTTTTATGTCCGTCTTCAACGCTGAAGATCAAATAATTAAGTCGACGTTAGAGATGCAATCATCTCAGGTCACTGCCTGATTAGAAATGGAAAAGTCACACTCTTCCCCTTCAAACGCAAAGGCAAGGTTTAGAGAACGGTATGAAAGATTCCATTCTGATTAAACACAGATTATACTGTAGTTCTAGGAGTAAATATGTACAGCACTTAACGTGGTGATTCTTTATTCCATTCATCTAGAAATGGAAATGTGTTCAGTGCAAGTTTTTTTTTTTTCCACGTGCCAACATCAATAACAGAAGACATAATGACACAGCCAGTCAAAAAGTGATCGAACAAATGCTAGAAATCAAACTGTTTCCAATATTTACATATATTTTTAAAAAAAGGTTCGGACACTATTGTCTCCAACACTTGACCTGTTTGTCCATCTTCGTTAAGTTTGTAACTGTGTTACATTTTTTCTGATCTACTGTTAAAAAACTATTTTGTTGAATTTCTTTTTCCATTTCCTGAATCTTCTGTGACCGTCAGATTAGTTGTGACATTTTAATTAAAAGCCTTGCATCGGTGTAATTGTGTGTCTGATGACCACTCTACGAGCGACCAAAGTCTCTTTCTGTTTTCAGACGACAACAGCAACCAGAGCTCCATCGCAGACTCTTCCCCTGTGAAACAGGAAAACAGCTGTAGCACCAGCCCAGCCCCTGAGCCTGCCGCCTTGTCTCACCGCGACAACACGGAGACCAAAACAACGGGCCAGAGTCCAGACAGTAAGAGGGGTCAGTCCCACAAGAAACATCGATAGTCTTTTAATTAGTCACTACATAAGGTCGCCGTCTTCTAGGGACTATGGATTCAAATGTGTTTCCCAGTCAGTCTGACCTGAGCTGCAGGTTTTCTAGTTTTACAATCTTTACTTCTGGCCTCTACTTGTGGCGTTTGTAAAAAATAAATAAATAAATAAAAGTTGTATTGAGACCAGTGATAGTTACAGTGCATGAGAGAGAGAAATGGTGGTATTTTAAAGTCACGTACGACCACAGCAGATTCTGGTTTTCGGAACTACAGCTTAGTATGAAATTTGTCCTTATTCTGTCAATAAGTGGCTGAATAACCGATAATGATTTATGTCAAACTAATCATTAAACTCTGTCAAAATAGTTTACATGAGAAAACTACCATTTAGTGAAGGTTAGGTTGAAATCGGACACATTTGGATGCTTTTGTGATTTTTTTTTTGTGTGAGACGTCAGTGTCATTTGTCACATGATGGTTTTAGATTTAAGTTTATATTTTACGTTCCAGCTGTAAATTCAATCTCATCAGAGAGTTCCACTGAAATCCAAGCAGTGCAGTGATTAAAGTCTGGAAAATCAGCATGTAGACGACACACTTGGGAGTCCCTGTTGTCTTTTCTCATTATAAGTTGAGAAAGGAAACTTCTAGTTAAATGGTTCTAACTTAATATGCAGTTACAGTGTATTGCCACACTGTGTCATCACAGCTTGAGGTAAAGCCAGAACGTTATTAAAGTGTCAGTGGTTGTTCTTAGGTCTGTCGGGTTCTGAGCAGGTTTACTCCAAAAGTACGAGGTGTTTTGATCAGAATGAAGAATTGCTGTGACAGAGCAATAATGTAAATGCAGTTGTTGTTCCACAGAGATAGATAGATAGATATATCTATATCTATATATATATATATGTAGATATATATATCTATATATATATATATATATATATATATACTGTAGGTATGTTCACATTAAACAATGTGACTGTACCTTCAGGTCTGAACAGCTGTGACAGTGTGAAACTAAGACAAATGCTCATCTTTTAACCTGCTGTTGTTTTCCTGTCTTCAGGTAAGAGCATCACTTCATCAGAGACCTCAGAGCGAGCACAAAGTGCCAAGAGAGACAGTCTGTCCTTAGGGGACAAAGACTCATCAGACAGCAAAGCCACTCAGGTAGAAACGCATGCAGTAAATGTTGGTCACAGATAGAATCATCAGCGACAATAAGTATCACAAGAACCCCCATATACTGTATGTGTGTGTGTGCATGTATACACATAGTACATATGTATATACTGTATATGCAGTACATATATATTCTCAAATCTAATACACATTTAATTTCCTCTTTAAATTTCTCTCATACAGTATCAATGAATAAAAAAAACCCGCTGAGTCAGAACAGCTCTATACACAGCACAAAATTGGGTCCATCGAGGATTGAAAGCTGTGAAATGGGTTGAATTTTAATTTTTTTCTAATCTTTATCCAAAGTCTTATATCAGTTAGGTTAGTTTGGGTCTATGGGCTGCACAGAATGGGTTTGGTCAGGACTAGGCTCCAAATGTAAATAATCTGGCTGGTGCAGTTGTGGGAGTTCAGTCAGAAATATGAAGGTTGAGTGTCATCAGGAAGAGTAACCAGCGTAATAATAATAATAATTCCATATTGTAATGTCTGGTGACCCCTGCTGACGAACCAGACAGTGAGGGACTATAAGGAGACGGCCGTGTGTTCAGTGTCTGTAATAAGTCAGTGATTTCTAATGCAACTTCTTTGTTTTTATCACAGGACCTAAAGGGGGAGGGCCCACCCACCAAGAAGAGCAAACTGGAGTCTTAGGGCCGTGAGGAGAGTTAGGCGAGTGGGCCTGACTCCTCTCTGTCCCTCACTCCTCACTCCTCACTCCTTTGCTCTCACCTAACCTCCTTCCATTAACTCTTATTTAGGGCTAATGGACACACGCCGACTCTTCTCCTCCTTCTTCTTCTGCCCCCCTTTCTACCCAGACTCCTCAGTACTAAGGGAAGAATGGACGTTTCTTCCTCCCTCACTTCCTTCCACCCAATGCTCCGCCCCCTCTTCACCTCCTTCTCCTGCAGTTTGCCACCTTGACCCCAAACACTCCTCTGCCACAGAGGGAGAATGGATATTACCTCTATTCACTGCCCCCCCCCCCCCCCCCCTCCGGGCTTCCTTCCAGTTCTCCACACCTTTTCACTAATGCCAAGAGAAGCTCTGAAGCCAGACTGCAATCCCCTCTGTGACCAGGGGTAGCGCTGTTGGCCCAGTCCAGCCACCGCCAGGCCAGGCCACAAACCCTGACCTGCATCTGTGACTAAAAGAGTTAACACTGGAGACCTGAGGTTAGGATCAGGTTGAACCCAGACGCTGCTCTGAGACCACGTTTTACTGCTAATGGTTTAGCTCAGGATAAGTGCAGAGGCTAACCAGGTCTCAGGTCAGAGGCTGGGCACTGACCACTCCACCTCAGTCCTCCTAGATCGCCTCCTGTTAGACTAATGTTCTATATTTGTTTAGGTAATGTCTAGGGTTTTTGTTCTCAGGAGGGTCAATGCACTGTTATGGTATGTCACAATCGATCACAGATAGATTTGCTGCTGTAGTGGAAGTCCTTTTATCTCTATCCATGAAAACATCTCCATTCACAAGTTCTAAGAACAGGAGGTGACCTTGTAGCAGAGGAGAACATGGTACTAGTCAAAAAGAACACACACACACACACACACACTCTAGGACAAGTAGTAAGGACGGGCAGAGCTAGCAGGGGTCCTAATACTGTGCCTTGAGTCAAATCGGTTTCATATCTTGGTGCCATGTTATTTTCCCCTCATCACTTCTGTCTGACATTTACATCAATCACAACAGTTACAGTCACTTTTAAAGGAATAGTTCTCTTGCTAAGGAGACAACAACGGTGACAAAAGCATTATTAAAACTAATGGTTGAAAAACACAGTGTACTGGTAACCTAGTATTAACAGTACTACTGATTGGGGAAATGGTTAGTTTGGATCCAACAGAACCAATTTTTTACTTTTTTAAGATCTCCAAAATATTAATTGGATATTATTTAGTGAATTTTCTTTTTTCCTTGCAGATCCAGATTTGCTATTTTCCCTTTTCTTTCCTAAATGCTAAACTAATAAGATTACTGTACAGACGTGAGTCCTCCTCAGTCTGAAGAGTTGGTAACTGAAAACTGAGTAATGTAGTTACAGAGTACGAGTTTTGGAGTATTCCTTGCCACTGGTCTGTGTTTACTTTAGGGCAGCACCTCGTTGGTTGTTTTTCCTCCAGTCTACGGTAGAAACAGACCAGGTTCTGATAGATTTGGTGACGTCAGATGGGACTGGACGGGTCGGGTGTAACGGGGGTGAGGGGTAGTCGTTCTAGGACAAAAAGTGAAATCTGCGGCTGCATTGTTTAGAGCTGTTTGACTGAGAGCATGCTTTAAAAAAAAAAAAAAAGTAAATTCAGCATTCATTGAACAAATGCCTTGACTGACAGTGACAAACAAGAAAATGGAACGGTTTAAACGGTTTCTTGTAAACACGCCACTCTGCGTCCCTCTGCCGTCACCACTCTCTTCTCTGTTCATGTTCTGCTTAACTTCTGACGGCCTCTGACCTCAGGGACCAGTGTTGAGGTTTGAATATCCTTCTCCAACATGCTGTCTGTTGTCTAAATCCACACACGTGTGCTGTCAACATCCTGGTTCGTTGTACAGCCTTGAACTTTATCACACAGGTCCAGACCTATGACCTCTGGTGCACCAACTCACACATGAGCCTGGATTCATTCATACATAACCTACGTTTTTCTTTTGGCATACGTAGATCGAAATCACCTTATTCACTACCAACTGATAAATTCACAACACAACAGGGGCTACGGAAAAGGTCATGACACGGAATTACTTGATCCCATATCAGCATATCAGCATTCACGTGGAGGGAGAGAAAGGAAATTTAAAAAAAAAAAAGATAAGCGTCTCAAGTCTCGAGGATGGATTAGCATATACCTCATTCCCAGTCCAGCAGCGCTGGAACTTAAAAATGCTATTGTATTGACATTAACAGTTATAAACGACGTTACGTAGACTCAGTTTAAGAAAAAGAAATCTCACTTATGTTGTAGCTCTCACCTGATCGAGCTGATCGCTTATAGTTTGCTCATAACTGTGTGCAAGGAAAAGAAAGCTGTGAGATATAAAATCTTGTATGGTGTTTTTTTTTTTTTTTCATGGGACCATTTTGTTTCACTTTAGATCTTGTACAGATTTATGGTTTGGTTTTTTTGACTTATTTATTCCATCAGTAGTGCTTGGTTTTTATCATGTCCAATGGTTTTGTTTTCTTAATAAAAGTCATAAAATGTATCAGTGTTTTATTGATTTCTTATTGTCGTGACTGTTGATCATCAGACCACTTCAGACGATTGAAGGCGACAAACACGAGACAAGAGGCCCGTTTGCTCTTATTACTTCATTTGGACTGGTCAAGATACAGTACAGAGAAAACAGTGACATTTTACACATCACGTCCAGATCTGTCGAATGGCCGAACCATTTCCACAGACAGCACCTGAATGGTTACATATATAAAACGCACTAATAATTAGACATACCACGTGTACAGCACACGACAGTTCATCGTCATAAAGAGCTTCTGTTTGAAAAGCTCTTTGTACACAACGTCAGTCTGAGCAACGGGGCAAAAAAATATCTAGTGGACATAAAAGCTCTCATTTCTTTCCACTTCCAAGAGTATTTACAAGGGCTAGTGTGAACAGTTAGGCATTTATAATACACACCGTTACACCGCGAGATTCAGTATGATACAAAATTGTGCTTCAGGACGGAAGGTCAAAAACCGCTGTCTCCGCACGAGGCTGGAACAGTTTGACATTTGTTTTTGGAATCTTGTCCTTCAGATTTGACATTTATTTCAATTGTAATAGATCATGCATAAACACTTTGGTAATGTGTGGCTGTTTCAGAAGCGGACACGCCTCAGGTTTACCAAACTAACCCCAAACTGTTTACATTTGTTTTCCACAATTCACAGGGAAGTGAAAACGACTATTAAATAACAAGGAAAGTGTAACGTTAAAGCGCCGTTCGTGTTTGTTAGGTTTTTTAAAGTGGACTGTGCAATTCTATGTGAGTGGAGTCTCTGGTACAAACTGTACAGGTCATGTCAGCGCTAACGTCCCTGCAGGAACAGCACTGCTTAGTCAGAGGGTTAGACAAGTAACAATAAACTTCGACAAGAACTGCAGTAACTTTACGTTACTTAGGTGCGTTAAATACATTAAATGACTTAGTACATGATAGATAACAAAATAATCTCTCCTCATGCTACATAGAGTAGTAGTTCCTGAAACCTTTTAACAATGAAATGAACACAGAAAATTCTTCAATACAACAAAACTAGCAAACAACATGTCTTTAAAATATTGACTTAATTAAATATGTGGCAGAATAATTGATATTTGGTTTTGCAAACTACATTTTCCTAAGTCAATAAGAATTCCATGTTAGTTTAACTGGTAACAGGCAGAGTATCAGGGCCCCTAAACTTTTTTAATTGTATTTGGGAACAAATTTAAAATATTCTGAGAATTCAGTTAAATTCTTTTTTTTTTTAATCCAAAGTAATCTAGTAATAATTACAATTTATCATGAAACTGTTGATACTGAAGATAAAAATTACATTTCTGAACTACTCTGAATTTAGCATTTTTGGGATAAATTAAACAACAAGCAGCATGGTTAAAGCTAACTGCTGCAATGATCTGATAATAAAGTACTGCAGTTTTATTTAAACTAAATACTACACTTTTAGACGTAAGAGTCTACCTGAATGTTTTCTTTTCTCTGATGAGTGTGACACTCATACTCCACTGGCTGAAGCTGATAAAGGAGCGCCAGCGGAGTGTGTGACATGGCAGTTATCAGTCTGGAATGTGACACAGAGTACAGAAGCATCAAGAAGCTTAAATTATCTTTTTTAAAATGTGCTTAGCTTTGCTGCATCTCCCTCTGACCTCAAATAGGAAACGACAAGTGCAGAGGACGGACGTCATCTACTGTAAATTCCAAGCAGCATATTTGGACGAGCTCCCTGCATCACAGCACAGTTTTGCCTCCGCGGGGAAAAGAGCTGCAGGACAGACAACAGCGGCTACCAGTGATATGAATAAATACGGTATAAAAATACACTATGGAAACTCTGCAGGTATGTTGGGAAACGTAGGAGAAGAGCCGAAGGTGCTGAAGAGGAGGGGGACGGACGCAGCTTCTAGAAGGTCTGGTCGTCGTTGCAGGACTCGGTGGTGTGTCCAAAAGCCTCGCAGATGTCGCAGTACGGCCTCTCGTCGGCGGGGTTGCCGTGATAGGTGGTGTGGGGAACGGAGTCCGGGCTCTGGGCCTGAGTGGGACAGTCCTCGGTGTCATGGAGGTCAAAGCAGTCGCAGATGTCGCAGAACAGGCGCGGGGTCGCCTTCTTCTCCGGCTTTGGATCACCTTGATCAAAACTTGTAAAAAAAAAAAAAAAAAAGGACGTGTGTTTTAAACAGGCCTGTGAGTGGAATTTGGGCAAAACAGTGAAGGTGAAGGGCCTTTGACATAACACAGGTGTCAAACTCAGGCCCGGGGGCCAAATCTGGCCCACAGTGTAATTATATTAGGCCTGTGAGATCATATCAAATATGTACTAGAGTTGGCCCCCAGTATACGGCCCCTACATACTGGCAGTATATGTAGTATTAGTGGTCTGTGTTAGAGCAGATACACTTAGGTTTTTTTTGTTGAACTCAAAGGCTACAGATAAATAGACATGATAAGAAACAAATACCACTGATGTCTGTTTTATTTCACATCTTTATAATATTAAGCTCTTCTTGTTCCAGATTCAATGTTTACACAAAACTAAACTTTGTTTCCATATGAAAAAATTCTAAAAACAATTACTTTTATACAATTACAGTCAATGTTTCGATAAATATTAAGTTTGGCCCAAGACTTGGTCCCAGTTTTGAATTTTCGACCCACTGTGACGTAACATGTTTGATGAAGACAACACTACGTGTGGCTGCTGAGGTGTTTACCCATCAGTCCCGCTGGTGACGTTGAACTCTGCCAGGGCCAACTTCTTCAGCTTCATCTTCAGCTCATCATTCTTCCGCTGCAGGTCCACGATGACGCCGTTCAGAAAGTTGATCTGGGGCAAAAGGTCAGGACAGACGTGAGCACTGACAGCGTGAACGACGTGGATTTGAAGAGACGGACTCACCTGTCCCTCGGCGAACTCCTTCTCCTCCCTCAGCTGCTCCAGAGCTGCACCACCTGCACATACACAGTCAGAACAGTCAGAGAGCAGTCAGAGAACAGTCAGAGCGCAGTCAGAGAACAGTCAGAGACCAGTCAGAGAACAGTCAGAGAACATTCAGAGAGCAGTCAGAGAACAGTCAGAGACCAGTCAGAGAGCAGTCAGAGAACAGGCAGAGAGCAGTCAGAGAACAGTCAGAGCGCAGTCAGAGAACAGTCAGAGAACCGTCAGAGAACAGTCAGAGAACCGTCAGAGAACAGTCAGAGAACCGTCAGAGAACAGTCAGAGAACATTCAGAGAGCAGTCAGAGAACAGTCAGAACAGGCAGAGAACAGTCAGAGAACATTCAGAGAGCAGTCAGAGAACACGCAGAGAACAGTCAGAGAACAGCCAGAGAGCAGTCAGAGAGCAGTCAGAGATCAGTCAGATAACAGTCAGAGAACAGTCAGAGACCAGTCAGAGAACAGTCAGAGACCAGTCAGAGAGCAGTCAGAGATCAGTCAGATAACAGTCAGAGAACAGTCAGAGGGCAGAGAGCGGTCAGAGAGCAGGCAGAGAGCAGACAGAGAACAGTCAGAGAGCAGGCAGAGAGCAGTCAGAGAGCAGTCAGAGAACACGCAGAGAACAGTCAGAGAACAGTCAGAGACCAGTCAGAGAACAGTCAGAGACCAGTCAGAGAACAGTCAGAGAACAGCCGCGTGCCTGTCAGGACGCGGTGAACGCTGGAGTCACCGGAGCTCACCTGACTGTGGAGCGTCCTTGCCTTCACCCTCTGACACCTGTGTTCCCATGAGTCTGTGCTCCAGTCTCTGGACATGGCCCTGCAGCTGAGCTTTGTCTTTTTCCAAAGTCTCCACAGCCGACTGCAGCGTTTTAGCCACGGCGTTTTCTCCTCTCAGAACTGCGATCTGCAGCGACAGAGTAAACAATCACGACATCAGCCGCTCGATAAGAAGCTCAAAGAATGTTTGAAGACACAGGAGGACATCAACGTGTCCACACTCCCGCACCTCGTTCCTGAGAGTTTCCAGTTCCCGATCCTTGTCTGTGATTAAGGCCGCAGTGGATTTCTGGAAATTCCCTTCCCCGTCAGTTTCTGGGATCGAGGCGGTTTCTCTGTGGAGAAATTCAACGTTGATAAAGTCTGTGCTGCCACTGTGTGGTTTTATTTCACCTGGCAACCCTTCAACTCTAACCTATCCTTTAATGTGGATCAGAGAGTTGATTCTGATGTTCGTGTCAAGTCAATCACATCCAGAGATGAGGGAAAAAAACATCAGCATTTTTATATCTTGGAATCCAGGGAAATAAAAATACCAAAGAACATTCTCTACACGTCCTCCGAGGGTTGTTGTGAGGGTTGTTTCAATATCAGAGGGACTTTGTTTGTAGAGCTCAACAGATACAAAACAAATGGAACATGGAGGACATCAAAGGAAAGTGAATTATTTGTCATTGTGACACAACACAATGAAATGTGACCTCTGCATTTAACCCAGCAGGGGGCAGCTTAAGCGCCTGGGCAGCAGTGTGTGGAGATGGTGCCATGCTCAGAGCACCTCAGTGGTAACTTGGCATCTTGGAACCTTCAACCTTCAGGACTCATGTCTGCTTCCTTAACCACCAAGCCACCACTGCCCCAATGTGGAGGACACAGGAGTACTGAGGACGTTAGCGTAGAGGACATAGATATTACTATGTAATATAAATATTTTTTATTATTAATTTTTTTATTGATGATGATCCTTTGTTCCATTACCTCTACTGTTCTTGATCAAGATCTGGTAGGACTGTCAAACTGTCAAATACTGGGGACGTTTTTTTCAAGGCATCTAAAAGTACTAATACTGTAGTACACTGTACCCACAGGAGTGGGTACTCCAAGACAAGGACATCAGTGTAAACAGGGCTTAAACTAGACATCAGTGTGAACAGGGCTTAAACTAAAGAAGTACGTGATGATGTCACGGTCACGTCGTTTCCTCACTCACCTGGACGTCACGTCTGGTTGTTGACCGCTGTGGTCATCGTTGTGCTGAGAAGAAAACGGACAGAAACGATCAGGTGTTTAAACAGAGAAATGACACCAGCTGTGATCACTGTCCAGTTCACTGATCATGTGACCAACACAACTGTCGAGTCTGGACCAATCAGACTCTGTATCTGGGCTGTCAACTGAACTGTATCAAAGTGAAGGACAAGGTGAAGAAGCTCTTGTTGCTCCGTACCTCCTCCAGATGCTGTGACTTCTGGGAGGCCAGCTTCAGCTCCTCACTGGAAAGGAGAAAATAAAAAAAATAAAATAAATAAAACAGAAACTGCTTCATTATGCTGTGAATGTAAAGAGTGACAGAAAACTGCATCAGGATCACTGCTGGGTTTAATCCAGATCTGTAACCAGATGTCGGCTGGACTCACATATGATAAAGTACAAAGACAAGGAATTTAAATATTGGACCAAAGCTTTGAAATTAGAGCAGTAAAAGTTAATTACTAATGAAGTAAAACTTAATATTTCATTACTGTGAAGTCAGTCAGAGATGCAGTGGTCGGTCCATCGTCCTGTTCTTGTCATTTACACAAAACTATGATGAATGATGAATTATATATAAATTCTATATAATTCAGTAAAAACATTAGAAAAGCAAAGAACTGATATTTATTCAATATTAATTCATGTATTCAATATTAATGAGGTTTTCGTTACTGTAGTATTCTAAGAGCTTTATCACGATCACGACCACAGACATTCATAATCAAATGTACAATCTTATCTCTGAGCCTCTCTGCTCATGTGCTGCGTAGACGACCACACGTTTCTGTCTTTTTGAAACTGATGCTTTGAAGAAACCAGAAAACTCTGGAATCTTCCGAGGCTAATCCTCACCGTCAACGAACAGAATCAGTTTCAGTATCGTCTGGAAACTGTATTAGACCTTGGATATCGTAGGATGATGGAACCAGACCAACGCGCCTACAGACGGAGTGTTAACCTCCATGACAGTCACCGACGTCCAATGAGGAGCTGCGTGTGACTAACATCTCAGCCTGAGCTCCATCTGGGTGAAGGACTGAGCCGCCTGACGTATCCTCAACACCACTGAAGCTTTCTGTTCTCTGACGTGTGTGTGTCAGTGGAAATTCACTGTTAGAACCTCAGTTCTAAACTGTTCTCATCACTGGATTTCCGTCTCCTCCTGGTGGCCTCGTCGATCAATGACATTTAAAACTTAATTATAAAATGAAAATCAACTGCATTTTTACACAGACTGTAACTGTTGATGAGGCATCAGTGGAGAACTTTATGATTTTTTTTTGTTATTTCAATGTCTTGTGATGACAATTCATCATCACACCATACATGATGTCTTTTATAGGGTTTGTTTTTAACACTTTTATTCTCAGCTTGAATCTCTATCATCAGAGAGACCTTTTAAATTGTATTAAATCTATCAGGCAAAACACTCGACTGATTTTATTTTTTTTTTGTATTAAATCTATCAGGCAAAACACTTGACTGAATATCGACTCTTTTTTTTTAGTTTAATTTATTTTTTGTTACCAACAGAATAGATCAACTGTAGTCAGCGTTTCCTCTCCTTCCCCCTGTTTCCCTCTTTCTCTCTCACACACACACAAACAGACTGATGTCAGTGTCGGAGCGGCAGCCATGTTGGAGCCAGGCGGCTCTAGGTGGAGACGAAGAGCGATTACATAACAGCCGACAGAGGAAGGACGCTCGGCAGGAAGGATGGATGAATCCAGAACAAAGATGGAGTACGACAAGAAGTTATCAACGTCTGGGGGTGACTCTGCTGAACTCATCCTCATCATCATCATCATCATCATCATCATCATCATCATCATCAGTAGTGTGTGTGTGTTCCCCTGAAGATGCCGTGGGAGTAAACACACTGAGCTGGTTTTGTTGACATCTCTGTTTCCCTGTTCTGTTCCTGCTGTAATAACTATAATTCACCAGCTGGGGCTGTGATGTCACAGCCCAGAGCTCCAATGAGTCAGTGTAGGCGCGGCACCAGAGGACATGACGACATGCACACATAAAAACACACTGCATGTGCAACATACCACGTGCACACATACACACAAATGCACACTCATATAAGGTCTATAAATAGATGCTGACATCAGGCTGGAACACACAGCTGAGACCAGGACCAAACCAAGACCATTTTATATGTCAGAAATATACAATATGTTTATATATAAATGCATATTAAATATATTTCTCTGGATGAAAATTGTATATAAATAAAATGTTATGCTGACTTACATTTTCTGACAGAGAACTCCAATTCTCTGGTTTTCAGCGCTGCTCCGCTCCTTGGACAGACTGAGCTCCTCCTGGTATTTGGAGTTCTGCTGTTTCAAAGCCTCAAGCTGCAGAAAAATCACAAAAAGACCAGAAAAATAAAGAGCATGTAACTTCTACCTTAAGTACAACAGGACAATGCAGAATTGCTAAAATTAAAAACTATCGACAACCACTGTCCAACACCCTGACCTCCAGCTGTGACCCCCGCGTCAACATATTCACAGCTGATGCTTCAAAATCTCCACTGAACTTTAAACACATCTTTTCTCATTAGAAACACAGCAACACATTCAAATTCCTGTGCCCTGCTGCACCTCACGTGCAACATTTCCATGTCCCCTAGGGGGCGCAATCTGGTCCCTATGAAACACTGATCTAATGCATGTAAGAAGTAATAAAATAAGTTGTTTCTAATCATGAGGAAACAGAAAAATATACACAACTTTCCATTGATTTCTGCCATGACTACTGCTCTACAAAAATCTCTCTAAATTTCTAGACAGACGTATAAATGTTTAATGTCAGTCTCCACTGATTCATTTGCTAGTTTTTCCACATCATCTGTAATTGATTTAGAAAAAAAAATGTTTTATATAAATATGGAAAATGGTAAAAAAAAAAAGAAAATCCAGACAGATAAATAAAAAACATACATCAGCTCAGGTGTTTTGTTACAAAAACACATTATTTTTGCTCTCACATAAAAACTAAAGATGACCTCAAACATCAGGCATCAAAAGGATCTGATATTGGCTTTTGAAGCAATGGTTTAAAAATATTGTTGTTTTTTTTTCAACATTAATCCACGTCTCAAACACTCAATCATCAGTGTGTAAAGACTTCTTCACAGACCCCAGAGGATCGAAATATGGATTTTATTTCCAAATGCTCTCGACGTGGATCATCAAGAACCAAATTTCCAAAATAACGCACAGACATTCTAGGCTGCTGTTACACCTGACACATTCTGCCTCACTGGACCGACAAAAAGCCACTGATGAGTCAGCAGACATACTTATCAAACACAAAATAGTTTTGTCGCCGTCACTTCAGACCGACCTTGTGCTGTACTTGAGATTTTAAAAATCACTGCTTTCTCAGACACGGCTGCAGCCTGAACGCAGTCATCGGGGTTTAAAGAAAACAATACAACATTGACAGCAAAAAAGTGTCACCCTGCCCGCTGTGATCCGTCTGCAGAATGTTTGTTAACAGTGTTAAGTGTGTCATCAGCTGTGAGTTTGGAGAAAACACAGCATCACATACAGCAGACGACCCATCTGCTGCACCGTGAAACAAACTTCCAAATAAACTGGTTACAACACAGACCTGTGACAAAGTGGAGCAGAAGAAAACACAGATTCCCTGATGTGGTCCTGCCTGCAGGCAGTTCAGTTTGAATGCAGTGAACGGCGCAGCCTACCTGGTAGTGAGGTGAGTACAGGTTACTGGAGTAATCCTGCTGCAGAGCAGCTGTGTCCATACCCACTCACAGCTCTGCGCTGCAGGACTTCACCCTGATATCCACTTGTCTAACACAGCAGCACTGTCACAATGCCTCTGCTCTTCCCGTCTCCAACGCGCACAGACTGACGCCAGCGAGGCATCAATAAACCATCAGCTCTCATCCCCCCCGCCGTGCTCCGCTGCGAGAGGCAAATGGAGAGAGAGCGTCGCTCCGGCAGCCGCTCTCTCTCCTGCCGTCACACATAAACAGTTGGGTTCAAGAAGCTGAGCACTTGTATTATGTAAGGCTGAACAAGCCCCTCCCACACTCAACTCCACCATCTGGTTTCATCACCCGCCGACAATGAGCGCAGGCACACTTTCTGAACACTTCAACTTTCATTTAAAATGAAGGAGCAGGGATGTGAACCAGGTGAAGGTCAACTGCCAAACTGTCACTGTGTTCACTGGAACTGCAACTGTGAGGGGAAGGTTGTACAAAAAAAACCAAAAAAAAAAAACAGGCTTTACAAAAAACACTGGAGAGAAAAAATACTGAATAAACTATGAATGTGAATCATTTTAATGGTTATGATCCACTTCAGTCTCATTATTGTCAAGATCAAAATCATCCTCTGTCCAATATATTCACTGTCTCTCCTCAACACGTGTCCAGACCATCTCCACCTCACCTCTCTGACTCCATCTCCAAACTGCTCCACCTTAACTGTCCCTCTGATCTGTCCATCCTGGTCACTCCCAGTGAAGCTCTCAGCATCTTCATCTCCTCCTCCACCTCCAACTCAGTCTTTGGCCTGTTAGACAGAGACACTGTCTCTCAACCACACATCATAGCAGGTCTCACTACTGTCTTATGAACCTGACCTTTCAACTTTGCTGCTCTTCTTCTATCAAATCCCTGCTGACATTTGTCTCCATCCTTTTCTTTACTATTTTCGTGTACTGTCCATTTCCCTGGATGCTTGACCTTCAGTATTTAAACTCATAAACATCATCGTCATCAGCATCAGCAGCATCATCATTGTCATCATCATCATCATCATCATCATCATCATCATCATCATCATCATCATCATCCTCCCCACTTGTTCACAAACACAGACACGCTGCAGCATCAAGAATGTTAGTCTGTCGTTTTGTCACAGCAGCAAAAGTCATTTTCTGAACCTTTTTTTGGTGGTTCAGTATTTTGAAGAAAGAAATCTTCCTCAGCCAACTCTGGGGGTCACCAACTGTGCCATCCAGCAGTCTGAAGGGGCTTACAGCACTGTGCTCAAAATAGCACATAATGACAGTAGAGCTCAGTCTGCAAAAGTTCCACAATCTCTAAACTAATGGTAGAAATATTTCCCCCTCCCCTAGGAGGGGTCAAAAGGTCGAGTAGTGCTTTTCAACCAATAGTCAGAATAACTTATAAACTAATAAAACAGGCAGTAATGTCACTCTACACGGAAGGAAAATACACAAAATGTCAAAAATATTCCTGAATTCCCAAATTTAGGCGAATAAAAAGGACGAGGTGGCAAATGAAAATCAGCTGGAAGAATCTTCTCCGAAAAATATTCCTGATATCATAGATCATTGATAAAAGACTTATTTCATTTCCATCTGTTTTGTTTTGTTTTGTTTTTTTTACAAACAGCAACCAAGTCAACGTTTAGACCAAAGTTTCTGCTGTAAACATTCCTCTCACTGCAATTAAGCAGACCATCTGGAGAACATTAGCTGCTGGAATCACAAAGTTAAGGACATATCTGGAGCTGGACACGTTCACTCCTGATGTCAACGTGCAACAACCTTCAGAAAGAGAGATTTATCTGCTGTTGAGACTGAGGGCAGTTCAACACTAACATAAACAGCCTGAGATGACAGCATCAGGCTGAAGTGCATTTGTATTTCCTTGAAAGAAAACAACATGAAAACTCTCTACAGATGAACACCTTCCTTATACGACTCAGTCCGGGATATGAGAAAAAAATCAAACCTGGATCGATCAGGCAGGTACAGGCTGGTCACTACATTCAAACAAACTAGCTAATGCAGTAGTTCCCACACATTTTGCACAACTGGTCGACATAGGTTTATGATGTCATAGAGAGGAAAACAAGAAAATGCTAACGACAGAATTAGACTGAAAAACAGCATCATGTCCACTCACCTCTGTCTCCACAGCTTTACTCTCATTGGTCAGCTCTTGTAGGGACACAGTCGTCCTGTCGTACTTCTCGGTGGCCTGAAAGTGTGAGAATAAAAAACTGAACTTCACACACTTATTAAAACAACAGTGGAAAGTTGATCATGAACATGTAAGACCACAGTGGACACAATCATCAGGCTACTCCAGGAGTAGGTCGGACTAAAACAGGAAAACAGTCGCACACGGAAGGAAAACTGCATTCCTTTTATAAGTGGAAAGGTCAGAGGTCAAAAACGACTTGGCTAAAAAAAGGAAACGGTGTTCTAAACAGCATTAGTCTCCAGAACGTTGACGGGACTGGGACAAAAATACTCTTCTCTTAGCACAGGCAATAATGAAGGAAAGTAGAACACAAGATAAAAAAAGAGCAGTGATGCAGCAGAAGTACAAATGTTTTGATGTGGATTTAGATCTGCTGTGTCGTGTGTTTCTGTGCATCAAACAGAGTTAAACAACAGGTTCAACAGAGTTAGTCACAAAACACAAAGTTACATTCACTTAGTTACAATCGTAGGACTTTACACCTTAAATGCTAAACATTTTGTGAACACTTTATTCCAATTAGCACGGCTTTTTGCTGGCACCTGGTGCCTCTGTAGTGGATACCTGTGTCTATTTTCAAACTGTTTTTGAAAATTAAAGAAAACTTTTATTTTACAGTAGCTCCTAAAGCCGTCAAACCACCAGGCTAAAGTGATCTCCACTGAAGAACATCGAAAAAATATATGTATATAAATCTTAAACCTCTACCAACCCCTGGTTGGTACAATCTAAACCGAGGGTGTCAAAACATATGGCCCGCAGGCCAAAACTGGCCCACGTGATGATTTTGAAAATAAAATAACACACAAACACTTCATGTTCTGGAAATGTTTTGTAAAACAATATTTCACTAAATAGTGACTATTTATCTAATTTACTTTTTTGTATAAAAAAAAAGGGTAAACAGATGGAAATTTGTAGATTTACAGGTAATTATGTTACGACTGTACTGGTTCCGACCCGACATCTTATTTGGTTGTACGCAGCCCCTGAACCAAAATTAGTTTGACACCTAATCTGTGACAACACTAGATTTATTGCAACAAAAGCAACAAATGCTGTCAAAATAAAAGTGTCAAACAGTCAATCCAATCAAACGGATACAATTGTAGTCTTTTAAAACTCACATCTGCAAGCTGGGCCTCCATCTTCTTCTCTCTGCACTGACTCTCCTCTTTGAGGGTCTGATAGTCTTTCTGTGACTGCTCCACACTCTGCTCCAGCTCTGACAGACAGACAGGAGGACAGACAGGAGGACATCAACTGTGAGACTCTGACTGACACATGTGGCATCTGAAGAGAACTCCAGCAGATGTCAGGATGTCTTACCTCTCACGGTCTTGGCCATCCTGCTGCTCTCCTCCTCGGCTGTCTCCAGCTTTTGTCTCTGCGAATGAAGAAACATCAGGCCGACCATGAGATAATCACTTACATAAGAGCATTCTTCTACCTTGAGCTAACTGGGACATAATGAGCGCTTTCCAAAAACATGCAGTTTGTGGATGAAAACCTCTTTACCTCTCCCAATGAGGCCGCTTTTACAGCGCCAAGTAAGGAACTCCATTAGCAGACAATGCTCTCATTACTACTTTTCCACTAATTGTGCAGGAGTTTAATCGAGTGCTGCTGAGATTCCCCGTCTTTACTCCGTGGCTCTGCTCGCACCGTCTTTGACTTTCTTACACAAACGCACACGTTCGTCCGCTCATGTCTCACCAGGTCGTTCAGCTGCTGCTCCAGAGAACTCCTGTCTTGTTCCAGACACTGCAGCTCCTTCTGTTTACTTTCCAAGTCAACGCTCAGCTCACTGATCTGTTAATGACACACGGTTCGGCACATGCTGAGACGCTGCCATACATTATGTATCATAACAAGAACATCAACAAAACACACAGGGAAAAAAGGGGAACAATTTCCCTCATCCTTCGTGATTCCAACAAACCCTTTTCTCTTGACACTGAGCCTGGGCCTTCAGGCTGCTGATCTGCTGCTGGGACAGAGACACTGCATCCTCCTTCTGCTGGGATGCTCGCAGCCTGAGCTGAAGATCTGCTACCTCCCTCTCCAGTTCCATGATCCTGGAGCGCTCAGATACAGTGGCCACCTGCAGGGAACGCAGGCAGGAGGCATGAACATGAAAGAGGACCCTGGTAGAACAGACAGGAGCGTGACCTGGGGGGCATCGTGTGGGGCAAATGTGAGGAAAAAAAAAAAAAGGAACCCGTTGATGGTTTAAATGTGTGGCCAGGGTAATAAAATTTTCATTTCTAAAAATGTCATTTTAATAACAAAAAGACAAAATGAATGATTTAATTATGATCAATGCACTATTTTATCATTTTTAATTTAAATTTAAAAGGTTCAATTAAACTCCTGACCACGATGGTCATGGCTGCAGTGCGACAGGTATCTGTGCCTAAAAACTGTGTCTGTTTTTGGAGTACTTCTGTGGTGACCCTTGAAGATGGGGATAAACTGAAAACAAAGTTTTTTTTTTAAGCTTTGTGTTTTTGTAAGTTTTTTCAGAGCCAAAGAAAACAGACAGGCAGTTTGAAAAAAGAAAGGACGAATAAAACATTGTTGGTCCAGTATGGGTTTTGCAGAAGAAAACAATGCAGCATGTGTCCAGCCTTGTCCTTTATGACCAACAATGTAAATAAAAGCACAGGCATTTCTAAAGAACTTTCATGCATGAAGGCATCAGCGTTCAACCACTGTGGACCTCAAGGTCTGTTTGAACGAGGCTTCGTTAGAATTTACTGGTGGAACGATAATGAACCATATTTTCCAGATTGTAAGTTGAACCAAAGTATTAGCTGCGTCTGCCGTACAGAGGGAATTTATATTTTTACATTTATATAACTGTTGCAAGTCGTAGTTAATGTTTAAATATTTATTTCACAGGAATCTAAAAACTAAATGTTAATCTGGAGAAACTATTTATTTATTCAATAGCATAAAAATATAAGCTAAATATATGAACGTAACAGAAGTTTAAGTATAAGAATAAGTTCCTGAACTTATTCTGAATCAATGGATCAACGGAATTCCTTCACCTCCTGTGTTACTTCTAAACAGTTCTGCCAACTCCAGAGGAAGACGAGGTGTCATCTCCTCTTCTATTGGCTGTGGTCATACTGAGAATCAGCATCAGTTCCAGTTAGTCCGTTAGTTTCCTGCTGCTCAAGTACTGTTTTTGGTCGCATTTCATTTGTGTTCTTTAAGGAAATCTTTATGGTTTATTCATGTAAAGTTTCACTAGTGCAGCGCCAGCGACTATATATGACTGGGGAAACAGTGCCATCGTGTGGCCAAAAATTATATGGCGTGTATTTCCTTTATAAGTTGCTTTGGAATATAAGTTGTAGCACCAGGTGAACTATTTCAAAAGCACAACTTATAGTCCAGAAAATACGGAACATACTGTTCTAATTACTTAGTTCTGTCGGACTTTCTGTGTGTAATTATTCAAGATCCTGGAGGGGAAAAGAACATGACTCAGACGTGCATGGGGACTGGGACTGCCGGCATTACCCTAGTGTCCTCTAAGTCCCTCTGGAGTTTTTCAGCTTTGGTCTTTTCAAAGAGCAGGCTCTGCTCAAGCTCCTTAATGTGGCCCTGCTCCAGCCTGGACTGCGTCTGTTAGTAAAAGAGATCAGGAAAAGGAGAACAAACCAATGCAACACTAACATGCCAGTTTTTGTGCCACACACAGCAAAGAGACAAAGAGGTTCAAGGCAGAAGCAATAAGTCAGTGAAAAAGGCGCCGGTGGATTTCAGCTTTTAGTCACATCAGCTGGTTATGAACAAAAGACTGAAGATCTTTTTTGAAGTTCTGCTCGAGGGAATATAAGGAATGAACTATTGTGATGCTTTGATTCTGACTGTGAAAGGACTTGTATTGGCACTTGTTCGCCTGTGAAGAGGCAGAAAATAGTGTAAAAGACGAGCAGAGAGGAGGACTGGAGCGTGGAGTGACGCTGTAGGCGAGGACGTACAAAAACAGCCTTCAGAAAATTGCGTGTGGATGATGGATGATGGATGATGAGTCAGTGGATGGTACTGAAGGCCAGCAGAGTGTGAAGGATGGATGAATGGATGGATGAGTGAGCATTAATGAACAAAGACATAAACAGACAAGTGTGTCGGGATAAGAAAGACACTGAGTGATTCAAGGCACAGAAGTAAAAGTGAACCATTTAACAACAGACTCCATCAACAGTCCGTCCATTACAGCTTCTCTCAGAGAAAACACTGGCAGTTTGTTCTTCTGTCATGTTAATTATGGTCTTAGTATTTCACGGAAATGAAGCGTCTGTATGAGCTGCAATCCACTGTTAAGTTGAATGGACGTTTACATTAAATGCTGCAGCCCTGCAGTGTATTTTTATATGACATAAATTAACTGTCATAAGTGCTCCTTTATTAGCTAATATATGGCTTGATTCAGACTGTCTGCTCTACACACACACACACACTGCTTCTGTACAATAGCAACGAGCTGCATTTGAATATTTTTACACTGACTTTTAATAAAACCTGAATATAAGCCAGGTCCTTATTTCCAAGAATTACGGTAATCAACTCCTCAATCAACTCCTCAGCTGTGGACAGCAGTAAACAATTACCTGCACTAGTACCAGAGCCAAAACTATTTGTTAATATACACAGTCGTGAGGACAGATACCTCCAGGTCTCCTTTGGTGATGGACACCTCTTCCATACGGAATTGCAGATCCTCCACTTTTCTGTGAAACACGGACAAAAAAGATTTTTATTTAAAAATAAAAATAAATGAATACAACTACTAGTTTTATCTCAATAAGACTGTGAAGACACAATCCTCAGTAATTAAGGTCGGAGGTCAACACGTCCCACTCACCTCTTCTCCTCCTCCAGCTGGTTCAGAAGCTCCACCTTGTCTCGATCGGCTGCTTCAACCAGCGAACGCAGCTGGTCAAGTTTGGATTCCATCTCCACGGCGTACTGAGACACAGACAATCCCAGTCAGTCCCATTCACAATGTCTTCAAGCCATAACACTTCACTGCTGGAACCGTCTGTAACGTTCAGGTGATTCTCACCTGATCCCTGCCCTTCCTCAGCAGGACCAGCTCCTGCTGCACCTCTCCTGCATGGCTGGTGGCCTTTGCCACCTCACATCTCTCCAGGTCTCTCTCGGCCAGCAGCTGCTCGATGTGCTGCTGCTTCTCCTTCAGCGCCTCCTGCAGCGCTGTGGTGCCAGAGATCTTACGAGCGTACCGGGCCGACGTCTCCGTCAGCTGCCAAATCACAGCATATGATCACATTTATTTTTACACACTACCCATAACCTGATATGGTTCCCAGGACGTAGGGGCTGAAGGTGCCTCTATAAGATGCCTTGATTTTAAAGGAGACAGAATGTGAAGCGGTTTATATGAGTTAATCTGCAGAAAACAACAAAGTCTGAGGTAAAATATGGAACTAGTAATGGTTTACTGCATGTTCTAAATGCAAAGATGTGAATAGTACTTAGTTAATTGTTGAATTTTTATTTATTAAGTATATTCCTACCAGATGAAAGTGTTGTATCTCCTGTAGACATTAGAACAATGATACAGAGTTTCCATTTAAAGTTGGCTCTAAGAGTGAGCTATTAGGTTTGTGAAGAGTTAGTGCCATTTTATTGGATAAACTCCAGAGCTTCATACTGAATTACACATTTTCTACCCAATGCAATTTCAACAAGAAGAAAACTAAATTAAAATGTTTTGAAAGTTTTTTTTTCCTGCTAAAATGTGACATAAATAATGTGTCAGAAATAATATGGTGAAGATAACAGTATTTCCTGGAAATAAATTTCCATCCTAATTTCCATTTATTTTCATTCCAGTAAAAAGCCATGAGCAGAAATACTCAAATGAAATGCCCAAACCCAACAGGTCTGGCAGGACGTAGGCCGAGCCAAGGATTAATAACTGAAATAATCCGGCTAAACTAGGAAGTAAATGTAGTCACAGCAAGTTGTCAACATTTAAATGTATACTTTACTTCATTGTGAGGTTTAATTATAATATGTTTAATAAATAATCATAAATTAAATAAATACTCATAGTGTTTCATAAAAAACATATTTCTTGTTAGAATTCAATAAAATCCCAATTTAGATTTTATAGAGTTTTTGGTACATTTATACACAAAACATACAGTATACTTGCAGTACATGCAGTCATATACTTGTATACTTATTTGACTGTATCTAATTTAAGTTTAGCTGACTACAATAAATATGATATTTCTTCGACTAATTTTTTTGATGTTAAAATTGACAAAATTACGATTAAGACTAAGTAACAAGTTAGTCAGAAAGACTAAGTCTAGTGCTAATTGGCTAGTGCTAAAAAGGTCCAATCAGTGAACAGAGAGCCGTGTGGCAGCACAGGATACTGCAGATCTTACCAGTCCTGCTCGGCTGGGTTTGCCGCTGACTGAGGAGGTGGCAGAGCTGAGTGTGCTGATGGAGGAGGCACTGGGGCTCCTCTTTAGGAGAGTGGACCTCCTCTTTGAGCTCTTTGCTTTAGTGGGTGTCGTGGAGGGGAAACCAATACGCGTCACCTTGTGAACTGGGGCAAACAAGCCAAACCTGGGCAAACACTGGAAATACCTGTGAAGTAAAAGGATCAGAGAAGTTAACTCACTGCAGGTGAGATGTGTTCCAAGACGAACCAAAACTGTCACCGTCGCTCCTCACCTGGTCCCTGCCACGGCTCCATCATTCTTGCCCAGGGGTTCATCTAGTTCCACACCACACCAGTCTCCTTTGGCAAAGTCTGTCTCTCCAAGAAACCGCACGACTCCTGCCTTGGTACCACCCACCTACACAGACACTGTCATCATTACAACCTTCTCTAATCAGTTTGTTATTTTTATTTGTGGGATCATCTCTGAGAACCACACAGAGGAATCCTTCCGTCCTTTCTCTACCACCCTCTTCTCAGGGTCTCAGGGATCATCATCCACATAGAGAATGTGGATTTACAAACAACCATTCACACTCACATTCACACCTGTGGTCAGTTCAGGAGAACAGGCAAACTTCACACAGAAAGACCCTCACTAAGAGAAGTTGGAACAGTGCCACAATGCTAACTTTTATATTTAATGCTAAACCTGGTTATCAGATGAAATTATTCAAATTAAATTGAGCAGCTCGGAAAAAAATTTGCAGTGACTTGCCAGCACGCGGTCTCCAAGTCTGAGCTCCCGCTTGGCCTTCTTCAGAGAGTCTGGGTCTGACAGGTTTGACACAGACTCACTGGACGTGATCTTGCGATTCAGGATTGCACTTGTCCTGATTCCAGAACCCGGAGCTGAATAAAGGAAACAGATTTTACCGATATTGATATATTGAATTCATTTATTAATATTTTGTTCCCTTAAACAAGTGTTTTTAGATTTGTTAAGTTTAAGGTCTGTAGTCCTACTTATATTATGCCTTAGAAAATATTGATAAACCTTTATCAGTTACTGTAGTGCCAACAGGAACAGGGTCTGTCATCGTCGTCGTTGCTGTCATCGTCGTTGTTGTTGTCATCGTTGTTGTTGTTGTTGTTGTCGTCGTAGGCTCTGCTTGTGCAGGACTCGCCTGGCCCCCATTGGTCTCCTTCTCTGGCTGTGCAGCCCTGCATAGCTTTGAAGGACGTGTGAATATTCCCTTTCCATCCTCACACTGGAAGTATCGCACTCCTGCCACCGATCCATCGTTCTTTCCAATCGGCTCATCCAACACGATACCTGCCCACTGCCCTGGAGCAAACTGAGTGCTGCCAATGAACTGCACGTGGCCTGGTTTGTTGCCGTTGACCCAGACCTTATCTCCAACCTGAAAGTCGCTGCTTCCATCTTGGGCCGGGGAGGTCACCGTGTCATGGGGCTTCTCAGGCGGGACCGGCTTTGCAGTACCTGCAAATATTACACTTAATGTTGGTGGAAATTATCCCATAATTGTATTGCCAGCCACACTGTAAGTGACGAAGATTTGCACCTACCAGAAGATGGCGACGTCTTTATTGGAACGCCTGGTGGGCGGACTATTTTACTGGGGGGTTTAATTCCGCTGACCTTGCCCGTTGTACTCATGGCACCTTGTTTCTCTGTGTTCGGGGCCTAGGGTAGACATGTGGGTCTTCAAATGGTTTCAGGCGAGGAACTAGGTCTTCCACATCAGCACGTGCAATCCCAAAAATATAATGAGGAACTGAAATGGTGAGGAACGGAAATGAAAAAAAACCCAATGTGAGCTAGGCTAGACCATACTATTTAACATTGACTTTTTGACCATTGACCACAGTCTCAATAGTTTAGAGGTTTATTAGGCTATTTTTCTTAAATATTTCTTGCCAAATACAAATCCAACAGGTTTGTAAATTACAAAAACATGTGGATTATTAGTCAAGTTTAGTATTAAATACTGAATAGCACGATGCCATTGAACCACATCCATTTATCTGTAAATAAATTGTAACTTTATACAATATAAATAGTATTGATCAATGCTCTTTCCGTTCATCAGTTTAAGGGCCCTTGACATTTACACCTGGTTTTTACCATTGCCATTTGAGCATCAGATAGATGGTTGATTGATAGATAGATCACCAAAACAACAGTAAAAACACACGAATAGGTTAAATACAATAATAATAACAATATACATACTAGATACTAGGGTACCTATAAATTAAGATGTAATAATATAATATGGTAATAAATAATATCAGATATCAGAGAGAGAACCCCACAGTCATTTTGAGTTTGATTTCCGCGCTACCCCGCCCAGACGGTGGTGCGACACCAAAACAACAAGCGCACCTGGAGCCATCAAATCTCTTCAAGTGGTTTCTATGACTCCTTGTTGCTGCTGCTGCTCTCTGCAGGTTGACGCCTCAGCAACAGTGTGGGCAAAAACGCCTTGAACCGTTGCTGCCACAACAGCACCGACTGGACACTGGGTAAGAAGAGCGGGCCCCGGATTGACGTGTCTGGGCTGGGCTCCTTCTCTTTTCACCTGCTACATCATCTCTGGATGACCAAAAATGTAATGACTGTACCCGAACTAAACCGTCCATACAGCGAAAGTCAAAATCACGACCTACGTTAGAACAGGGAACATATGTGACCGTCTATTTCATAGCCTGGACTGTTTTTTAAAACTTTCCTTTCTGTCACATTCTGTGACACTACTGGAATGTACAGGCTAGCAGGCTTCAGGAGATTAGCAGATGAGCATGAGTGGGAGAACGATGAGGTATCACACAGTGATGATGCAACATTAACGCTGCGCAGAGACGGTGGTGAAGAAATGTGGGTACATTTTCTGTATAATCTTACCTAATGTTTTCTGCGAGCTTGGTTTCAGACCGTGCGGTCAGTGATTAGTGAGGGTTACGAACCTCTCTCCACTCCCAGCTCCATGTTTTTCCCAGCCCAACTGTATGACGTCAGTCTGGGAACTAATGCTGCCTTTACGGACTCAGATTTGAGCTCGTAACAGCCATGATTCCAGCGTCATCAATAAAATAAAGTGTTTTCGAGATTGCAGTGAATCAGCAGACCACACTGGGTTCGTTGGTAATTCATGTGTGAGCCATTTACGATAATGATGTCAGAGTAGGTTTCATATTCATAATTTATTCAGGATACACAATGGTTCACATCCACAGAACAGAAAGTGTAACATTAAATCAACACCACATACTCTGGTACAATTCTGATGTTTATGGTTATTATTGACCTGTCGTTCTCACAAATACGTGGTCTGATTAAAGAGGAAAAAAAACATCAACTACATTGTACAGATTAACTGCAACAAATGAGGCAAAGTGAACAACTGCCCTGGGACAGAGCTGAACAACCCAGAGTTGGGTTGGTCCATGAACTCGATTCATGTCAAGCACAGAAAAATAAGAAAGAAACTAAATTCATCATCTAAATCTAGAATAAACTGACATTCTATAATTAAGTTATGGGTAAATATTTGCTGCAGGTAATTGTGCGGCAACATTTTTTTGTATTGCGAAGGTAAATATTTGCTGCAGGTAATTGTGCAGCAACATTTTTTTGTATTGCCTCCTAATTTGCTTATTTACACAGTGCAAACACACTCACAAAGGTTTTCATCTTGGACAAATATAGACCACTAGTGAATAATTGTTTGGGTAATGTAAAAATAACAGCTCTTTGCCTACAATTCATACACAGTTCAGGGGAGAATCTTCATCAAAAACAAAGTGTTTATTCCTTAGAGCAGCCAGGGCTTTGATTTATATGAACAGAGATCACCCATTTATAACCTTCTGCCCTCAACAGTGGAAATGTCCTGTTCTGCAGAATCACTCTGAGTTATTCCGCCATTACGTCTAAGCACTTTATTAATAATTTTGTCGAAGAAGCCACTGAAGGCAGGGCTGGAAAAGTAATACACCACAGGGTTGAGGACGCTGTTGAAGTAGGTGAAACACACTGAGGTGTAGAAAGCCAAGTTGGCCTCCTCAAAGTACTTACATTCGTCATACCATGCCTTGAGGACCCATACTGCGATGCGTGATATGGTGCTGGGAAAGAAACATATGATGAAGATCAAAGCCACAGCCAAGACAAACTGGACGGCTCGTTTTATTTTTCCCCTCTTGTCCACGGTCCTGGTTTTCAGCTGCCAGGTGATCCTGATGGTGCAGAAGGCCACGATGGCAGTGGGCAGGAAGAACTGAATGACATAGAAAGCATTGTGCCAGGTTGAGAGGGGCTTAAAGCCCATGCAGATGTTAAAACTCTCGCACTGCGTACGATTGTTGTTGTGAAAGAAATGTTTCTCGGAGAGAAGGTATCCAGTGGCAAAAAAAATCAGACCCCAGAGTCCGAGGGAGACCCAGAAAGCGTAGCCCAGACCCAAGCGGTTGATGCGGTTCATCGGGTGAACGATTTTGAAGTATCGATCAACGGCAACGGCCGTGAGGAAAAAGATCCCTGCTGCACGGTTGGCTGCCAGCAAGAAGAGGAGGATACGACAGAAGACATCACCGTACAGCCAGTCCTTCCCACGTCTGTAGTAGTCTGCCCTGAAAGGCAGGCAAAACAGCACTATAGAATCAGCCACAGCCAGATGGGTCAGGTACACAGAGTTGGGTTTCCACTCGTCCATGTAGAAGATAAACATTGACAGTGCAATAAAGTTCCCTGTCAGTCCAAACATGAACTCGAGAACCAATATTGGAGGCAAAACCCGGTCCAGAGTGGGAGACTTGAAGGCGCAGCACACCTCAGAATCTGTGACGTTCATTGCTTTAACTGCTGGTCAGAGAGCCTGCTCCACATTACTGTGTCTACACAGATATAAAGTGTTCCGGCTGATGTGGTCATGAAAATGATTCTCAGGAAGACATTTTAATATTGGTGTAGAACAAACAAATGTGTGTGTGTGTGTTATCTAGAGGGAAGTGGTATTGACCCAGAGGAATATGGCAGTAGTTGTAAATGTTATCTATCTGGGGATTGTGTCTTCATTAGAAAACTATTATGTAAAGGATAAGGTGACCTCCTGGGCATCAAGGATGAAAAACAACTGACCCCTGACTCAACAAACAGATTCTCTCTAACTACTTATGAACTGTGTATAACTCATAAACATGTACAGAAAGTGAGAGTTTAAATCATCAGACAAGTGAGAAGAGCAAATAAGACTCATGACTCGGGCGATAGAGACTGAAATTTATTAGCCTACAGTTGTTCGGGTGAAGAACATGTGGGGAGGAAATCAGCGACATTCCACACCTTTGGCAAAAGGAGAAAAAGTGTGAGCTAAAAAAAACGCCAAGTGAGTGGCCAAGTCCGCAGCTTTTATGTACAGTAAATAAAATATGTATAAAATGACTTAATGTGTACATTTGGCCAGGTTGGTGTTGTTGTTGTTAACAGGTCACATCCATGTCAAAGTGCATATTTGGTCTTCACTTCTTTACTTCACCCAGATCATCAATGCTGTCATCATCCACCTGTAACAGAGATATGCGAGAAAAGAGAGTACACAGAGGACAACCCTGTTATTCTTAAATATATTTAAATTTATATATTGTGGTTTAAAATATGTAGACTACTCTTTTAGTAAATATCAACCGTTTTCATTTCCCTTTTGGCCCAATACATTATTGAAGAGAAACATTATGACATGTTGAATGTCACTGGAAATGAACCGATGTCCTGGAACCAGAACCAGGTTAGGGTCAGATTAATTGGGTTGATGTTGAGCCAATGGTTCCTAAACCTTTTCTATAGCGCTCCCCCTTGGTTGTAGATAGGGCTAAGGCATCATAGAGCATTGGGTCTAGAAGCACAGGTTCCCACAGAAGTCACTGAACACCTCTTTCACAGAGAGCAGTGCTGGTCACATCGACCACAACTTTATTCCAAGTCAGGCAAAGCGATAATGAACCAAGAAGTCTTGTGCCAACATCCGCGCTCTCTTGGGATTTAATTATGATACAGGGGAAAATCTCCAGAGGTTTTACCACTGTTGAATAAAACACCTTCGTGTCTACCGCTGTTGATCCGAGCCTATACACTTGAATTAGGCGGTTTGGGTGGACAGCGTTTAAGGCAGTGTTTTTCAACCTTGAGGTCATGACCCCTGAAGTTCAAATGGGGTCTGACATGTCTAGTAATTGATTAAAAAAAACCTGCTGAAAATATTTTTATTATTCTACTTTTTTAAATTATGATTAAAACACCACACGTTATCTTAAACAACTGTATTCTTTCACGTTCATGAATATAAATAGAGTTCAAATAAAATGCAGCACATAAAAATATCTGAGCTGGAGCTGCAAAATAAAATGTAACTCTGTGTGCATTAACACGGCTGCTCTGTATGGAGTGTAAGAAACATGACAAACTAATTCTACCAAAACATTGTGGTCTTTGGGGTCACCACACATTCGAGATGTCAAAATGGGGTCACAAGCCAAAAAAAAAGGTTTAAGCAAATATTAAGTAAATGAAGTTTCTTATGCTTACAGGTCAAACCTGAGGGTTGAGTTTTATTAACTTTAGTTCATTTAAGTAGTTGTTTAATTCTTTTTCATTTCAGTTCATTATTACTCCCTGGAGTGGAATTACCCTCTGCATTTATCCCATCTGTGAAACACCCCGGTGACTAACACCAGGCACACAGGAACACTGAGCTGCACTTTAGTAAAGGGCCTGGGGACTAGGGACGTTTTTCTTGGTTGTTGGCCAACACATCACGATCCTGCCGAGGCAAGGATTCTAAAGAAAATCATCAGATTACAAGCCTGGTCAGATTTTCTTCCCCACACACTGCACGTCTGCAAACAGCTGTGTGTTAGACGTAGGCGACAATGTTAAGACTGAAGACATCAAGCTCAGGTCAGATGATATACTATACTGTACTGTCCTACATCAGATGGTTTGGTCAAAAATGCTTTTTTTAAGTCCGACTGCGTTAAGGTGGACAGATGGTGTTTGGTTTGGTCTGATGACAACTTTTTAAAATTTTAACGATTCCAAACAAAGATAAAAGTCACATTGAAGGACAGATTGAATGGATTATTTTGCCAAGATCATGTTGTTTTCACGGAGACTGTCTTGTGTTTTCCTGGCAGCAACACTGTTCCAGACTTGTACCCAGCAGTGTAACACAGATAAATGGACCAAATTTATCCTTCATAATTGTCTTTGTGTTTTTTAAAATATATATAAAAAATCTTTTATATATATTTTTGTCCTTTGGCAGCAATAAGGAATATGTTGATAAGTTGATAAAAGAAAAATGTTGCCAAAAGTTTTAATTTAGGAGCTTAAATCAGACTTTTTAATGAGTTCCTTTTACAACTCACCTCAGGCCACTTCTCTTGAATAACGTCAATTATGTCGTCTGTAAAATCTCCCTGAATGATTATTTCGTCCTCTGCTGTAACTGAGGCACCGCAAGAGAATTTCTGGGCAAAGAAACGCTGAGCCTCCTTAAGGTCAATGTCTGAAAAAGTCAACGTGGGGTTAATGTCATTCACATCATAATGCATATTACATCAGCAGGAGGTGAATAAAAAAATTAATTAAAAAAAGAGTGAAAATATCTTAAATTATGATGACTCACCAAATGTTGCCAGGCCACACACTCGTGTAACATATTTCTTCTTGGCTCTAGGGATTTTTGCTATTGTAACTTTCTGAGGCACAGTCTTCTTTTTCTGTTTGATCTGGCCTCTTCCACCTTAAAGATGACAACTCAATATTAGTGACATGTATTGTTCGAAGTCATCACAACATGTTTGACTTTACAGAAACACATCTATAATTGCTGCTGAAAAAGCCAGCCAAGCATCCACACTCAAAAATCTAATTCTATTTTGACTGTCAAATAGACCTCCACTCAGCCTCATAACTAGACACTGTGTAGCGACTGTATAAATAAGGCAAATATAAATCATTAAAAGTAACCTAAACATTCAATTTCATAAAATATAGTTAAAGCTGGTATATGAGTGATCAAAAAGGTTCACCCTACACTGTGTCATTGACTCTAGAACCTGACTTACCTCGCTTCTGTTTCTTTTTCTCCTCCTCCTCGACTGCAGGAGGAGCATCTCCAGTGCTGGTTTCCCGTTTGGGGGCTTTCTCTGCTGGACCAGTTTATTACAAATAAAACAGGAAGAGATTAAACCCAATTCTGCAACTGTACTTAAAACCATCTCTATAATAAATCGTTTTAGTGTCAGCTGGTTAAAAGGCCCAACATTTTACAAATTTCAGTCTAATTATACAGCAATAGTAATAAAACTATTAAAACCTGAGTAAATCAGGTTAAAGTTAACTATGGGAGAGGAAAAGCCTACAACTACCATGAATTTTACTATTAACCTGTCAGATAAAGTATATGTTAGAGACGATGAAGGACTAACTAAATACTGCACATATTGTAAAAATACTGTATATCACAATAGGTATAAATAACAAATAATGACAACTTGGAGACAAACATTTCACAGTGACTTGGAAATTATGTCAGTCAATTGTAGCTTCTGTAACACAATACCACTGGGTATACTGTGACACAGCTTGGAGCTGTCGTGTTTTATTTTTCTTAAAATGAAAGCTGTAACACCTGCTTTCAAAGGCAGAGCATTGGTTCAAAATCAAACTGTGCTTTTATTTAAAAATGGGGAAATCACATGTGAGAATTGCACAGGAAACCTTCTGGGTGAGACTTACCTACAGTCATCCTGGCAAAAACATCTGGGAAGTTCTTCTCCAGCCACTGTCTGCATTTGGCTGGCTCAGGCATGTACTCACAGTACTGCAATCACAGTGTAGAGTCAATAAAAATGCAAACAACAGCATATTTTGTGCTATTTCAGAACATCAAAAGTTTACATGATCATCAACCTTACCTCTGTAGGCAGAGAGCACACTGCACAGCAAAAAGAGAAAACAGTTTTTAAAATGACCTCATTTGAGTTTTGCAGAAATGCCCGTCACAATACAGGGGTTAAAATCTTACCTCCACAATAAAGAACTTTAAGTGGGTACTTTGAGTCACCATCTCCAGTGCCAGGCTCTGATCTGCATTCCGAAGAGCAAGACTCCATCTCAGTAGTCGCCATTACAATTATTCTAAAGAAAGGATTCATGGACAAAGACATCACAAACTCAGGATACAGACTTCTCAATTTTTTGCTGACAATAAATGTCAATGAATGAGGAACAACTGGTTCAGGTGTTCTGAAATTTCAGCCTCCTAAATTTGGATGTCCTCTGGTTCTAAACATATTTTCCAGATGAATAAGCGCCCCCTAGGCCATTGATAAGCATATCTTTTTCACAACTATTTTGTATAAATAAATTAGTATCGCTGACTAAATATTTAAATAATGTAAGTATGAAAGGTTGATGTACAGATTGATACAGATTGTCTTTACACTGCGCTTCTACAAGTAAGGGGAAGTTACATTAACGAAAACAAGAGGGAGCCTTTACTCGATGTAAAAGAGACCGATGCTTCCTCTGATTGGATATCAGACAGACCTACTGCTGACTGTAGTGAGTACTAGACTGAAATTATTTCATCATACAACACGTACGTCATTTTCACCTCAGATACGGGAGCAGTGTGTGCTTTACAACATCAAGTGATTTAGTTAAAAATACTTTCAGTGGTGTTTAAATTCTCTCAAAAAACAGAAGCTGTTTATTCAACACTTGCAAAACTAGCTATAACTGACCAATACATGTGGCTGTTATTTAGATTTTTTTTATTTTATTACCTACAATTGCTAAATTTATCGGCAATAGCAGGATATGACGCCGTATGTACAAACAAACATCACCTTTGTTCGAAACATAAACAACTATAATTCAATTCAAATGATTTCATTTAATAACTGTCTCACAGCTGTCATCGTTTGAGGCATTAGCTCAGCAAGCTAGCATAGCTAACACACTACCAAGTGAGAATGATATGCTACCCATTAACTGACCACAGAAAAAGATATGTAGTGATACATACCAAGAAATATATAGTTTACAACTGCCGTCTGACCAGTAAATCCGTTCGCATTATTAATCACAGAGGGACTTTTAGAAAATCATTGTCAATTTCAGGTTTAGTTGGCGTACTTTGAGCACGCCTTGACGCGCTTCTTCTTTCGCTAACTAATTATTCCTGGCGTGTGCAGCTTGTACGGGAATTACGACAGCGCCCTCCTTTGCTCTGGAGGAAAATAGTCAGTATGACATTAACAGTCTTAACATGAACAGATTATTTTTCTCTCTTTAAAAGAGCACTCCAAAGACTTCATTTTCAAAACACAAGGTTGTGTCTTATCATACATTAATGCACACTAAGCCTGTTAATTCACTGTTGCATAAATGACATGATTATGACAGGCCTTCTTATGACAAGACAAGTCAAAGTCTGCTTTGTAGCTAAATTATTAGTAGCATGTGAACAGAATTAGAATGTAATAGATTCCTATCAAAATGAAAACTAAAAATCAATAGAATCAATAGTTCTTTGAAAATAGGTGCTAAGACAAACGCAGTGTTCATTTTTAACCAGAGGAGGGCGACAGCGAAAAAGAAACGCTACAGAAAAGCTGCCTAATGCCATTCCAAACAGTAAGGCACCTGTCTACAATGGACAGGATGTCAACAGCATGCTTGACGAACCATAATAGACAGGGATAATATGTTTCCTCTGTCTGTCTAAGTTATAATGTTGGAGATTCAAACTTCCTCATTCCTCCTGGCCCAAACCGTTGTCATACTCAAAGGAGAGAGTACGGTCCAGCCATTGACTCTGTAGCTCACGGTCACTGATACCCAATCCTTTATAGGAGTTCAGGATAATACACAAGCATGATTATTTCATGTTTGTAAAACTCTAGGACAAGTACAACTCTAAATCCTAGAAGTCTAGGATAGTCTCAGCACCACCCATACCCATAATGTCTTAGAGTGTTTTGTTAAATTGCTTTTCAAATTTAAAACCATTTCCAAACCTTCTTAAATAAGATTTCAAAGCTCCTTTTGTTGGTAAGCTAATAATGTAATTAAATAATTTGCACCAATTGAGCAATTATAAATTTTACAATTTTCTGGCAAGTTCATGATCAAGAACTTCATGAACCTTGGTAGAGTTCTCCGTAATCCCATCTTGTCACATTGCTGGGTTTGTTGAGATGAGATCATTGTAAATCTGACCCCTCACATTTAACGGCCACCGCTCCAGTCGTAGCCAAGTTCGTAACATAAAAGAGCATCATTGTGATTATCATCATCTTTTAAAACCTCTTTTCTTTCTCAGGGTGTGGAGTAATGATGGCAAAACATTGTGGGTTCCTCCTTTAACCTTTGTGTGTGATTAAAACATATAACAGGTCTAGTTTTTGCTGTTTTTATAGACCGATGAAGCTCCACCCAAACACAGCGCTGTAGGTGGCGTGACACAGATGAATTATTATAAGGAAAGCAGTAAATTTGAAGGTATAGTTTGACAATGCATTTTGTCATAATAATCTGTTCATTTTCTACCACTTTATCCTTTTTCTGGGTCATTAGTAGTGATCAGATAAGGGTGGGGTACACATATTCAACTGCGAAGAAACTTGAACAGAGTTCAAAAGTGACCAGTTGACAGTAATCCTGTGTGTTTTTGGAGTACAAGGAGAAACCCCAAGGCTCGTGGGGAAAACATGTAACTCCATGCAGGAAGACCATGACTTACAAGGAGGAATCACATTGGTGACCTTGTTGTCCACAATTTTATGTTGAGGCTTATTACTGACATTTAAAGAGACAAAAACCAACCCAACATGTGTTGTTGTTTTATTCTATTCGTTTAAAAAGACATTTTGTGTGAAGTGGGTGAGATGTGAAACCAGTCCTACAGGGCTGTTGAGTGGTGTGTCCCTGATCTGTCTTTCCAGTTTTACTGCTAGTGACTCAGTGAAAATGTTATTCCAACGAGTTGTCCGATTCAACTCGGCCAGGATGTCATAAAGTGCGAGATAAAAAATACTTTATTTTGTTCTTACTTATTGCCGTCTGTAAAGTTCACCAGCCAACTGTATGGGTCTAGGTATTTTAAAAACGAGCTTGGTGTCGCTTTAGAGAAAACTCGATGACATGACGTCAGACGTATGGCGTCCGACGCACCTTTAATTTTAAGCAAGTGTGGAGCTGAAACCTCAGAGTCGTAGATAGTGTCGGCTACGGAAAAACCGACAACATGAGCAAAAGTAAGAATAAAAGCGATAAAACGACTGAAAAGGCTTTGGCCGCAGAGAAGGAGCAGTTTGGAAAACAACAGGTATGTAATAATTTATCTTGGAGGAGGATAAAGTCGACTATAGATCCCTGCTTTACGTCCAATTGTTTTTATGGTCCAGAATGTTCCAGATTATATAGTTGTCGGTGGCTATCACAGTTAGTTAAGTACACCCAGATTGCTTAAAGGGACACTTTCTTCGATTTAAAATTGTTATTTTCTTTCTAAAATACTACTATTTTGGGCAAGTACGTTCTAACGATGCATTTTAGGCATACTTGTTGTATTGAGGAAATATAAAAAGAATTTGCAAGTGAACTGAAAATCCTAACAAAAACGAAATAAATTTAAAAAAAAGTTGTAACCATATCAGAACTAAACGTACTTGGACTGAACTTGTCTGCTAATATATATTTAAATATGTCATAGCTTCACAGCATCAGCAAAACTCTCACTTCCGCTGAGACACCGCCGAAGGAGAAGTATGTACGCAGTATCCTTTTATGAATGTTATTGTTTGACAATTTTTGCATTTGCTAACTTTTCTTAAGCAACCTAAAAATGTAAACCTTGAAATGTACAAAAAGCTACAAGATGAATGAATGAATGAATTACCAAATAACAGCTTACCTTGAAGTTTCCAGGTTGTTATGTTCTTTTATTTTACTAGTCACACAGGTGTTTTAAAAGTTCATAATTAATCTCACCTCTGGCTTCAAGTGCATGTAATGTAAGATAAACTTGTTTTTCAATTGATTGCTCAACACTAGTCACAGTTAAAGGGCCAATGTAGAGTTTTTTTTCATCTATTTAATGTTTTTTTTTTCAAAATTGTATTCTGTTTGTCAACACGCAGCATGTATCTACTCATCTCTTTACCTTGGACCACCTGTGCTTTAGTGTTGACTGCATATTGTTATGAACAAAATATTAGATATAATTTTCACAGATTTAAGATTATTTATGAAAGTCTCTGATTAGACTAACCCCAGTGCCCATAGCATTTTTTTTCCTTTGGGTTTACAGTCAGATCTAAGTTTTGTAATTTGCATTACTGCCACCTTTTGGAGACCATCATCCCTCATAACAGAAAAAGGGGAAATACAGAGAGAACTTGCCCAGTGTTGGTTGTGTTAAAACTTTTCACCAAGTTTTGCAAATCTAATGCAGTATGTTACTGTCCAGTTTTTAACTGAATTTAACAGCAAATAACTTCCGCTTCTTCTTTCAATTTTTGCATTGGTATATTGAGTGTTGTTCAAGTTTCCCTAACTGCTGTAAGATATTATTATGGGGAGTCATAAAGAGGGTGGAGCTACCACCTTTTGGTCCTACACCCTCAACCTGCCATTCTCCAGCAACTCTATGGTCAGCTGGAAGTTCTGTTACCTGCTGCACAAACTGCTCAGGGATGGACACAGGAATGCAAGTTCACACATTCAGCTCTTTTCAACTTTGCCCTTTTTTCTTAACACTCATGTAGGTGATATTTACAATTAACCTTTTCCTCTCTCTGTTCCACTAGACTGTTTCAGATTCATACAGACACACTCATGTGGTGAAGGAGATGGGCATCCTTTGGGTGAGTGTTCTTGTTTCTATACAAAAGGGTTTTTAGTTCAGGTTCATTTCAGTGAAAGGAACAGAAAGGTATAAACCACATAATTTGTAAAACTATGTACATACATCTATTAAAGCAAATAGTCTTCATTCAGCTGCCATTGACACCAAACACCATTCAACTGTTTGAATACCAATACAAACATCCCAATTGAGAAATGCTTTTTTGTTAATTCATTCAAATTAATAACTAGTTTAAACTTCACAGAATATTTTAAGTTGTATAATAACCTTCTTAAAGGTAAATGGTCAATACTATTTTTTTATGAATTAATTTTACTATTTTATTATGACTGGTACTATTTGGACTTTAGGATGAGCTAGACTTAAGTGATTGACATTTTTTACACTTTACAGGAGCATTTAATTTTGACCCTTTATACATATACTGTTATCCATTCCAGGGAAACTTGCACGACCGATATGGCCACATTGTTGCCTTGTCTGCCAAATATCTTTGTCTCAAACTGGAGTTCCATGCAAAGGTAATACATTTTAAGTGCAGAAAACTGAAATGAATGAACATCACACTTTCATGATAAATATTCTTTCCTTTACAGCACAAAGTGATCCCAGGGAACCTGGAAGCCAGTGACGAGACACTGGACAGGGAGGCGGGAACTGACCAGACTAAAGTGTAAGGAAACCTTAAACTACATGTGCTTTTGTTCTTGTGTTGATGTCAAAAATATTGGGTGTATTCAGGGTGTCCACCTGTTCTTATTGTTATTCATAGCTCTTGATGTGTAATAGGTTGGACATGACAAATGCCCTGTTGGATTACATGGATGCTGGACTGAAGATGTCTGAGACAGGTTTGTGCATTAGCAGTTTCATTCTTCTAAACACAAATCAGACCTTTTTTATTAAAGATTCTACAATTGTTTTTTTTTTTTTTTTTCCATTCCTTGTGGATTTTTGTGGATACTTATAAATTGTTGGTGGTGGCTGGTGTTTGTGTTTCTGTGGGAATGACTTTGTAATTTTAATTATAATTATTGCCTAACGACATCAGGCTATGCACAAACTCAAACCTTTGCCAAAAACATATTTCATTTCAAAATGTCTAAAGATCCCAATGTCCCAGCAAGATTTAACAAACATAAATCTGTACAAACGGATTCTGTGTTGGAGTTTTTTTTTTTAATATAAAAGTAAGAGATTTAATTATTTGACCAACCTTTTTTGAATGTGTTTTTTTATGTATAGTTCTACGTCAGCTTGATGCCAATGGGGCCAAATCTACAACTTCAGCTGGACAGTGCAGACTGACACCTCTGATCCCACTAATCCTGGACTGCAGCTTTCTGTACCACTTCTCTGTCCTCCTGATGTTTAAACTTCACAGCCGTGAGTGATGCACAAATGGAAGTTGTCCTTATCTGGTCTAAACTAATTGCTGTAAATCAGGTCATCACAAGTCTTCATCCTCTGCCTCACAGGTATTCCCCCGGATATTCTCCTCGGACATCGAGAGCGCTTCCGTGATCTTTTTAACAGGTAGACTATCCGCAGGAGAAGAGAGAAGTTTTGTTTTATAACAGTAGGTCTGTATTGTGCAAAAAACTTTTGCATAAAACAGAAGAAAAAGACTGTTATTTACTAAATACTAATGAATTAAATATATATTCATCCACTTTTCCTTTGATTTCAGACAAAAAACATAGACAAAAAAGCAAACAAGTAATATAAAAATGTAAATTCATTTTTGTTGATTTGTTTGTGTAAAATTATGTAAATTGACCAAAATTCTTGTCAAGAAACAAGTACAAGAATTGTCTAAAAGATTGTTTCGACACACAATGATTTGTTATACAGTATTTATTAGTGTTAGTGGCCTATCAGCATTATGTTTTAGGGCTCCAGAATGATTTGCGATTTCTTCTGCAGCCTCACGCAGTTCTTCAACAGAGCCAGGGAGATGGAGTTCTTCAAAAGTATCATCAGGATTCCAGATCTTCCAGACGTAAGTCACGTTTGTGAGTGTCTTTTTATTCCCCAAAGTACTTGAATAAGATTTAAATTATCCCCATTTGCTTTGTGTATCGTGACCCTACAGGAGCCACCAAACTTTCTCCGAGCTGCAGCTTTTGGGGAGTATAAAAAGCCAGTGGTGGTGGTTCCAAATGATGAGAATCAGGAGGAGGAGGAGGTGGAGCTACAGCAGGAGTTCAGAGAAATGCCACAGATGGTGCAGGTAAAGATGCCTGAGTAGACAAACTCAAAAGATTCCTTTTTGATACTGTCTGTATCTTTTATCGTCTGTGGAGTTTCTGATGTTTTCTCCTGATATGTATTTCAGTATTACATGCTCAGCCAGATGGGGGCGCCTGAGGCTCCACAGGAGCAGAAAGAGTCAGAGAATGAGATCATGAAGAAGGAGCTGCAGGCCCTTAAACCAGAGCTGAAGCACATTAAGAATGAGGTCAGCAGGTCATCAATGTTTGCCAATGTATTATGGTGTGGTGGAAATTTCATATGCCTGAAGAAACTTGTTAAGTTAAACATAACATAGACGTTGCATTGTTAACTATAACTTAGATAATTATTAGTCAAAATACAAATAACAGAATCAGAAGTCAGTCCTGACCTTTTATCTCTAAAAATGTGCTAATTGTTAAGTTTTGTATATAACAACTTTACAACTGATCCAGCAATGCACCAATATACTTGGATACTTGTCACATCTGTAATTTTTCCTCCTCAGGCTCAGAGATGTGTGACTGAGTTAAAGACTCAGGTAAATCGTTTAGAAGCAGAACTGGAGGAGCAGCGGACTCACAAACAGGTGGCGATGGTGGAAAACGAACACCTGAGGATGGAAGTGGGGGCTTTGCGGACTGCAAATGTGGCCAATGTCGGGGCACAGATTGGATTTAAGGAAGCTGATAGTGAGTTTACAGTTTGGTATAAGAGCTAAAGAGCATTAGTGATATTAGAAAAGCTGACGAATCACTCACTGTGACTGCACAGGCAGAGCCCAGGCAGCCGAGCTTCGTTTTATGCAACTCAAAGAGAGGCACGCAGAACTGGTCACCAGCCACGCCGACTTGATGAAGAAGGTAAAGTCATCGGTTGGGTGATTGAGAGACAGTTACTATTCATTCTAGAAAGGAGAAAACGTAGACGTCTCTGGTAAATGCTAATAATGTTGTCATTACTTATACCCAAATGCAGAATGCAGAAACAGTCAAGGCCCTGACCACCACGAAATATAACCAAGATGACTTACTGAGAGCCAAGCAACAGCTGCAGAGTGATCTGAACAACCTGCAGCAGGAGAAGCTAAACACAGTGAGAGCTCTTTGATACAGTACCTAACAATAACAACTGAAACACTTGACTCAAGATTTAGGACTTTATTTGTTACATGTCTGTGATATTTTTTTATGTCTTGACACAGTCTCTTGCGAAACACTAACTCAATGATTCCTCTTTTAATCAGGCAAATAATTATCAAAAGGAAGCCGACCGACTAAATAAGGAACTATTAGAGCAAAGAGCAGAGATGGCCTTCCTTCGCAGTGCTCTGGAAAATAAGGAGAAGGTAAGTCTGTGCTAAAGAGGATTTATGTTATAATGGCAGTGGTTACAATTTACTTTAAAATTAGATGGTATTATAATAAGCTCCTGCACTGCGTGTAAATAATGTATACATTTCCAATAATTTCATTTCCACACCCCCAATTTTAACAAAAAAGATGGCATCTGGAAAAATTTACAGATTCAATTTTTTATGTGGATAAACCTTTCAAAAATGTTTTTCACTCTCTCTTCATCTTTGTTTTATTTTCCTCCTTCATTCTTCAAGGAGGGCTCTCAGGTGAGCAGCAGCCTGGCAGCTCTGCAGGCAGAACGAGACGTGATCCTGCGTTCTTCCAGAGAGAAGGAGGCTGAGCTGTCCTCTCTGAGGCAGCAGACACAGCAGCAGCAGGGCTCCCTGGACCTGGAGAGGGATCGATACAACAGAGAGCTGGAGGCGCTGAGAGCTCAGCTGCAGCAACAGGTTCACACCAATGACGCTGCAGCTTTCCCAGCATCACATTAACACACACGTCTTGAATAGTGTTAAACATATGTATCCCTGCTACAGCTCACCATCAATGCAGAACAAAAGTTGGAGATTGACAGGCTGAGGCGGGAGCTGGACACGACCAGAGGAGAATTGGCTCGAGCAAACAGCGCCCTGCAGAGCAGGGAAATGGTAGTGGCATTTCCTGTTTTCAAGTGGAAGTCAACATAAAGGCTGAGCTGCTTCACTCAGTGCTGCTCTTGTCTGCAGAGTGGTACTCAGATGAACAACACACTTGCAGGCCTGCAGGTAGAGAAGGAAGGGTTGCTGCGGGCAGTGAGGGAACAGGAGGCGGAGCTGGTCTCCCTCAGACAACAGGCTCAGCTGCACCAGAGTTCACTGGAGCACGAGAGGCAACGGAGCAACATGGAGCTGGGAAGCTTACATGCCCAGTTACAGCAACAGGTATTGTCCCGTGTTTACAGTAAGGACAACAGAGAAGCTGTGCTGAATACCTCTGTGGTCACCTGTTAAAGAGTGTGTTTAAAAAAAAAAAAAAATAGGCCTGCCGTGAAGGTGACCTGGCTCAGAAGCTGCAGGAGGAACAGTTCTCTCTGCTCCAGTGTGCTGTGGTGGAGGCTGAAGGGATCATACTGGACGCTGTGGCTAAGCTGGATGACCCCATTCACGTCCGCTGCATCAGCTCACCTGGTAAACAGCTCTTCACCCCTTGATCCTCACCACGTATTCTCATCACAGTCCATTACATTTCTCATTGGTTCTAGGAGTTCTTTTTACAACCTTTGAAAATATCTCACAGTAAAATGCAGCTGGACAGCTCTACACTGTTCAGCAAAGCACAGTGGACAAAGGGAAAAAAAAAGAAGAATGTTTTATTAAAAAGATTATTAAAAGATTAACCTATTTTTATAAAGCCATGTTGGAAGCAGCAGCACAGCTCAAATTTTAAATCTACAACCACAAAAACCATATTCATCTACATAGCACTAAGGTGCCACCAGTAGTTGGTGCACCTTAGTTTGAGAACCACTATTTAAGAAAGACCTCTTCTTTTTCTTTGATTCCAGAATATTTAGAGAATCGAGCAGAAATCACTCTGGGTTCTATAGACAAGATGCAGCAGAGCCACTTAGTCTACATGGGAAACAGAAACGGTGAGAAAGGAGTTGTGATCATTCATCTCTGTGTTTTTGTATGTATTGTCCCCAGGCTGATTGGTCTCATCTTATGTTTTTGTTATTTATTCTACAGATGCCAGCGGTTTGTTAAGATCAGTCACACAGTTTTCCCATCTTGCCGCTGATACGATTGTAAACGGAGCAGCAACATCACACTCTGCCCCCACCGACCAAGCAGACCGTGAGAAAAACACAGCAGCGTTAAATAAATAGTTGCACACAGTGAAACAGAATTATTGAGTCTCTAATAGTAAGCGCTGCGTGCTGCGTCACTGTCTCCTTCAGGTTTGACCGACAGCTGTCGGGACTGTGCCAACAACTGCCTTCAGTTTTTGAGAGACCTGAAGCTTCAGTCCAGTTTACAGAGAGCAGACCCGTCTGCGATTCGCTACACTATTCAACGCATCCTGGCTTTAGGACAAGTGGGTCACAGTAATTCATCTGAGTTACTTCTGAACAAAAATTCATAGAAATAAAAACCAAATATTTATTATTTTTTTAAATGCAGCTACCCTGTGACATTGTATATACTCCTTCTCATGTAGGATCTGAAACCCAAAGGTCAGGATGTTCTCAAAGAAGAGCTGGGAAACATGGTGGACAGAGAGATGATCGCAACATCCACGGCCATTGAAGAGGCCGTGCTGCGAATGGATGTAAGACCCCACACATCAGAGGCAGCAGACCGATGTCATACGTTGTTGTATAGCTGATGATGTTCAATGCTGTCTCTTTTATTCTTGCACAGGAAATCTTGAGTCAGGCCAAGAGAGACACTTCAGGTGTGAAGCTGGAGGTCAACCAGAGGTTAGAGGAAGTCTTCAAATCTGTACTGTATCTTTTACCCCATCATATTACTACACATGTATTGAATTTGTGTTTTATTTCCATTTTGTTCATAGTATTTTAGGCTCCTGCTCAGATCTGATGAAGGTGATGACTACGTTCAGCTTTAGATCATTTTTACAACCATATAATGCATTTTCATTCCATTTTTAAAAATTGTACTTTCCTCTCCAGGCTGTTCATATGCTGGTGACGGCTGCAACTGACCTCCAAAAGGACATTGTAGAAGGAAGCAGAGTGAGTTAAAAAACATCTCGAACATCACAGAAGTAAAACATTTGTATTCTACTTGACCAATTATGTCACAGTAGAAACCTGACATGGTTCAGATTGGAGGACTAATCTAAGGACTTTAGTGCGACTAAAGAACCTAATTATACTTATGGTTTTCTGCTGCATCATGTTCTACTGATGTTTGCAATCCATAGTTATTGCTTTAAACTCCATTTATTATGAACAGAATAATTAGCATGTCCTACTGCAAACGTTATAGTTTTTGTCATCTCATCATCCATCTCATGAAGAGTTCAACAACATCTCTTTACATGATACTGAATTTGCATTGTTTCACCTGCAGACTGAGCTCAGTGACAGCAACTTTGGTGTAATAGCATGGGGTTTGCCTTGGATCAAACAGTTAGAGCGTTAAATTTCATTTTCTAAAAATAGGTTTATTCACTAATGTGTCACTTCATTTTTATTTCAATTAACTATGGTAAGCAGTTGACAAACTTTGTGGTCATTACTGAGGATACCATGGAATACAGTTGCAGTGACCTGGTCTTCATTCGTAAATGTTTTTTCTCCAGGGGGCAGCATCTGTCACCGACTTTTATGCCAAAAACTCTCGTTGGACCGAGGGGCTCATCTCTGCCTCTAAAGCTGTGGGCTGGGGTGCCACACAACTGTTGTAAGTAACACCAACTGCACATTTAACCACAACAAGTAGTTAGTAGTTAGTAGTAGTAGTAAACCTAAGCCAGACTTCAAAGTGAATTTGTATTTCTTGGCAGAGACTCTGCTGACAAGGTGGTGGGTGACAACGGCACGTATGAGGAGCTCATCGCCTGCTCACATGAGATCGCTGCCAGCACTGCACAGCTGGTCGCTGCCTCCAAGGTACTGTCAAAACAGAGATGTCCTGCTGGTGGTGTGTGGAGCACTCACTGTAAAGTAGAAAAAGTATTTACAGTCTATATGATACACTAAGATTCTCTTTTTTTCTTCAGGCACTGACTCATTCTTAGAAGATAGTTTTGTGTTGGCTAGGAATTGAACAGAACCTCGAAATAATAGTAGAAACAAATGTGATAAATATAGTGTCAAAATCAAATTAAACATAAACTTTACTGCAGTTAGGGAAACCAGCCATTCACCAACATGCAGTAGCTGTAGTATCTGAGTACACTGTCTCCATCAATGCTGTAAATATACTTGAATGTCATAAATCCTTGAGTTATGTCTGACGAGTACTGATTTGATTTAACTGTGGTTTCAGGTCAAGGCCGATCGCAACAATAAAAAGCTGAACGTACTGCAGCAGGCTTCCCGACATGTGAATGACATGGCTGCTGTGGTCGTCACCTCTACCAAACATGGGCAGAGCCAGATATCTGACCATGGTGAGAGAAGAATAAATCAATCACAACTTATTTCACTTCTGCTCACAGATTTCAATCAACTATTCACAAACATCTTTTTTTTAAGTGTTTTAAGTTGACCTTGTGCAGACCAAATGAATCAGTACTGGTACTGCTGAATAAATACACAAAGAGCAGTTTTAATTCCCATGTCTGTGCAGGTATGATGGATTTCTCTGGAATGTCTCTGATCAAGCTGAAAAGGGAAGAAATGGAAGCTCAGGTGAGTCACAGATGTCCTGTTTTATGTCCATCCTGGCTGATGGTTGTGATTCTGTTGTTGATGATGCTGTGTGTTCTCTTCCCTGGATGTTCAGGTGAAGGTGCTGCAACTGGAGAGCCAGTTGGAGCAGGAGCGAGTGCGCCTGGGAGAGCTCAGGAAGAGACACTACAACATCAACGCCTCAGAAGCTGAAACTGATACACAGGATTCTTCTGATTACTTCCCACCTCCACCTCCACCCTCACTGCTTGATTCAACGCCAGTGCCTCCATCCTTTTCACAAACCCAGCCTTACCTGAACACTCAGAGCCTGGGGAATAACACTAATCCATTTGCAACAACTCAAGCACAGCCCTACTCACTGCCTCAGTCCTACACACCAACCAACACCTACAGTCAGGCTCAGTCGTACACTCCCCCTCAGTCCTTCACACAGTCACAAAGCTACACTCCAGCTCAAAGCTACACACCATCTCAACCTTACACACCCTCCACGTCCTACCCACCCTCCCAGCCCTACATCCCACCTCATTCTTTTACTTCAAACACAAACCAGAGCTTCTCCAAGCCTCAGTCTTACTCGCCAGCAGTGCCCTCATCACACACATCACTTCCTCCCACAGCAGCTCAGCCTCAGGCAGCCACACAGAGCAGCACAGAAACCACCAAAACAGGCTTCAGGAAGTCAAATATCTTCACCAAATCTGGGAACTTGCTGAAGAATGCGGTAGGCGCTTTATTTCACACTTGTAGTTGAATCATCTACAGTAAATGGTTGAATTCCTTTTTTTGTTTTAATGTCTGTTATTCTTTTTTCTTTCCTTACAGTTCAAACGTGGTGAAACTGGAGCAGGGGAATCATGAAGAGTGACTGAAAACAGGGTTGTACTTTCACATTATATGCTCATTATAAGTCACTAAACTCTGTTTGACCTTGGCTTGAAGTAAAACACTGATTGCTCTTAACAATCAAATGAGACCCTAATATTATATATATTGTTTTTTCACTGTCTATTTGATTAATCTTTATTATTAATTAATGTTGGATGTTGTAAAAAGGACATTTTTAAAACACATTTAAAAAACACATTTGTCTCAGAGTTTATGTTCAACATTTGATTTCTACCCATTTTTTTCTGCAAAAAAACTAGCCACAGAAACATAGCTATTTTAAAAAGGTATGTTTATTCCAATATGTACAAATATTTTGTAAATGTTGCTGTCGTGTTTTGAAATTCTGATGAATGATGAACTTGATCAGCGTTGCTACTGCGTTTTACTGTGCTCACAGCGACCTCTTCTGTCTGTATTTTCTGTCATGCGCAAAACAAAATGCAACCTCACCACTATGGAAGTATCCACTGTGGATTCCATTGAGTGCAGACAGGATGTGTTGTCAAGAAAGAAAAAAAAATCTAGAAAAAAAACTAAAAAAAACTCCCAAACTACATCTATCTTCAAAATAAAGGGTTTAAAAGTGAGGGATTGTTTATTTCAGATTTGCCCCGAATTGTTATCAGTTCTTTATTTTTTAATCTATTTTTATTACCATTTAGATACTGTAAGTTGTATAAAATATTTGTAATAATTAAAACATTGATTAAAATATATGTACATTAGGTGCGCATGGAAATTATTATTATTATTGTTGTTGTTGTCTTCGTTTCACAGGCTGCTCTAACTAAAGAACTAAAGAGCCTGATCCAGTCATGACACTGCTGTCATTAATAATAATTAATAATGAATTAACAGTACATTGACTAGACTTGACGGAAATCACAGATATGACTCAATGCCACTGCTGTCAGTGTTGGTCTTTAATTGTGAAGGGTACAGCCGGAAGTGTGGTGCTTTATTTTTGGGTGAAGTGAAACCAATCGGAGCGGCGCAGGGAGGACAGCGATGGGACATATGCGTTATTTACCCAGAATAAATCCAAGTCAGAGCTGGACTACAGTCGTACTCACAAACAGTCGGTAGTTACAGTTGTAACACTGCTCGACTGCCTGTTATTGGTACAGTTGTATTAGACTGTAGGCAGTTTCAGTGTAACTTGGCCGGACTGACTTTGTAGCGGGAGGAAGTTTGCTCCGAAGGGAAACATAATAGGAAACTAGGGAGGGCCACAGTGTCCCGCCATGGAGGAGACCGGTTCGGCCCTGGAGAAGAACGTGGCTGACCTGACGGTGATGGACGTCTACGACATCGCCGCCGTGGTGGGCCAGGAGTTCGAGCGGATTATTGACCAGTACGGCTGTGAGGCTCTGTCCAGGCTCATGCCCAAGGTGGTGCGGGTGCTGGAGATCCTGGAGGTGATGGTGTGCCGCAGCAGCATCAGCCCGGACACCGAGGAGCTGCGACTGGAGCTGGACAGGCTGCGGCTGGAGAGGATGGACCGGATGGAGAAGGAGAAGAAGCACAGGAAGGTCAGAGATGACACAGAGACGGGCTGCGTGTTTGTCTGTAGTGACGGGGCTCTTAGTCAACACAACCGGGACACATTGTTATTTTTAAATGCGCCAGGTTTCTGGACCTCTGTAGTGGAACAGTGGTTCTCAAACTGTGGTACACGTACAAGCGTTAGTACTTGGGCTCCTGCTGGAGGTACATTTTTAGTGTAACTACTTTGGTAAATTATTAGAGCTACATAAAACAATTACATATATAACACATGCAGTGATGGCTACAAATCAGAACTCGAACGTTATGTAGGAATCAGGGGAGATGATGTTGATGTTACAAGCAGCCCACTAGGGGAAGAGCAGGGGTCTAACATTAATATGAGCAGGGGGCCAACATGCTGATACTAGTTTTGTGTCACTTGTTGTGCTACTTAAGTGCTACCTGTATTTTTGACTGATAACTATTTTAATAATCTTCATAGAAATTATGAATTATTTTCTTATACAGTGATTAGTTGAACAGCCTAGATCTGGATCTAATGTTAGTCACACTGGTGGAACATGAACAGATAAACTAGTAGTGCTAGGAAAATACTCCCATGTGTGAAAAACATGCTAATTGGGTGTCGGTGTTAAACAAGATATATATAGGCCAAAATGATATGATTCCAGTGTGTCATTGTTGTCCACACATTATTTTATTCTGTCTATGGATTGTTGTGAAAATTCTAGTCAGGTTTTACTCTTTCTGTTTCTTTGCAATACTTTAGTTTTTTTTTACAGTAAGAGTTTTTTCAAAACTAATATTGAAGTGATATTGATTGTTTTTCAGCTCAAACCCAAACTAAATTCTTAGATGGCAACTGTGAGATATAGCTCTTGAACAAATACAGTATATATGGATCAATATATAAAAAATAATTTCTTCTGCTAAATTTCATATTATGGTGGACAACGTTGCTATCAAAGTAGTGTTTGTTTGTCTCTTTATGTGATGGACTGGTCAACTGTCCAGGTTGTCCGGTAGTTGTAGATTAGATTATAGTTAATCTATACATTCACTACAGAGTCCTCAGAAGGAAAGCTGACCAGACTTGTGTGTTTATCTGTGTGTGTAGGTGTTCATTCCTGTTTTGTCTTGTGGGGACATTTCTTGGAAGATTATTATTGTTGTGAGGAAACTATTCTTGGGACAATTTGCAGGTCCCCACTGACTGGGAGGGTTTTGGGGGTTCAAGATTTAGCTCAGAATAAAGTAAGGGTAAGAAGGGTTTGTATGAGTTATCATAGGATAAGAGCCTGGGGAATACATTACGTTTGTGTGAAGTGCTCACAAAATACGTGTGTGATGTAATGTTTGTGGGTTTGAATTCCTGTCTTACTGAGTCTGCTGCTGCTGCTATAAAAACCGTCCATGTCAGCCTCCTGTGACAGGGTCAGCCCGATTGTCAGTTCACTCATTAACTATGTCTCATGACTGTGACAGAGTGGACAGCAGTTCTGCTCCAGCTGAGGGGACGGATTGAGTCTAAAATAGTGTTTAATTTAAGAATATGTTGTTTATGTATCAGGTATCATAATGAATGTCGAGGTTAATCCAGATACTGGATTACTATTACTATATATTACTATATAGGATAGATGTGTAATAAAATGTTTACCACTAGGGATATAATAATGCATCGTGAATCGGTTAAAAATGATATATTTCTATGGTGAACATGAAATTGTAAATCATATTGTATCGTGAGGCGAGTGTTTCGTTACGTCCCTATTCACCACAGTCAGAAACAGACTCCATACAGATATTTGTTTTGTTGTTTTGTTGATGTTTCTGCACACAAGTCCCTGCAGCGGCTCATGTTTATTACTGCCACTCACTGTGCGTCCTCTGCACAGGAGCTGGAGCTGGTGGAGGATGTGTGGAGAGGAGAAGCTCAGGACCTGCTCTCACAGATCGCTCAGCTGCAGGAGGAGAACAAAATCCTGCTCACCAACATGGCCATCAAAGAGCCCCTGAGTGAGGAGGACCTACAGAGGCAGGAGGGTGAGGACCTGGGCTCAGATCTGGACAGACGGCTCAGATCTGGACAGCCACTCACACACACACACACACACACAAACACACACAAGGAACGCCTTCTCTGTGTCTGACGGCACGCCAGGCTGGTCTGTGTCATGACAGAGGCCACACTGTCACCCTGAGCCAGTGCTGAAGAACAGCCTTAGTGTGCAAGAGCACCTGCTCAACACACACCCTCACCCTCTCCCTCTCTTTATGTATATACATAGCACATATATATAAATACATATAATATGAAAATGTAAAAAAAGTTTTAAAAATAACATTATATAAACAATAAAAACATGTACAGTTTGTATATGTGCTTTTACTGTTTCCATTGTGTTATTTACATATATAGTAGGTAGATGTTTATATATGTTTAAAAATAACATAATAATAAAAATAGAATAAATAAAAATAATAATAAAATAAAAACATATATACATACTGTACATGTTTTTATTGTTCATATACTGTATGTTTACATTTTTATATTATTTTATCATTTGAATTTGAAGTAATTTGAAGCAGCGTCATTTAAGTGACCATTGGTGTAAAGAAGGAACTGTCTCCATCTCCACCTGTGACCCTGACATTTTAAGTGGATGAAGATGGAGACATGATGGCACCCACAGTGAAATTAGTCTCTTTCTGTGTGTCCTCCAGGTATGTCTGACAGAGAGCGGCAGGTGATGAAGAAGCTGAAAGAGGTGGTGGACAAGCAGCGAGATGAGATTCGAGCCAAGGACCGGGAGCTGACATTAAAAAATGAGGACATAGAAGCAGTACGTTGACGCAGACTCACACACTCACACACTCACACACACGTCTGTACCAGACAGGATTTCAAAACACAAACACAAAGGTGTGGATGCAGTCACACCCACTGACTGTTAGAGAAGAGTGGTAACACACTGTGGGCTGTTTCAACATCACTACCCAACTGTTACAACACTGTTATTTGTGGTTAACAAAATTGAACAATTTTTTTTTTTAAATATGAGCAACAAAGCATCCAGATTGTATTTCCCAAAATCTAGTTTCATTCAATCACAATTAGCTTTGTCAGCGTGATATCTGGGCTTGTTTTGTTGTAACAAACCCCGATTTACTCGCAGGAATTGAAGAAAGCGCACATGAAAATCTTCTTCTTTGGGTAGAAAAAAACCCTCAACAACATAAAACCAAACAAGTATGTTTGATGTTAGCTTTTAATGTGTTTTAAAATGTTTTCCTTAGTCTAATTATTCTTGCCTCCTGTGTCCACACGGTCTTCGTCCTTCTTTGTGTTTCTGCAGCTCCAGCAGCAGCAGTCCCGTCTCATGAAGATCAACCACGACCTGCGTCATAAAATCTCTGTGGTGGAGGCTCAGGGAAAAGCTCTTATAGAACAGAAGGTGGAACTGGAGGCCAGTGCTCAGGCGAGGGGACAGGAAGTCAATGCTCTCCGGCAAGAAATTACACGTTTAAGGGAACGACTTCATGGAGAGTTGCCTACCCAGAATCCCGAGGATCCCCCGCCTCAGCTGCCCTCGCCTGCAGAGGTAAATTTGGCGGGCCGAATTTGGCCCCCGAGCCTTGAGTATGAGACATGTGAATTAAGACGTCAACATTTTCTCCTGTTATTTATTAACACATTTCAACCCTTTGTGAATAGACATCGATACTCATCTAACTGCTGTCATTTAGTGTCTGTTAGTGATGTCCTTATGAACAGATGATAAACAGTCTTCTGCTCCACTAGTGTAGCGTAGCTTCTACTGTGGTGGCAGCAGCTGGGGCCCAGCCACACAGACCTCACCTCTCTGAGCTGATGTCTACTGGCCTCAGCCCTGCTCCACCATCCCCGCCTGGGTCTTCCCACCCAAAGAGAAATGAGTATGAGGAAGAGGAAGAGGAGACTGAGGAGGAGGAAGTGCTACTCTGGGTAACGCCGAGGAGCCAGAGTTGGTGTGACGTTTCTGAGACTAACTGCAGATTTGCACTTTTACCAAAAAGGAAACTGTGGAGTGGAAACAAAAACATAATCCAACAACTAACAGCAGACGTGTGAGATGCACAAGGGCAACTGTGGGCTAACGACGTGTGTGAGTGGGTTTTTATTGCTCATCAGCCAAGTGGGTGACACTTTATGGACACAGCGCTGATGACGTTTCTAAATATAGACGAGTCTGAAGGATCAGCCTCTGACAGCACTCAAAGTTTCCCTGTCATGTGCTCTGAACACAAAACAGATGGAAGGGTCATTCAAAGCCCTACAGTTTCATCATTAATTATTCATTAGAATAAATAAATAATTCATTCACACAAATAAAAAAGCCTGAACCTTTAACATTTAGTCTTGTGTAGAAAACAGGTTTCTTTACAACAACAATAATTCAACAATAATTCAGGAAACAGCACAAAGGCAGTTAAACATATATGCAAAAATCCATAATAAAGCATGGGTTTGATTTTTGCATGTTACACTCACTTTTTTTTTTTTGCTCAGTGCATGGGTTACTGCATACAGTGAATGTTGATTTGTTAGATTTGTAAAATGAACTGAGGTTGATTTAGTTCAGGTCAGAGTCTGGGCAAAAAGACCAGGTAAACACATGTATTGGAACAAAGCTCCATATGTTTGCCACCAGGAGGCGATGTGTAATGAAGACATGCCTGCTGTGTTCCAATATTTTACCAAGGTATTGTCATTTCCTGTGCCTCCCTCTCCCCCATTCTATTTTCTGTTTTTTTTTTTGTTGTTGTTGTTAATGACACACCTCTGTCGCTCTGTCGTCTCGTAGGAGGCTCTGTGTGAGGAGGAGGCAGGAAGTTTGGACCTTAAAGATCCAAGTCGACCACGGTTCACGCTGCAGGAGCTCAGAGACGTCCTCCATGAGAGGAATGAGCTGAAGGCCAAAGTGTTCCTGCTACAGGAGGAGCTGGCTTACTACAAAAGGTGAGAGGAGGCTCATGTCCAAGAGCTCTTTTACTGAAGTTTGGCTCCGAAAGGAGACGCCTGTGAGACACTGTTGCAGTTTGTAGCAAAATAAATGAGAACATTTTTGTCCAACAATAACAAAATCGTTTTTTCTATGATTTTTCTTCTTTGGACACAGCCCTCAGGAATTTGATTTTCTTCTTGTAAAAAATAAGATTTGGACTAAGCTACGAACATGAACCGATGCCAACAGCACCACCGTGTGTTTTTAACTTCAGTCTAAGTGAAAAGTCCTGTGTGCAAACCAACATCAACGTCTGAGTGACGCTTGTGATGCTCTTTCCTAGCAGTGAAGAGATGGAAGAAGAAAACACAACTCCTTCACCATCTCCATCACCGGAACCCAGGACTCGGACTCCTTCGACACAGCCGGAGTCGGGGATCAAACGCCTGTACGTGTCACCTACCCACTCACTCTTACACCAACTTACTCACTTAGATGAAAGTAGTGTAAATGATTTTCACTGGGGTTTCCCAGATACAGATACTTCTTTATGTCCAGGTAGCACAGAAAAACTGCAGTTTGTGTGCTGTGAATGTGTAGTATTTTCAAGAAAGCTTCTAGGAAGGTTTGGTAACAGTTGACCTGAGTGGAGCACACACTTCACAACTTTACCTTTTGATGTAATATTTTCTTGTTCAAATAGTCTTTCCATACTTCTGTGTTCTCTTTTGAACACTATACATGGTTATACATATCATATTGTATACAAAATATAGTTTAAATACAAATAATACTAAAAAGTAGGGATGTCCAATATTAACTTGAGGGGGGGGGGCACAGGTGGAGGTCATCAGGTAATTGTGAGAGGAGAACAGCTGCAGGATGTAAGGTCGATTATAGAGCGACAGACTGGAGGCAGAGAGAGTGAAGGAGTCAGGTGGAATGGTGCGTTCAAGAAAACCGGGAAGTTTGACATTTCACACATGGAAAAGAAGGAAAAGTGCAATAGAATAGTCATATTGGGATATTGGACCCCGACTTTATGTTTCTGTCTCCAGTGAGCATGACTTCCTGTTGGTTTTTTGTGCTTCTGGAACCTTCTCTATGTTCAGAGGTCAAAGATTGTTGTGCTGCCTGACTCTCCCTGCTCTGTGTATCTTTCGTGTGTGTGTCTTTACATGTGTGTAACAGGATCTTTACAGCCATTATGCCGATGGTGGCTGCTGGTTTGATCCCAGATGACCCCACTTTACAGCCAATCAGACGTCTCTCATCGCTTGTATGACTCTATATTTGGTTGGCTTCACTTTCTCTGCTAATATTTTTAGCCTCTCTGCATGTGGGTCCTTCCTAGTGCATCTCCTGACATTTGCAAAATTCTGATTGGCTGATTGTGGGGCTGTCTTATTATTGTCGTCCACTGGACTGACTGTGATCATAAGAATAAGCCAGTCAGAATGTAGACGTTTGGGTCTCACATTGTTCCATACTGACCCCAGTAACTCTGAGTGATTTAAATGTACCAAACTAATGCACATTTAACCAGTTTCTACTAGTGAAAGGTAAATTGACTGGCCTATACAACAGTAGTGCACTGACTCCTGTGGTCTTGTGTAAATAAAAGAATGTTAATGCCATTTTTTCTCACATCCTAAATGTAACTTTACTAAAGCTTTGCCTCTCTGTGTAGAAAAGGAGCCAGAAAGTTTACCAAAAGTACATTGGATGATTCTTTTAAACAACTGTGCCGTAGTTCAATGATAGTACTGCACTGCACATGGCCATTTGGAGGAAGGTTCCGGGTTGAGAACTGTGCCGTGTCACTCACTGGGCTACAGCTGTGGTGACCCTAGTCTAAGGGACAATGTGAAAGTGACTGTTATTCAGAAGTGTGAAAACAGACAACAGTGTTTTTTTGTCAAACTGAATCTAATGAAAAATCATAGCTGTTAAAAATCCCTGAGGACTTTGACAGTGGTCAAGGAATTTTAAAACTGGCTTGACTGACATGTGAGGTAAAAACTGACATTGTGACACTAACAAATAGAATTACTAGAGAAGCAGGATATGGATTTTCTTCTACTGATAACCAATAATTACCAACTGAAAATTTAAAGGAAATTCTTACTTTTTGATTAGTTTGTCCAGTGCGTAACACACACAGGTCTGCCGCTTCCTTGCAACTGCAAACTTAAACTGTTGAAACTAATTGCAGCAGTGTTGTTGTTCTCCTACGGAGAAGAACATCTGGAGCCGCAAAGATATGTTGTGTTAGTGCCATTAGCTGTCATGCTAATAGCTGTGTTAGGAAAAAAACGTCTGCTCAGCGCATGGATGGCTCTGTGCAGAGAAGTTGCTGCAGCTTGAAATACCTGAAAACTGACAACTAATCAGATGGTTTCCACTATAATTCTGCACCCTTAGTAATTTCACTGGTACTTACAGACTGGACTTTACCCCCTCGGTGGTATAACTGTAGTTTGCTGTAAATCTGCTTCAACTGCTATTTTACCTTCACAAATATATGGCACTGTTTTCTTTTGCAGTACGTCAGTTACAGATATGTCCTCTGTCTCTGCTGCAGGTTTAGTTTCTTCTCACGTGACAAACAGCGAACTCCACAGCGGAGTGCGCAGTACGACGGCGGGCTTGGCCCGTGGACCGTGAAGGACGAGGTGTACACAGAACAAGCCCAGGAGGCGTTACAGCACATGTAGTTACTGGACACTAGGACTGGTGGAAGTTCCTTAAACGCCAAAACACTTAACACTCCACGATCACGATGATGACACCACTAGTGACTCATACTACTGCAGAAGTGTCATGTACTCCAGGTGAGCGGAGAACATTTTTTTCATGTTTATTTAAATACATTTTTTGACTGATAAGATAGAGACAAAAGGGGTGAGAACTTAACATTTGTTTGAGTAATAGTGGTTTTTCAAACTCCAGTAATGTTTGTGTGTTGGCTGTACTCCAGAGTGAAGGACGTTTTTAAAATATCTACTTGGCTAAAGAATTGGGATACAAAAAGGTGTTATTACCAATCTGTGTTCAAACCAGCAGGGCCTGCTATAACCAGGAATTTAAGGTGATTTCCGAAAGGTTTGCTGAAATCAACAACAAAAACCAAACCTGAAAATTATCAAGAAAATACTTTTGTGTGCCATTCAAGCTGCTGTCAGTGAAATCCTTCGGTTTGAGTCCTGTATGTTAACTGATGGAGGTGTGATAGCTTCATACTCTGACCCTAGATGTCTATGTAAACAGTTAGGATGAGGACAGTGTGTCTGGACTACTGCTCTGATCCCAGTGTCACAGCGATTTAAGTCCCTAAACTGAACAGTGAGTGTATTCACCTCTGCTGTGATGGCTGATTATCTAGTTTGTTAGTACTCAGTTGACCAGTGGACTGGTACAAACTGCACATTACATCTTACAGCTCTGCACATCAGTATCGGCTGTCAAACCTTTGATCACCACTGCACTGCACTTGATTTCTGATACTCACCATGTCAGTGGCCAGTTTGTGGTGAAATTAACTGTAAAAAACAACATTTAAAAGACTTATGTTAAAACATATCTATAGTTGTGTCTAGAGATACACTATATGAGTTTTTTTTACAAATAAAAGCTATAAATATTTTTGTACTGGTGTATTGGTATAATAATTTATATTTTAATTTAGTATTCTTCTCATGACCATTTGTTTACTTTGACATAATGATAACAAATGCTAAGATGTAAAAGTAACAGTTCTGACTCTTTAACAGTTGATTTATTTGTTGTGTAAAAAGAGAGAATGAATCCAATGGTTTGGCTTCACTGTGATTACATGTCCATTAAGACAAAAAGACCAAACATAATAACAAACCAATTCAGCTGCATCTTAAAACGTTTTAGAAATTAAGCTCTGTGATTCTATCATTAATGATCTTGGCTTTTTCACTATCTCAAGAAAACATTTTGTATGTTTAAAACTCCAGTGGCACAGGAACATCCACATTCAGTTTTCTTGTTTTAGCTTGTTAGCTGCTGCCGCTTCATACTCATTTCGTCAAGTTTCTGACGTGCTTGTGTTGAAACTGGTAGACTTTTACCTTCCTCTAGAAATGTTGTCAGAGCACACAAAAAGCTTCCCACACATGCTAAATGTTTTATCCAATAAGGAGCCTAAACTTGTAAGAATGGTGGTCCCAAGTGGGATGACAAAAGGTAGAGGAAAGTGACCAGGGTGTAACATCACTGACAGCAGCTTTATTGTGTTTATCATTTCTGTCACCAGCAATATCTCAAATAATAAACATAAGGTGCCTCACTACAGCAGTATTGTCAACACTGTAATGTACAAAGGTCTGTCACAATAACTGTTTCCTTAAATATTCATTGCCTCAAGAAATGTAGCAATGAAGGATACCGCTACTATATTTCTTGGGCAACTGACAACAAAGGATTGTGAATATTTTTTTGAATCTCTGGTCACAGTGTGGACAGTAGCCTGTGTTTTATACTTGCCTCATTGCTTATGAGATAGTAATCATTTGTCTACCCATCTTAGTACAGCTAACTGATGACTTTCAGATATTAACGACAAGAAAGAATTTTAAATAAGGCAAATATCTAAAAGTGATTGATTTTGAATTAAACCACATGTACAGTATTAAGTAACAGACCCAGGTTTTGGCCTGGCCCTGCCCGTCCAACAGACGGCTTACTAAATCAGTTATATATTTTCAAAAAATTAATCTCTCCTTATTTTTGTGGCATAAATGGGCTTTATACTGCATGTATGTACACTACAATTCAGAATACTTTGAATTTGGTCAGAAATAATTTACCATAAACATTTGTATTTTTTGAGAATGTACTTTGTGCCAATTGCACAAGTTCAACAGTTTTAATGACAACAACAGTGTCAGAGTCACCAGCTGAACCAAAGCACACATCAGTCAGTCATTCTCCTCCTGACTGACCAGTCAAGTAAAATATTGCTGTATGTACATTTATTAGAAAAATATCTTATGCAGCATCCTGATATTTTAATGAGAACTGTCATTAATTGTGTGTATTATTGTTGTTAATATTATTGGCTGCTCTTAACAAACAAATGCAAAATATAACTTGATTTTACAAACCAATGTTTGACACCTTATCTCAGTTTATTTATCTTATCGGGAATAAAAAAAGGAGCATTTAATCAGCTCTATTGTCCTTTTAAAACATTTTTAAACAGACAAAAATAAAAAACAAAAAGGCCGAGTGGAGTAGCACATTTTAAATTAGTCCCCACTTGTTGATGCTTCTCTGTGTGTACGTCTCTTAACTTAACACTGATGTATCTTCTCCCGCGAGAGGCCATAAGTAAGTGTGTTTAAATCCTGGTGGCACTTTAACTTGAACTATTTTTAACCAGACTGGTGGAATAAATAAATGTAAAACAGTGAAAACACTAAAAGGACTGCAATGAAGGTGTAAATGATTGTTAAAGCAGCTATATTTAGTTTACTCATGCACAGCAATAAAAAGTGAAAAGAGATTCAACTGCCCAAATGTGGACATTGAAGGGAACTAAAGATTCACATATGTAAAGAGATTAAAGGGAAACACAAGTAAAAGAAAAAGAGTAATGTTTTCCATAAGTGATGGCAGTTTTGAGCTTGTGATTTCAGTCAGTGTTGATCATTTGTTTCCTTTTGTCCTCTATGAACCCTGCTCAGTTGAATATTTAAAAGATATAATGAAATGATCATTGCTTTATTAAATAAAATGGCTTTTGTCAAAACATGATTTGTCATATGTCTCATTTTTTAATTAAATTATTTGTCATTTTTTTCATCTTGAAATGTTTCCTTGGTAACATATAGGCAAGGATCTGGTTCGTCAACATGTCTTTATGTCAATAATATTTTGTAAAGGTGAGGCCACATTCGAGTATTAAAATAGTAAATCAATCATTAGTGTTTCTAGTTTTGCAAGCCCTTGTATTAGTTTTGTCATGTAGTGTCGTTGTAATGTAATATATTTTTAAAAATTAACTTTTATTTACCAGTAGGAAAAAAGTTCCGGTAAATAAAATCTCTTTGATACAGAGTGATCTAAATGTTATCATTGAATACAGGGTCTCGACGCTCCTCAGTAAGGAGAGCCACTATTGGCTGTCCCAAAAATCACTATATGACGTAAACAGCTCATTTACATATTTTTCCCGGTGCATGATGATTGGCACAGACGCTCTAAATGGGAAGAATGGCACCGTGGGAGAGACAAACGGTGAGTTTAAAAATATATATGTCCTAAATAGCTAAAGAATTAATAAACTTTCTTCTCGTCCCTAATTTCTCAAATACGACCCATGTCCTTCGCCCTGTTTTTTAATATATATTATTTAAATCTTTATTTAGTTTTCTTTAGTATGGTGTAGTTTAAAGCTGTCGAATTGACTGTAAATTCAAACACTTACGCATTTTGAGTCTAGACGAACGCCTTTTACTGACTGGGGTACTCGCAAAAGTACACGTTTGGCTGTGTTTTTACGTGTTTAATTTGACATTACACACAGGTGCTAGAAAAATCCCAAATTGTTAATGTGATATGCAAGATCTATATACAGTATGTTTATACGGAGCCCCTAAAGGGAGATGGGGAAATAGATAAACAAACGTTTCTGGTGCATACTTTGAAGTTTTAGGTGAGCATGTGAAAGTTTCACCTAAATGTCACAGGCTACGTAGAGAAACGATGTCTTGGTTTAACAGCTGATCACAACCAACGTCTTTAGGTGCATACCGCCACCTACTGTACTAGAGTGTGTAGTCACATGGTATGACCAGTTGGATTTGAAATAACGCAGCCTACGCCTTGCCCTTTGATGCGCCATTCATTTTTATATTTTAACCCATAAGATATTACGATTGTATTGATTTTAACCAATTCATGATACAACATTACATCCCCAGCCATGATTTAAAACAGCACAGGAACAAATCACTCTTTCACCATGTTTTTTCTCTTGCATAACACCTCTTTATTCCTCAATGCTTTAAAACCCCAGCATTAAGATTTATTCAACGCTACAACAGCAAAGGTCTATTTATAACATATTAAAATGTCCTACAGGTCACTACCACCTCCTGTGTATTATTGCATTAGTTGTACATAAAAAGTTTGTTTAAAAAAGGCTCCCTTGGAAAAGTTTGACACTTTTCTACCCACCGTGACAGTTAGAGATGATGGGGTGTAGTGCTTAAATGAAAAATCAACAGCTGTTATCATCTTACATGTATAAACACTGATCATTCTGACTTGTGATGATGATGATGATATGAACACAAAATAAAAAGACTAAAAACTCTGAATCTTAGCACGTACTGTTATGACTGGGTATAAAGTAGGAGAACGAGGGAACACTTAAGTGATTTCCAACATTTAGGACAAAGGGCTGCTACAGAAATTATGGATTTGAGCAGTCATAATCTAATCCAGTGGTTCTAATCCAGTTCATTTAAAGGTCCAGTTTGTTGCATTAAGAAGGTTCATTTGACCAGCTTTTATACAGACCATCAAAGAGGCTGCCACTATGTGCTGTAATTGTTCTTGACAAGACCAAACACAACATGTTTGCATTTCAGTTTGGAAACCAAAGCTTTGTCTACTAACAAAGAATTAAGAAGAAGGAAGAAGGAAATGATGTAAGAAGTGGAGAGACATGTAAAAATCATTCACATCCTTCCTGGTATTTTAAGGCCACCATAACTCCATGCTGAGAATGAGAAAGGGAGGAGGGGTGACATGAAAAGTTCTGTTACCCACTGGACCTTTAAGTGAAACCTAAAGATGTGTTGAAATAAATACACCAAAGACAAAGAAATATACATCTGCAATCCTACTGGAAAATATCAGGATGCATGTCAGAAGGAAGGAAGGAGTTACTGTGTGACAATTCATAGAGGTCGAGTTTGCAAACATTTAAATAATACACAAATCATTACATTGCAGATGTGTTTGATCTGATGACAAATTAAATGAAACAATCTTTACCTGGAATATACAGACATCAGCGAACCACATGGTATATGTGCATGACAGTTGTCCGATGCCCACATTCTTAGTTCAATACCATCTAGTACCCACTTGATCACCCATGTGAATGGTTCCCAATTAGAGCACTGTGAATGTTTAATTATAAGGAGTGCTATTAGCTGGTAGTTTGGTTGTCATCTAGGATCTAAGCAGCAGTGGCAAGGTAAGAGATGCTCACTCAACAACTGTTAAAAACAAAATAAAAACAACTCCAAAAACATCTGATATACTGCATACTGCAATTCTTCTGTGGTACTGTTTCACAATGGTTACAAATTAGGGGTTGTATAAATAAAATAAGAAAACTGGTACATATCCTTAATGCTGAGTCCATTTGATCACAAACAAAACCATTCAATGTATTTTAATTCTTTCTGTTCCCTCAGTTGTTGTAAACACTCAAACATTGTAGGTAAATGATTACAACAGTTGACCTTTTAGCTCAAGAACAAAAAGAAAAATGCCACATTGGCAAAAACAGTGGGAGTGAAACAGTTCATCCAAAGCATGTGAAGTGAATATAAAGAGTGCTGACATACCAGAGGTGTTTCTGTTTTGGAAGTAATGTGACCTTTTTAAAATACTTCTTCTAAGAGATGAGAAACACGGAGCTAGGGCCACAAGTGGAACATTATGTGAGCTGAACAAAAATACTGGAAATAGTGGAAGAGCCAGCTCTGTACAAGAACAAAACTTTTTTCCAGATGCCTGAGAAGATGGAACATTTGGGTTTTCATTTTGGTATTGTGTAGGGATAGGCGTATTAGCTACTTCAGTAAACCTCCTGCTCCTTTGCTACAAGAATATAAAAGAATAAGACTGGAATCAGTGAGTTTAAAATGTAAAAGATGCAGCAAAAAACACATTTGTACAAAGAGGAAACATCACTCCCTATACATTGATGGATTAAACTCTATTAGACAGCAGATCATTTGTGAAGTGTGTCTTCAAATGCTTCAATGTCTTTACCATTTCGTTATTGTTGTGGATAACATTTTTTCAATTCACATGAGGGAATACCATTATTATATAATTAAAAAGTTTTAAAACATACCAGAATACATTGGTATTATTTAGCAATCTTACTTTATCTTTATATAATTCTTTTACAAGGCCAATGAATTCAAGTTAATACTAAAGGATATATTCAAGATACATGTTTTGTTTTTGTGGATAATAATTATTAAAATATTTTCTTCTCAACTGCACATTATTACTGGGGATGATTATATTTATGAGAACTGATTAAACCAACCTTTTTGGTCCTTTGGTCTTTACCTTGATTGGCCACAGTAAAGAACAGAAAGTCCTAACATTGTATTTTTCCCCAGAAGCTAAAAGACATTACCTGAAATGATTAATCCATACCAAGACGTTTGTTTAAATGCGAGTAATTTTAAATAATTCTCCTAAAAACAACAAACTAACTGTTTATCTAAGCCCTGACAGAGAAATAAATATTTATGTACACAGGACAATAATGCAGAGGCAAAAAAAAAAGATATGCAGGTAAAATTAAAATGGATTGCAAAGGTTCAGTGTATTATCACTTTTTCAATTTATAACAAACTCTTATAAACAACTCCCTGTCAAGAAACTCAAGTCATAAAAAAAAGTTGTCTATGATTGAAATATTTCTTCAGGTTAGGGCACAATTCAAATGTGCAGCTTAAATATTAAAAAAATACTATGTTAAGACTAAAACAAAAGACAGGGCACCTTCTGTATTTCTATAAGTCCATACTTGAACACTTTCATCATCATCATCTTCATCATCAAGTGTCAGTGTCTCCTAATTAGTACCAAAATGATCCACGGCCATGATCAACTGTTGCACTCCCACTGAAATATAATGGTGCGAGTTGATTGGTTGGAATTCAAGTCCTTGTGATAGTGTGCATCTTTAACCGCGGGAGTTTTATGTTGCATTAAATATAAAGTCACTGTGGGGCCAAGAGTAGTAAGTATTGCTAAGTGTCTTATCACTAATTAGGAAAAATGCAGTATAAAAATGCAGTGCCTCCACTACTACCTGCATGCTGTAGAAGCATTGGTCTATAGGTCATACAAAATGTACAAAAGAAATGTTGCTGCAAAACAATCTAGAATACGTCAGAACAACTTATAAATAAAAGTACAGATGTCACCTGACCGAGCAGCTGGACCTCAGTGTGAAACATAAGTACCTGGTCAAACCCAGTCCAGTTGATAGCTACTGAATCCATCCTGTGTCCTTCATTTGCAACATAAAGGGTATGCATTCTGTTGATAAGGCATTTTGAACGCAAGCAAATGAGAAACACAGGAGTTCGCCCTCGTAAGTTTCCCTGCTTGTTTTGTTTTGAGGTCCATACAGTCAGTACTTAAGCCATGGGTGAGCAGCGATGGAGGCTTTACTCCGGTCTCCATAGTCGTACAGCAACTCCTCGCCTTCGTCAATGTCTCGTGAGGCGATAAGGATGAGGTGTGGGACACCATTAATGTTGTGGAGCTTGGTTTGGCAGTTTCCGTTTTTACTGTGATTTATCAACCTTCCCATTCGACCCGTTTCCTTTGTGGCGTCCACACTGTTGAAAGGCAAAAAAAGGAATATAATAATAACTATAATAAACTTTTTGCCGATATCCGATATTTTCCAAACACAGTTTCCAATTACAATATCAACCGATACTGATATAGGTCTGGCAATGTTTACATTTATGCATTTAGCAGAAGCTTTTATCCAAAGCAACTTCAACTGTCACACATTTTTTTCCAGTCAGTTCAGTCTACAAACATCTACACAGTTAATGATCTAAAAGGTAAAAGTGAAAGAATTCTGTATCATACCAGTATGTTTTGCAGAGATACTGGAAGTAGTACATGTAGCAGCCAGTGGCAGGGTTTTGAGCGTATTCAGCTTCTCTCTTTTTGGCGTCGTTGATCTCCAGCAGGTCTCCGTGGTACTCCACTACATATTCTCCTTTCTGGAAACACCGTGTGGCAAACACTGCTCTTCCTTTCCCATCTATATGCTGCACCTGGAGCACAAGGTGAGATTTGAAAAAATGTGTCAGCGCTCTGTTCTGAACATGGTGCAGTAGTGAAGTCTAAATTGAAATTATTTTTTAGAAATAGCAACATTTTGTGAGTAGATAAATGATCATTTATAATCCACTTGATGATTCATAGCGTGATTCAAGTTCTGTTATTGTGTATCTGTAATGTATGTGGAGAGGCTGATTAGTTTGTTTATGACACCAAGTTTAAGGGAAACGTTTTTCATCAGCTTTAGAGACAGAAGCAGAAAAACCAGCCCACCTCCATTCCTTCCTCTATTCCTTTTGTTATCAGGTCATCTATCAGCTTCTTTTCTTCACACTGTGAACATGACACAACAACACTGAAAAAATATCCCTCTCTCTCTCTCTCTCACACACATACACATACACACAAAGACACACCCACTGTGCATGGCAAATGAAATACAGCTCCTCAGTGTTTAGTCAAGTCTGCTTTTGGATGCAGTCAAAGCCAAAGTAATTCAACTGAAACATGTGTGCTGTGGGTGCAGGTATGAAGTACCAGCATCACCTGTATCACCTTAAAGATCAACAGTTGAAATAAGCAGCAACACATAAAAATAAATACTAAAAAGAATTCTTCTTACCTCTAGAACTGTTTTACTTTTCCTTGAGCTGCGTCTGATTGGATAGTAGTCAGTGACTTTTCTGTTTTGCACGTTCTTCCCAGCAGCACTTTGGTGCAAGAACAGAACACAACACCAAAGTCAACGACAAATATAATTAGGATTTTTTTTATCCATGTTGAAGTTGCACAGTTCACTACAACGAAATTCAATTTGTCATTCCTCAGAGGAGGGAGGAGGTGAATTTAACATCCACACAAAAATGACCAAACATGCATTGGTGTGATGTGGTTAAAAATGCTAGCGATCAGCTCATTGACCTGGAGATCAGATTATTAAGGATGTGACACTGGAGAGAAATTTAAAAGTGCCAGCTTACATTCTTTGTGGTGTTTTCTTTCTGTCACTCTTGGGCCGCACTTTCCTTCTCTGGTGTCGATGTAGAGAGCTGACGGTGTCACTGAGGAGAAGACTGTGGCATATGCCATTACTTAGAGGCAGCGAGGACTCGGTCTGTGAGGGAAGGCAGGTCTGAGAGCAGTAGAGCTGTGGAGGTGATAGTTGTTCATCTGACCAGCAGGGAGGACACCAGCTCTTTGAGTCTTTTGGCATAGTAATAGTATTTGTTCTGTAATCTGGGGAGGGAGGAAACAAACGGTAAAAAATAAGAAAAAAAAAACTATGTAATTTGTGTTTTCTTAGAATCAGTCACTTCTCTGGTCTATATTCTACAGACAGAGAGAACATGGAATTATTTGTTTGGAGAAGTGAATGGACCAGTCTATCCTCAGATCTTACCCTGCTCCTGCCTCTCATCATTTTGCTGTAGGTTTCTTGTGGAGAACCTCTCTTCTTGTATCAGAGTGATGGACTTTTCATCCTGACTCTGAGGTGAGGACTTGGTGTGGTTTAAGACAGCGACTGATTTGCAGACAATATCCTGTAATTACAGATGGAAACAAACATGCTTGAATATTTGTGTTATGGTTTTTCCACAATTGTTTGTTTTCTTTATATTGTAATTTTGCACCCATCTTCATAGGCTAGTAAAGTCAAAGGGTCTCTCCATAAAGAAACAATTCATATTAATACTGAGGGCTATGATCATACTTTTCTGGCATTTGAGGAGAGAATACTGGTGTGCAGTTGTCAGCTGTCAAATGGTTAATATTTCTGGCTTCTGTGCCACAGCACCTCCCTTATCCTGGAATTCAGAAGTGCCATGGCCAGGACTGGCCCATCTGACAACGTGCAGAGAGCTGGAGTGCTCTGTGTTTCCATCATGATGTGTGGGTTTTTTTAATCCAGTAAATAGCCATTAAATTCTAAACATACATGTATCTCTTGTTCCATGTTTGGAAAGACAATTGGATATGTTCCAGATTTATATATATATGTGTGTGTGTATATATATATATATATATATAGAGAGAGAGAGAGAGAGAGTTTTTTTTTTTCAAAAGACAATGAACAGAAAGAGAGTCTATACAGCATATTAAAATATAAACGACACCCTTAAAGATGAGGTGTAGTGTTTTAATAAAGGGACTTGCTCTGAGTGCACTTTTAACCAGCTAATAACTAACTACCTAACTAAAACTTTTCTGTAGAATCTCACAATACATGCACTTGTCATTTATTGTGAGATTCTACAGAAAAGTTTTAGTTAGGAGGAAACACTCCTAGAGTGTGTCTTTGCACTTTGAAACGCCAAGTTTGAAATTTGATATGCACAACTCACTCACAAACCAAACAAACGAGTACAGACAGAAACCGTGTTTTAAATCAAAATGCACCGTATTTGTCGATCAGAACGATAAACGTTATCATGATTTATCGTGATTTTTTTCTTTAATTTTCTTTACTTAATGCAGCACACAATTAACTATGTCAAAATGGCCTGCGATCCGTCAAAAACCCACCGTTGATTCAACATGGTTGTTGCGTTGATATCGATCAACACGGCGTTAAAGAAAAAGGTTGACAAAAACTTGGAATTCGAATTTTCTTACCAGTGGTGTGGGAGGGGCTGCAGGGAGGGTCCCATGCTGGCTCCAGTCCCTTTAACATTCAGTCAATCATACAGTCACACAGGCCTAAAGGCTGCTAATCTACAGACCGAATTAAACCTCACTTTGATACTCGCTCGTTACCCACAACCTCTGAAGCGAGTCAGTGTTTGTTTGCGGACTTTTAGTCAGAAAAAAACAATTCTTTACTGTGGACTCAAACACATAGGACGTCATGAAAAAAAAACTCATTAGAGGCTAATGTTAGCAATCATGTGTTCCACAACACAGCTAATGTGTAGCCTTTAAAGTAAACTCGGAGTAAAATGTGTACTTGTTGAGACTGTTCTGCGGCAAAGAAAAAACCTTAATTTCACATTGAAGTTCAAAGATTGTCTTTAAAGAAGCTTGGCGGATATTAGATAAAGAGGTGATGCCCTAACCAGCAAACTTACCCCGTTCATGACTTGTTTTCGTTGCTCCTATCTCGGTCTTGTTGACTCCGCTAAATGGATAAAATAATAAATGAAAAGCTTCACCGGTTCAGGAATTATCCGTGACCTCATGCAAGCCAATGTTCTCGCTCTGTAGTGGTCCTGTTCACGAGGGCTGTGAGCCTGTGAGCAACGTTTTTCCACCTCCAAGTACTTAGCAGCTGCAGCCTCCGCAGCTCGGGTCCGCCATTTTTAAACATGGGACTGAAGGAGAGGGGGTGGAATATGGCGCCCTCTGTGGGCCGACAGCGACATTGCAGGGTACTTTCCAATGCCTTCTCCACTCACCTGTCTCAGGACTTATTATTAAACGGCTTGCTGTCTAGGGCATATGTGTCAAACTCACGGCCCGCGGGCCACATCCGGCCCGGCGTACAATTATATCCGGCCCGTGAAATCATTGTATTAATCTAATATAATGGCCCGGCTATATGAAACGCTGATAACTCTCAAACTACAGATCCCATAATTCAGCGCTTCAGCTGCCTTGCCGCCGCAAGACGCGGGAGCCTGACGAGCGCAGCCACTTTTGAAACCATATAATACTGACAAACAACTCTTTGGCCAGTTGAAAAACAAGACTGACAGGTGCATTAACCGTGAGTCTTCAGTGTCGGGAAGCGGAGACGTGACGCCCGGGGATGAGCTTATATCGTTGAATTTAAATTTTTCTACGTTACATAAAGGCTGTACGGAGGGAAGCAGGGTGACGTTTCTGTTGCTGTGGGTTTCGCGGATGCTAATCCCTCACAATGGCCAAGAGAAAAGTTGACTCTGAAAACAGAGCCTTTCAAAACCGATGGGAGGCTGAGTACATGTTTACTGACATTGCCGGTAAACCCGTGTGTCTTCTTTGTGGAGCTAATGTGGCCGTAATTAAGGAATATAATGTAAAACGGCACTACGAGACAAAACATCAGGATAAGCTAAAAAACCTGAATGCAGAGCAGAAGATGCAGAAAGTCGAAGAGTTAAAGAAGAATATGAAGATCCAGCAGATGTTTTTCACCAGAGCAAAATCCCAAAGTGAAGCTGCTGTGAAAGCAAGTTTTATAGTGGCAGAGGAGATCGCCAAATCAGGCCGACCATTTTCCGAGGGAGAGTTTCTGAAGAGCTGCATGATGAAGGTGTGCGACATCTTGTGTCCAGACAAAAAGCAGATGTTCGCAAATGTAAGCCTGAGTAGAAATACGGTTGCTGATCGGGTTTGTGAGATTGCCACTGATTTGAGAACACAGTTGAGTGAAAAAAGCAGAGACTTTGTTGCATACTCTCTTGCTGTGGATGAAAGCACAGACATGACGGACACTGCACAGCTGGCGATCTTCCTCCGTGGAGTGGACTCTAATTTGCACATTACAGAAGAAATATTGGACATTAAATCGATGCATGGAACTGCAACTGGCAAAGACATTTTTGAAAACGTGTTGTCAAAGTATAACCGACATGAAATTGCCCTGGGACAAACTTGTTGGACTTACTACGGATGGAGCACCGGCAATGTGTGGTGAAAAAAGTGGACTAGTGGGAAGGATGCGAGTAAAGATGCAGGAGGAGAACTGTGTTGGTGAGTTAACCGTATATCACTGCATTATTCACCAAGAATCGCTGTGTGGTAAAGTCCTAAAAATGGAGCATGTGATGAACACTGTAACGCAGACCATAAACTTTATCCGAGCTAAGGGATTAAATCACCGGCAATTTCAATCTTTTCTGCGCGAAATAGATTCGGATTTTGCCGACATTCCTTATCATACAGAAGTACGTTGGCTGAGTCGGGGAAAAGTTCTCAACAGAGTTTTCGAGCTCATTAAAGAAATCTGTCGGTTCATGGACAGTAAAGGAAAAGATTCCACAGTTTTGCGGGACGAAAAATGGAAATGTGAATTGGCGTTTCTGGCTGACATAACAGCTCATCTCAACGTCTTAAACCTGCAGCTCCAGGGACGTGACCGCATGATCACTGACATGTATGATGCGGTGAAGGCATTTCAAGTGAAGCTGCTCTTGTGGGAGACACAAATGCACCAGTGCAACTTGCCTCACTTTCCCCGTTGCCAAGTAATGATGAACCAAGTCGGCGCAGCAACGTTCCCAAATGCGCACTTTGCTGATAAACTGAGATCACTGCGCACTGAGTTCGCACGGCGCTTTGGTGACTTTGAAGCACCAAAAAATAACTTCGAGCTGCTTCGCAACCCATTTGCCGTCGATGTGGAAACTGCACCTGTACAGATGCAGATGGAGCTGATTGAACTGCAGTGTAATGGGACACTTAACGCAAAATATGACACGGGCCCGCACAGTTTTTTCGCTCCATTCCTGAAGTAATGCCCCAGCTCCGTCTACATGCGGCTCGAACCTTGTGCATGTTTGGTAGCACATATCTATGTGAAAAGCTGTTCTCAGTGATGAAGCTTAACAAAACAGTACACAGAAGTCGTCTCACTGATGAACACTTGCAGTCCATCCTGAGAATCTCTGCAACACAGGACCTCACACCAAACCTGAATGAAATTGTTGCCAAAAAAAATGCCGAGCATCCAGCTCTGACAAAATGGCATAAGAGCAAAGAAAACTGAATATTTTAATTTGTTTTTATTTTAACTTTTGGTGAAGAGCACAAATTTTATTTATATTTGCATTTTTTCATATTTTAAATTTGTATAGTTTTGACAGGAGCAAAGTATTTTAAGTTATTTATTAATGTTTAAGTTTGTTTATTCTGGAATAATATTCCTGTCTGTTTTTAATTCATATTTGTGTTAAAAAAACGTAAATTTTAGTGTATTCAATAAATGTTTATCCTGTTCGGCCCGCGACCAAAGGTGTGGTTTGAGTTTTGGCCCTCTGTACAATTGAGTTTGACACCCCTAGACTCTAGGGGATACATTATGGATTAGCACAAAAATAAAGGGGGATATAAAGGGACCTATGTCATGGTAACCCATTCCCATCAGTATGTACCCCACAGATTTGATAAACCAACTGTTTGGGAAGGGAGTTGTGCAAAACATTTTCTAAGAATGGGAGTCCATTACTTCAATTTCCACTGATACACTGTAAAATTTGAAAAAGGGGCTTTTAATAAATTCCTTTGATGCAGTCTGCAAGGGTTGCTTCTTTTTCAATGTATTGTTGTCATTTAGTTGGTGCTGTACAATTAAGATAGGGAAGGACCCAAACATATACATTGATTACAGTGTAGTGGGAGTAAATAAAAATGGGATATTTGTATTTAAAAAAAATTAAATTATCCTCAATCTCCGACCCAAACATATACATTGATTACAGTGTAGTGGGAGTAAATAAAAATGGGATATTTGTATTTAAAAAAAATTAAATTATCCTCAATCTCCCTTTAGTCTTTGAGGTCTTTAATGTTTGCCACTGCTACTCTCCTCTCCCCAAAAACAATTAAAAACAGAAACCTTGAGTCCTTGAAACAATAATTCTAGAGCTCTCTCTTTTATTGTCATGGAATTGCCTTTATTACAACTGCTTGATAATGCTTAACCTTTTATGAGTCTCAGCTTTTGATGAAAGGGGTTCCTTTAAGGTCTTATATTGTTGGTCCACTGGTGGAAGTAAAGCAACTATCCAAAATTCCTCATCTATTTTTTCTTTTGATTTTTCGACTAAGAATCAACTTCATCAACATATTGTAAGTCAAAGAAATTTCAAATTTAGGTTTTTATCAAACACTTGAATGAAAGTGCACAGGATAGGTACAAAGGTGTAGTTACTGTAGCATAGTCTTCTATTACTTAGGTCTCTCAGGGTTATGCAAGGCCTGAAGGTGATCTAAGCAGGATAGACCCAACTACTGCATAAAACTGCAGTCTATGATTCAGTTTTGTTGTGAAATGCAATTTTCAGACATTTCGTGAGGGGACTAAATGTTTGGTGATGTAAAGTTTGGTGGGTCAAGTTCAAGTGTTAGTTTTGGCAAAAGTGTGTGTGTCAAATGTTTCAAAGTTTCAACAAACTTTTTAGTTGAATTGTGGAGCTCCACAAAAAGTACCTTCTTATATCCACTACCATTGCAAACAGTTTGTGGTCCTTCTCCACCCATGCAGCAACCCATTAGGTGCAGGTAGATAGGTAGATGAGGGTGGTGCATGACGTCATTGTTTACATTTCTGATCTTCTTCTTCTTCTGCTTTTGTGATATCCAGTAAAAAATACTTATTGAAAATTAGATACATGGTTATTGTTATAAAAACAATGTCAGTGACAGGTTTTGATTTTTATAAAATAATAATGTCGATATACTACACTGAAATAATAGAATAGAACTTCCAAATTTGCCGTCATCGCCACCTGCAGGTCAGAAGGAGAAGAATTAGAAGGAGCTAATGTTCACATAATAAATAGCAGAACACTGCATCGCAAATCTTTGAGGCCTCGAGGGGCACCAATACGTCCCGGCTGTCATACAGCGCACGCAGAAGAAGAGTTTGATATCGTCACTTCCGCCGTAGATCTAGCCGTGTCACGTGACGTCGTGTTAGCTCGGTGATTCTGCTATGTTTGTCGTTTGTGTTAATGGTTTTCAAATGCAATATTTTTTGCAATGGTTAGTTCTCCGACGTCAATGGGTGCTCCGCGGCCACTCTGACTGTCGTTTTTACCGACGGAACGAGCAATTTTTGAACAAGAACAAGGCCACTGTGCTTTCGCATGTCACGTGACCAGCATGCGGCGGAGCATTTGATAAAAAGATGGCGTGAGCGCGTCGAGGCGAAGAGGACAACAACCTGCCGAATGAGAGAGCGTTGAACGACAGTCAGGTAACATCGTCTGTGCGACTTGTAACTGTTTGTCTAACATCATCTACACAACACATTTCTTAAACACGATAACACAAACCCCTATTTATACACGGTTATTGTTTAATGCGCGCGTTGTTGTGGAAAGTGTAGCGTTGTTAAACGCGTCTGGTTGCTAACCTCGGCTAGCTACAGTGATGACACTGCGTGAGAGCGGTTAAAACAACAACAAGAGCTGACCGAGCCGCAGGGAGGTTGGAGAGAACACTGAGCCCTTCACTGTTGCCTTTGTAAGCAGAGGTGAGCGATGTAGCTGCACATGCCAACATGTGAAGGTAGAGTTTGCTAACCTCGAATAACACAAATATTTGCGAATAAATGCAAAGTGAACGCCCAACTGTATCGCGGATAAACTCAAAATAATCATTTGATATTCACGGATAATAGCATGTGTGGAAGAGAGCGGGGAATTAACATTTATGACATTTGAAGCTTTTTGAATCTCTTGACTTTAATAGCTGCACTCTGCTGCTGGCTGATATCACTACTTGTCACTAAGCACATAGCTGTCTTGTTTCGCTCGTTGTGGAGGAAACGTGTAAATGTAACTAGCTACGGTCATGGCTTAGCTGTGTCACCCTGGGCTCAATAACAAGGACGTTCTGAAGCTAAAGAGACACTGCATCGTTGTTGTCCACTGCAGTTTAACCTTAAGAGAAACAGCAAGGTAAAATTGTTTGGTACTACGACACTGTAACGCTAGATCCTGTTAGTTTGTAATGATTAACAGTCTTGAGATCTCGGAGAGTACATGAGGTAAGGGGGTTGTGTTGAGGAGGGACCAGGAAGTTGAAAGCAGGGCATTGCAAACACGTGTCATGGTTTGGGTCACTTTAGCTAGTGTCTCTGCTGTGCGTACGATCTGTTGGGATAAACGTTAATTGTGTTTTTACTACCGTTAATGTCGTAGTAGTAAGGATAATCCGGGAAGGCGTCCACAGGTTTAAGTTTCATTTTCACTTCTTCGGCAGTCTTTGTAATAGTTACTTTAATAAAATGACTGGATTTAGAAAGCCTTCTGAATTTGTTTCTTATTTTTTTAACTGTATTTTTTGGTCAAAGTTTTTTTTTATTTTTTCTGGTCAGTCAGCACCACTGTCCTTACATTAACCAATAGGTCCGAAGGAGCTGTGTGTGCATTTGTGCCTATCTTATATCATATGATATATTTATGTAGTGTCACATCTATTTGTTTTGATCAATAATTTGTAATACTGTATCAGTGTGTTATTAATGTTTAGTTGTGAATCTTGCAGATGGATCCTGGTCAGGATTTACTTCTCGCTGCATTAAGTGAGAGTGGCATTTGCCCAAATGATATTGGTCTTTTTGACGTTGATTCTCAGGATGTTACACAACCATCAACAACAGAGCAGGTACAAGTGTCTTTAATCGTTGATATTGATATACACAATTTATGGTATACTTTAATGTGTTCATATATTTACCCTTTCTCCAGTCCATCTCCATCAGTGCCCTGGATGTTGGAGGGGGAACGGAGGCAGTTAAAGCTGAGACTCCGCCTCCAGCTCCTGTAGTTGCTTTTCGGGTGAGATTACTGAATATGACGTGACAATTATGAAATTAAATTTTTTTTAAAATTTGTGTGTTGTATGTTTATTGCAATGTCAAGACTCAATGTCTTCAATGTGTCTTAACAGCACAAACCTCAGCCATCAACCACCACGTTTGTCTTAAATCAGCTGAATCAGTTGCCAACACTAGGAACGTCTATCACCAAGCAGTCAGTCACGAACCCTGTCAAACATACCATAACTGTCACCAAGGTGGTCCATGTTGCAAATTCAGCCCTAAAGGGTTCATCTTCCCCCTCTACTACAAATGCTCCTTCGTCAACCACAGTTGTGTCATCAAACAGAGACCAGGTAAGTTTGTGCCTGCTGTAGAATCATGGCATTCTCCCACTTTCGGTTTGTTTCCTTTGTTTTATTACAAGGCCTTGTTTAGCCTTTACATTTTTATTGCAACATATATTGGTGATCCAGTGTATTACTTCAGTTAGATGAAATGATATTTGACTGTGTATGGGGTTCACATATAACAGGTTAGGTTATAGATGAGTGTTTGTCAATTTTTTATTAAACTTCACCCAATAACCAACTAAACCAGGATTTGTTTTAATTTTACTGAACATGACAACACCTTGACACCAGAGAACCAAGCATTAGAACCAAGTCTCTTGGTTATAAAATTGCAAATATTTTCTGTTAACAGATTCAGTTAAAAGACTTGCTTAGAACTGGACATATGAAGAACACTGTCCTAAAGGGCAACAGTCTGATGGAGCTGATGAAGCTGAAGCCTCCGCCTGATATCGCTACACCAGTGGCAACAGCCACAGGTCCAAGTAAGTTCATTCATTCAAATTCATGTTCTTGATTTTTATTCCAATTTGAGTGGCCAATGTGTTAAACATTTTGAAACTAGAGTGTGCTCAGGATAAGAACTTGCTAATGCAGCATCACCATCTGATGTGCTGTTGCTGCAGACCTTTGTTAATGGTGTATGACCATTAACGTGAAACGGTCTTTTACATCTTATAAACAATAGCTGAGTTTGGCTGTTTCATCAACCAGTGTTATGTGTCCCACGCAGCTGTTTCTGTTTTGGCTCATCAAGTTTCAGCCTCTTATAGGAAATTAATGATTCTTGGATCAACCGTGGTTAAACATACACCTGTGTACAAACCTACTAACTCTCTGACTTTATGCAAAAGTTGTTGCCAATGTAAAGTTAGACATCATATAGACAGGTATTGCTGTTAAATTTAGATTGTGGTGTTTGCGTATATATTTTGTACATTATGTGCAAGATACAACCATCTTTACCTATGGAATATTGTTGTATAATTATATTATAGACCAGTCAAAAACTCCACAGTGGATAAAACTATACATATCACTTGTATCCATATACAGTGTTCACTTTAATATACTCTGTTATTAGGAAAATATTTTAGGCATTATTTTTTTCATGGAACATTATCCTGATAGATGTTTAGTCACAAATAACTCGGTAGTACTGGCTTTCATCAACAATCCATGCCTTTGTTTCAGGTGAAGTAAACAATGGAATCAAAAAGGAAGTAATGGGTAAAGAAGCCACCAGGATCTGGCTCAATGATGAAATGAAAATGCAAAACTTTTCACATTCTCAGGTGAGATTAATTTATTAAACATTCATTTAAACAATTGCTGCCCAATGTGTCAGTGTTGTGAAGGCACCTTAGTGAAGATGGTTTAATCTCTTAAGTAGTCATTCCAACAGCCATTTCATTTGATACTCAGAAATTCTCAGTGGAAGAAGAGCCTGAGGAGGAAGATGATGACGAGCTGGGTCATGCAGAAACATACGCAGAATACATGCCCATGAAATGCAAGTATACTTTGTATAGTATGAGTGTAGTGCTGGTTTGACCTAATAAATGTTCACACCCACAGCTTTTTTGATGCACGCGCACACTATGGTAACATTGTAAAGCAGTATCTTCAACAATGAACAGCTGTCAAATAAACTGCATTTACAATATTGGGCAATACACAGTGTGGTAAGACTCTTTGTGCAACTGCTTTTGCTCTTTTTGAGGTAAAACTCTGACCAGAATTGTTTTTTTTTTGTCCCACATGTAGTGAGGATTGGCCTGCGGCATCCTGACTCTGTGGTGGAGACCAGTTCCCTCTCCAGTGTCAGCCCCCCTGATGTGTGGTACAGGCTGTCCATCCCAGAAGAAACCATCGATCGAGGCAGTCTCTCTGCTCTGCAGCTTGAAGCCATCACATATGCAGCTCAGGTAAACAGCAGTTATATTTGTGGCTTTGCTCCTTGATGACTAATTTCAGTCAATATTGACAAATATCAGTCGTCTCGTAAACAGGTAGTCACCAAACACTACTCTTCGAAAAGCCAGACTTAATTTTCATAGTCCAACTTGGAACATTTAAAATGCAACAATTCATATTGGATGTTGACAACGTTTGGGTTTGGATTGCATTAAATACGGTGCTGTTTTAACTTTGGTCTTTTTAACTCTGCCACAGCAACATGAGACATTCCTCCCCAGTGGTGATCGAGCTGCTTATTTGATTGGTGATGGAGCTGGTGTTGGCAAAGGTCGAACCATTGCAGGGATCATCTATGAAAATTACCTCCTGGGCCGAAAGAGATCTCTTTGGTAAAGACTTTTTTTAATGTCTCCTTTTTTTTCTTTTAAATCTTTAATATATTTTAATAAAGAACATTTTATTTTATATTCATCTCTTTCAGGTTCAGTGTCTCAAATGATCTGAAGTATGATGCTGAACGGGATCTAAGAGATATTGGAGCCAAAAACATTCAGGTTCACTCACTGAACAAGGTAACTGCACTGTGCTTGAATCGTGGAATTCCCTCTTTCATCCCTCTGACATTTTTAAAGTAACAACTTGTATATGCTTTTTTACCTACAGTTCAAATATGGAAAAATCTCCTCAAAGCACAACGGAAGTGTGAAGAAAGGCGTGATCTTTGCCACATACTCGTCTTTGATAGGAGAGAGTCAGTCAGGAGGGAAATACAAGACAAGGTTTGAACAGCTCATCCACTGGTGTGGGGAAGACTTCGATGGAGTCGTATCCTTCTGTCAAAGCTTGTTGATGGCGCTCAGGTTAAGAGTTTCATTTAGATGTGAACCACTTTCTAACACCAAAGTAGCTAATGACTACCTTAACCAAGTACCTCCAGATTGTTTATGATGAGTGTCACAAAGCGAAAAATGTTTGTCCAATTGGATCATCCAAACCTACAAAAACTGGGCTTGCAGTCTTGGAACTACAGAACAAACTTCCCAAGGCTCGAGTTGTGTATGCAAGTGCTACAGGTGCGTCAAAATGAATAAAATGGTAATCACTTCCTGAACTGAATATGTATATTTCAAGGAGAATTTTAATCATGCATTCTTGATATTTTCTGTGCCAGGTGCCTCTGAGCCACGAAACATGGCTTACATGAACCGACTGGGCATCTGGGGACCGAAAACACCCTTCAGAGAGTTTGGGAATTTTATACAAGCTGTTGAGCGCAGGTTTTACTTTTTTTTAAAAAAATTTTAATTAACCTTGTTTTTTTGGTTGACTCATAGAAAGTTATTTCTAGAACTCTTGCCATAATTTTTTTTTAATTTCCTCCTCCTTTTCATATTACAGAGGTGTAGGTGCCATGGAGATCGTAGCCATGGACATGAAGCTGAGAGGGATGTACATTGCCAGACAGTTGAGTTTCACTGGTGTCACATTCAAGATTGAGGAGGTTCCTTTGAATCAGCAGTACATTAAAATGTACAACAAATCTGTGAGGCTGGTAAGAAAACAAATTTGAACGTTCACTTAACGGAACTTTCCACATTTTTTCCTGTCTTTTAAAAAAAAAATTCATATCAATACAATCCATCCTTTGTTACGCCTCTTTAGTGGGTGAGCGCTCGCGAGAAGTTCCAGCTGGCAGCAAATCTGATGGACGCAGAACAGCGCATGAAGAAGTCCATGTGGGGACAGTTCTGGTCTGCTCACCAGCGCTTCTTCAAGTATCTTTGCATTGCATCCAAAGTCTGCAGAGTGGTGCAGCTCGCAAGAGAGGATGTCCAGAATGGAAAGGTCAGGAGAGAGCCTGCACTATGGCCTGTGTTTTAATGATTCTAATTTACCAGAGGGTGTTATACGAAAGTGACACATTTCTATGTTGATATTAAATAGTTATGTATTGTGAACAAAACCAGCCTGTGAGTTTGATGCTTAAGTGCAGCTGTGGACTATATAAATCTTTTTTCACATTGATTTGGGAACTTCTCAGGTCAAATGGGAATGCATGGATAATAACAATTTTCTCTTTTTTAGAACTTAATAAAATATAAATTCAGGAAATACCTCTCAAACTGTGTTGCTGCTTCTCTCCTTGCAGTGTGTTGTCATTGGTCTTCAGTCCACTGGAGAAGCAAGAACACTGGAGGCCTTGGAGGAAGGAGGAGGAGAACTGAACGACTTTGTGTCCACTGCAAAGTATGTGCTCCATATAGATTTATAGTAAGGTTTATTACTTGGTCTGGTTGAACCAGGAGAAACTAAGAATCACTTTGACTTGATGTGTTGCAGGGGTGTGCTGCAGTCCCTGATTGAAAAGCACTTTCCAGCCCCAGACAGACAGAAGCTCTACAGCCTGTTGGGCATCGATCTGTCTGCTAAGAAGACACCATCACCCAGTGAACCTGGCGTACAACACCAACAGAAGGGCAAGAAGAGAAAGGGTAATGGAAAATTCTGCCGTTGGCAAATAGCTTTACTTGACGTAAGGTCAACACTTGAGGGCGAGGGCTTCAGAGGTGGTCCTTCACTTCTGCTGTTCCTGAAATACCTGAGAGCTTTTGTCTTTCTATTCTTTGTCTTTCTGTTTCTATTCATAATTGTTTTTTTGATCGAAAACCTGTCTGTTATTTTAATTCCTCTCCTCAGGTACAGAGGTTAAAAAGCAGCAGAAGAAGAGACCACGAAAGCATGGTGGTCTGTCAGGTTCCAGCTCAGAGGAGAGCCAATCAGAGGATTCAGACCGAGAGTCTGGTAAAGACGGTGACAGTGACGACAGCTTAAAATCTGTCAGTTCAGCAGATGAAGACGATGACTTCAATCCGTTCAGAGATGAATCTGATGATGATGATGAAGATGGTAGGAATAAGAATTCATGACTGTTGTTTATAGACATTAACTGGCTGTTGGAAGCTTTAAAAAACATTCTTTACTTTTTTGTTTATTAGACCCATGGCTTATTAGAAAAGAACCAAAAAAAGGTAAAGAAAAGAAAAATAAAAAGAGAAGGAAGAGTATTGATCCAGACTCCATTCAAAGTGCCTTGTTAGCCTCTGGGCTGGGCTCCACCCGGCCTGCTTTCACTGCTCCTGCTCCCCTCCCTAGCGCTCCTGCCACAGGTAAACATAATACTGGATAACCAAACAGAAATTATAAAACTGTGGTTTGGCCTGGTAGTAACCCTGCATGTCTGCTTGCTTTAGTTAAGGCAGAAAGTCGGGATACCTGCCTCACAAGTCAGGACGCAGTAGAACATGCACAGAAAATGAAGAAAGAGCTGCTGGAAAAACTTGAAGAGCTGGCGGAGGACCTGCCGCCTAACACATTGGACGAGCTCATCGATGAACTGGGCGGTCCTGACAATGTAGCTGAGGTACAGTGTGAACACCTGAGGTCATGTATTTAGCAGTAATGTTATGTTTTAAGCCTGGAAGAGTATTTTCTAACTTTTCAACCATTTGTGCTTAAGATGACTGGGCGTAAAGGTCGTGTGGTCAGTAACGATGACGGCAGCATCAGCTACGAATCACGCTCTGAACTGGACGTCCCCGTGGAAATCCTCAATCTCACAGAGAAGCAGAGGTTCATGGATGGAGAGAAGGTAGGAACCATAAAAGCTACTGATTTATCTATGAGATTTCTGTAGCCAGGGTCATTAGTCTGAGTCATGTGAGGTTTTTGTATGTTTGCTCTCAGAGAGACTTGACACTACACACAGCACTTCAGAAGAGTGAAAAATTACTCTTCAACAAAATGTGACATTAAATGGTTTACAGAAATTTTAGAGTTGAACTTCTAAAGTACGTGTGACTCAAGTTTTGCACCTAATGACTGGGAGTTCTTACATTTGTGTGTTGACAGCCATCAACGACATTCTCATTTTGAGGAGTTCCTTTTGTAAAATGTGAAGTAAAAAATGAGTTTATTGACTTTAATGAATTTTTCACACAAACAATGTAGCCCAGTGCCCCTCTAGTAGATGTAATTTGAAACTCTTTGACAGAGTGTGACTAACACAGAACTACTTTTTGTCTCAAACTAGAACATAGCCATTATCTCTGAAGCAGCCAGTTCAGGTATATCCTTGCAAGCTGACAGACGAGTGAAGAACCAGAGACGAAGAGTTCACATGACGTTAGAGCTGCCATGGAGCGCTGACAGAGCTATACAGCAGTTTGGTAAGTAGATACTAATCATTGACATTTCTGCAAGTTCTTATCTTTACATACATGATGACGTGGTTAAATATGACATGGTCTTTTTATTTTGCTGACACAGGGAGAACACACAGGTCAAACCAGGTCACAGCCCCAGAGTACGTTTTCCTCATATCAGAACTGGCAGGAGAGCAGAGATTTGCATCAATCGTTGCCAAAAGGCTTGAAAGTCTGGTGAGAACGTCCTGGCCTCGTAGTTTGGAGTTTCTTTCCAATCAAGGCCTACTGTAGTCATTCATATTTAATACCTGCATATGTGTTTTCTCATCAGGGTGCTCTCACTCACGGGGACCGAAGAGCAACAGAGACCAGAGACTTGAGCAGATTTAACTTTGACAACAAAGTGAGTACACCAACAGTTCCTGAAGTTTTCCTTGGAGTTTGTGTATTGCTCATTTTCTCCAGTGGCTCACTTGTTACTTTTTTTGCAACAGTACGGAAGAAACGCTCTGGAAATTGTGATGAAGTCAGTAGTAAAGCTTGATGCTCCATTAGTGTCTCCACCCTCTCACTTTAAAGGGGACTTTTTTAAAGGTATGACTCATCCTGTCTACACAAGAAAGAGAGATTGTATTTATTCTGACATACTTATAATCAAACAGGTTTACCTTGTCTGTTCTCATTTGAACTTGTCTTAAGCTCACTTAATGACTTTATATTTTTTTGTAGAAATTCAATGCGGACTAATAGGCGTGGGCCTCATAAATGTGGAGGACAGATCTGGTATGCTGTCACTGGACAAAGGTATGTGGAAATGAGTGTGCCCTTTGGCAGCGTAGTACCCTGCTTCACCACATGGGGTTATGGTTTGCAATCAATGATGGCTATTGTACACTGAGAATTCCTAAACCTAAACCTGGTGCATTGTCTCTGTCACAGACTACAACAACATTGGAAAGTTCCTGAATCGTATTTTAGGCATGGAGGTCCAGCAGCAGAATGCTTTATTCCAGTACTTCTCAGACACGCTCTCAGCAGTCATTCAAGAAGCCAAAAAGAACGGCAGATACGACATGGGCATTCTGGGTAAAAGAGTGTTTATACTACCATTTTGTCTTTAACATGCTCAACAAGAAAGTTTTTTAAAAGATGGTAAACAAGATGTAAACAAACACACGGTGTTTACATCTAACATCTCCTTTGGTGTTGTGTTAGACTTGGGCTCTGGTGACGAGAAAGTAAAGAAGGTAAACTGCAGGAAGTTCCTAACACCGGGCTACACCACGTCAGGACATGTGGAACTCTTCACAGTAAGTCTGTTAATATTTCTATGACGTGTACTGATAATGGTAGAATAGGCTTAACCTGACTGTTGGTCTCTTCCTAGGTAAGTGTGGAGAGAGGAATGTCGTGGGAAGAAGCAACTCATGCTTGGGCGGATCAGAATGGACCAGATGATGGCTTCTATGTTCAGGTATACAACAGTGTGTTTGACTATGTGGTTTTAAACAGTTGTTATCTTTAAATACTATTTCTGTACTTAAAATATCTTGATATAATTCAGCAGACTAAGTTATATTTGGTAAAATGTCACCTTGCCCTTCACACTAGCAATAAGTGAGTAGTAAGAAGAAACAGGAGTTTTCTGATGGTGTTATACAGTAATTTATGTCACTGTCTCCTTTCTGTTCATTATATAACAAGCCTTAAGATAAGTTACTCTGGGAAGTACTTAATAATGACCTTAAGATATGGTTTTCTTAAAAGATATAATTAAATATTTAATCAAATCACAAACTCAATTGTGGTCCAAATGTCCTAGACCACAATCAATTCAGTTAATTCATTGCAATTAGTTACATTGATTGGTTAATTACAGTAAAATCAGTAACAGGCTTTACTGCTGTAACAGCACCAAAAAAGAACAGGCTTCTGCCTGTATCACAACATTTTTTTTAAGCATTGATTCTAGAAATACTTAAATCTCAACTTTATTATTTTATTTTAAAACTCAAATTTCTGTTTCGTTAACTGACAACTCCCTCCCAAAACCAAATGTTTAATCCAGGAAACATTATTCTCACACACTGAACCTGGGCATGTATTTATAATGACCCACTTAAGATGTTGTTCTTCCATTTCAGACCAGGAACAACAAGAAAACAGCCATATTGGTTAAAGAAGTGAACAGTAAGAAGAGGCTGTTCCTGGTGTACAGACCTAACACTGGCCGGCAGCTCAAACTGGAGACGTATGCAGACATAAAAAAGAAGTTCAAAAAGGTTTGAAAACATCTTTGTTCCTCGTCATTAGTCACATGACCCTATGAGTGGCCGCAGCTCAACTTCTGTCTTCTGCTCAGGTCCTGTCAGAAGATGCCAAGCAGCACTGGACGGACCAGTACAAGTCGTCTGCACTAGTCTGCTCTCATGCATATTGGTATGTGCATTTATAATGACAGTGTAAAGGTGCAGATTAATTTAACAGCAGTATTTAAATCCTGTTTGTACTCTTACGTGGTCTTGTGTAATATTTTGTTAGATTTAGAAAATTAAGGACAGAATGGTGATTCAAAAAAAGTCATTCTGAAAAGTTGCACTTAATTCAATGGGTCAGAATTCTTTCTAAACTCCTGCTGGGCAGTTGTGGAACTAGAATAATAAGCTAGAATAATAATTTAGTTGGGTTAAAAAATAACTCTAAGGACTCCAGAAACACTGTGGTGAGTCACAGTGTTACATTTAGACAACTTCCTTATCAGGGTTAGTTATTTTAGTCATGTCTGCATACAGAATTTGCCTGCACCAGGAAATATTCAGTCACTCAAAGAAAAAAACAAATCAAAGCAGGATTGAATGTACTGTTCCTTTATTTATTAACCTCCTAAAAAGACTTAGACCGTAATGTATATGTAAATAGTAAAATACACAACCTTTGTCCAGAAATACAAATGGGTAGTCCATCATACTGTATAGATAATACCAAAATAGAACTACTGTGAAAATGTACACTGTTACAGGCACTAAATCAAGTGGAATTGCAGTGCAGTGAAAACAGCATTAAAATAAACGAATTACAGTGGTAAACCATGGCTATAGTTCTATATAAAAGTGAATGTACACTATTTAATGAGTAGTGTGGTTAATATGTTTTTATTTTCTCAATACAAAGTTTTTAGCCTCAGACATTAAAGTCTGTCTCTTCCATCCTGTTCCCATTCCCTCTAACGCCAGAGACCGTCACTTTTACTCCACTGTTTTTGCCCACAATCATCTTCATAGTCCACAGTTGTTTTATTGTGGTATGATGTTTGTATCTTTTCATGTGACTTGTCAATCACATACATTTCTGTCTGCCTGTAATTTGTTACCTAATACTTAAACTATTGCTAGCTTTAGACGTTGACCAGTGTTTGTGTTTCACCTACAGGCGGGGCAACTGTAAGAAAGTAGCCATGGGCCTACAGTGTGAAGTCGGTCTTCGTTGTAGGACTTACTATGTTCTGTGCGGATCGGTGCTTAGTGTGTGGAACGAGCTGGAGGAAGTCCTGACTCCTGTGAGTGGAACCAATGTCAAGGTGCAGATTGTTCGTCTCAGAACAGAGGACGAGCAGAGAATAGTTGGTAAGTTAAAGGACTCATTTAAACACATGGGGAACATTAGAGATCTTTTACACTGAGTTATCTTTTTATTTCCACCTTCATCTGCTAATGTTAGGTTTGCAGGTTGTTGTCAGACAAACTTTTATTATTCTGTGTTGAGGTAGTTTTTTTTTTTTGTTTTTTAAAATATTTCAACATTGTACTGATAACCTGATTAAAGTGAACCATCTAGTTCTTAGTATTGTTTCTTTATACAAACATTTCATCAGTATGGTTCATCAGTTTGTTGACGTGACCTATGTAAGGTCACGTCAACAAATGTAAAATGTACATTTTTAACCATGTATCCTTTTTTCCCCCCAGGTTTGTTGATTCCGGCCAACTGTGTGTCTCCATTAATTAACAAGCTGTCAACATCGGACCACTGCCAGCAGCTTGCTGTGCAGGAGCAGCAGAAACGACAGCAGCTCCACCCTCAAAGTCTGAGTCATGCACCCAATACATAGTTTTGGCTGGATCTCTCTGCTTCATTAGCGTTGAGCCCCCCTCCGCCCCTCGTGGTAAACTTCCATTATGAAGGGGTCTGCTTTGGTTAACATCTGTGCGTGCACCACAGACTGGAGGACCACCGATGCTTGATCTGTTCCCTCTCTATCCTAGTGACGCTGAAGGTCTGAGCTGCCGCTCTGTGGCCACTGTGGTGATTCTCTGTTGTACAGCCGTAGATGTACAGCTTTCAGGGTTTTTGTTTTCTTCTTTAATTTTATTCTGCAAAGACTCTAGTTTTCACCTCAAGTAAATTTGACAGGTGATGTATTGTCCTCTGACATTCAGAGTGAAAAATGTTATTGTTCCAGACAGTGTAAACTCAGAGGCCTGTAGCTGTTATTCACTCCTCACACGTACTTTAAGATGCTCGACTCACATCACTCGCTCTTACTCACACACCCTGTCCCGTTGTTCATACCAGAGTCAAAGAAGACGGTGGAAGTCTGGCTTTTAGTCCACAACAGCCACAGTAATTTGTGCTTAGAACACCTAACAACTCCGTACTCATTATTCAGTACTAATGTAGCGGGAGAGTAATTATTCGGACGTCGAGCTGCAGACTGAGAACCTGATAAAAGTATGTTGTCATATTCACTTGTGGACATATCAAATCAACTTCCACCGTCAAAAACTGCTGTTTTACTGTTTCGTTGACTCAGAATGAACTGATTAAACTTACATTCTATATTCTGCATCATTTTGGTGCTTTGTGTTAGTTACACCTCTACAAAAGAAAGCATTTCTTTAAAAAGTTTTGATTTCTTTGTAGTACATAAAAAACAAACTCCCGCACCACTAAAATGTATTGTACAACACTTAAAAAAAATAAGTGAATCTTTGCATCAATAAACCAGACTGAGCCCAGATACATGGGTTGAAGAGAGGTAGTTTAATAAACAGTACTTCAATGTTCTGAAGAAGTTGTTGGAAACAAATTAAATGCATTTTCCAAGCCAGCATTTGTTTATGAGGCTTTTATAGACAACAGGAGAATTTCCACATAGAACATTTACCTTGCGATTGGCCCAGTTTGAACTTGTGCCCCTTTTTTAATGGTATCGCTTAGGTGGAACCATGTAAGAGACACACTGACTGAGGAGCATGAATGAACAACGAAGTTAACTATCCAAACTTCTCCTTTATTCATGATTCAGAATAAAGCAGCTCTAATAGGTGTTATTATCTGACCTCGGCATGAATGGGTGTTCACGTGAGTTCAGTTTTTCTGACCTTTTGACCAGTACCTTGTTAACACTGTACACTCATAGTGGCTATATTAACTGCTCAACAGGCGTAGTGCTGTTCGTAGTAGTTCGTAGCCTAGTGTCGCTTTCTCATTCTGCCACGTTTCTTTACTTTGATGGTACAGGTAATTAAACTCAAACATGAGATTGCGTCACTGCAGCTGACCAATCCCAAAGCTGGTATGATGTTGATAGGCATGACCTTGACTAAAATCTGCATCACTTTCTTGCTTTCAGTTTCCGGAGCACTCTGATGTGTTTACGTCTTTCTTTAATCCACTCAGGGGTTAAACCTGTACAAAGGCCGTCTTTACGTGACAGAATCCCAAGGTTTCACGTTGTTCCTCAGATGCATGACTAGGACTGAAACGATCCTTTCACGCCTCTACTCAGTGACGTTGTTCTGTGGCTCTGTCTTCAGCTGCATTTACAGCTCAGTGTCTTTGCAGCACATTTTCATCAATACCACACTAATGCCTATTCTTCCTTGAACCCATTTTTTAATAAATCAATGATGGCTGTTGTTTAAAACTGCTCTTTTACTCTTTGCTTCCTTTGTGGGATATTCCATTCTCTTAAATCTGCACTGGAAGGGACAGTGTAAATACTGGATATGTGAGCTGTCCCCATAAAAGATGGGTTTTCTGTTCGATGTGTGGGTTATTTACTCGTGTATAGGTGTGTATTATAAGACCCACAAACAGACTAGTGTTTTTGTATCATGCCAATGTGCATTTTATACCATTTGTACAAGGATCTAGGCTGAGTTTTTTTTCCTCCCACCTCCATTCAGCATATCTCACAGTATTGATACATGAAAATACTAATACATGTCTCAAGGACAGCAGTTCATCTCCTCTGTCCTCTGACCTTGTCAATCTTCAATCACAACACAAACCTACGTTTATTTTTTTCAGTTTTCTGCACATGGGCTGCTAAACTAACATTGTTTTGGAATGGGGTATAAAATGTGACGGCAGATCTGAAGTGGAGAGTTTCTCCTTTTATTGCACGAGTTGCACTACTGACAAAGAGTTGTACAAAATTCTGCGTTACCTATACATCAATGATTGTGATGCTCAATAAAGCTTGGTATACTTCTACCTCTCACTGCTGGTCATTTTAGTATTTTACACTTACACTTGGCATTTAGACTGAACACTAAACACATCGTGTAATTAAAGGCAACGTTTGAATAATAACCTATTTGGTATATAGTTAATGTTTGTAGATATAATATGTAATGTTATGGGTGTGGACATCGTATTCAAGGGAGGAAGATGGTGGTATATATGGAATGGAAAGAGTATTACAGGAAATTAGTAGTAAATATATATTTGAATTTTAAACCATTTTAATGTATGATACAACATTTTTAAATTATGAAACATTCAAATCCAGAAAAACATGGTATGTAAATTACAAGTGCTTGTTGTAAATGCAATGTTGTATTACAAAAAATAACATAATTCAAAGTTTATACAGCACCGATTGTAAAATTCTAAGTGTACTGATTTTGATGATGGTGCTTAATGATAGCACTCAGCAATATGGTTGAATGTGCTGTTAAAAAATTAGACAGTAAAATCAGAATATCCAAAATATTGTTATATCAAGGTATTTAAGATGTAGTCAAGTAAGTTACAACTTCTACCTTAAAGAGCACTGCAAGAATAATCACAAAGTATATACACAGTGTAAGAAACAAATAAGAAACAGTTTAAAACCTTTAAATCAGAATATTGGAAAATATGCAGAGGAAAAGTCGGAGAGCTGTATGACAGAATTCATTTCCTGTGGAGTCTGTGGTTCTCCTTGGAAGGAAAAGGTCTATGAATTGTTTCTGTGACTCACCATGTTCTGAGTTTGGTACTGTTTTATTTGGACTGCTTTAAAGTTTTTATTTTTGGTAAAAAGAAAAATAAACAAGTTTTAAAAGTAGTAATATTGGTTTAAATTCGAATGTCAATTTCAACACAAAATCGGATTAATTTAACTATGCTATTAAGTAAAACGATGATGACAAAAACAAACGTAAAATTCCCACCATGGACCATCCTACTCAGGGTTGGAGGTCAGACCCTTTGTCTCAGCGGGAGTCCTGTCCTATAAAAACAGTGTCCACTCTTCTCCAGTCTCCTGGTGGAGAGGGAACACAGCGTCTTTACGGCCGCATGGCTTCACGATAGTACGAATGGATTCCTAAACTTTTACATCCCAATCCTTACACCCGTCTACCTCGTATAATTAAATCTCCTCAGGTTGAATTCCCGCAGCTGAAGCCATGGACGCGCCTCCACAGACAAAGACAGGTATATTCGAACTGCTGCTCCTGTTAGCGTGGCACGAGCCTTTAAGTTAACCGTAAACAAAAGCATTTTACTGCACTAACCGTGCTGTACTCATTCACACTGTACCATCTAACTACTCCCATGTGCACACAAGAGGGTGGCATGTTAACTCATTCTTTCCTAAAAAGTCGCCACTCTGCTTTTTGACACGTTTTTTTAAATCCTCCTCGGCTTTAAAATATAAGTCAGAGCCGTCCACATGTTCTTCTTTAAAATGAGAGTAACCTTTTCAGAGAGTTCAAAAAGTGTTTTTTTAAAGTGTTTTTTTTTAACAAATATGTTACGTCAAAGTGTTAAAATGTTAGTACAATTTTTAAATGAGCGGACAATTTTGCGTTATTTTCTGTGAATTTTAATGTGTTTTTGTGAAAAAGACAAAAAAACAAACAAAGAAAATGAGTCTTCTTGATGAGCCGCAGCGGTACAGTTGCAGTGTTAAAAGCACAGTGGGTGTCAATATAAAGTGACGGCCATATTTGCCGGTGCCGCTGTTGTAAACAAAAAGTGAGAGACAGACGCTTCACTGAATTTCGGGTCATTTTTATTTCTTTAATTTACAATGTCTCTGGGAATGTCTTACAAACCCAATGTCCATCAGCATATTCCGGGAACTTCTGGGAACCAGGGTAAGGAGAAAATATCTGGGTAAATCAAAGTATCGCTTTGTTAAACCGTGTGTTAAATTCAGGGTCTCGGAGAATACCTGGAGAAAGACCGTGTCTGTAGTTTTTGTCCAGTTATATATATAGGGTCAGATCCTGGGAGCTAGGCTAATTCATATCCGCCATTATTACTAATGTAAAAGAGCGCCATCCGTGATATCAACCGGCGAACAAACACGACTTGGATGAAAGACGAGAAAGCAGCGCTTCCTAAGCTGTGGATCCCTGTGCTCTGGGGTCGCGGTCCCGGAGGGCGGCTGCCGTTACGCGGTGACAAAAATGTATCAGTTGTGTCTTCTTGAGCCAGCCTTGTTCCGTTTCCTCCATGATGCTCCTCAGTGCTCGCTGATCGATCTGCCTCTGATTTTTTTACAACTCTTTGCGGACATCTGGTGGCGAAGAAACGGCACTGCAGGTAAACAAAGCAGCGGGAGAGACGACACAACGGAAGATAAAAATTACAAAATCCCAACAATTGTAATTAATATCGGAAAGATAGAGCGGTATAGTAGAAAAGCACTGTCAATTTAACATTACGTTTAAAAGTGTACAAGAATTGCGCGTGGATCACGACGTGTAATTTACGAGACAACGGTTAATAAACAGATCAAAGGATCTTTGTTCATTTCGACATCATTTTGTCTTCCAGTTATTTTGTACTCCTTTGTGTCGTGTTTAATTTTTTCGCGCGTCGTTTTTTAATTTATGTAGCCTTTTACGAGTTTTTTTCTACAAATTTTGTATTTGTATTTTCTATTTTTGTTCCTTTTGTCCCTTTTGCTATCTTTATTTTGGTTTATGTCTTATTCTTTATTTTTGCATGTTTTGTGTTTATTGCTTATTATTCACAGGGCAGATTGTGTACTATTAATATTTGTATTTCTATTTTGAACCTATTGTTTATTATCTTAATAGACAATGGAATCAGGGGGTGTAATAGTATTAGTACTAATATTATTAGGCAACCCCGATAGAAATATACAGTTCAAATAATTTTCAATCAATAATTTCCTGTAACATTTTTTTCATTTGTAAACAGTTGGAAACCTCCAGTCTCCCTCAGCAGCTAACCTGGCCACGTTGCAGTCTTACAGACCTCTTCTAAGTGACTATGGACCTCCATCTCTGGGATTTTCACAGGTCGTTCTTACAAATAATAACAACAAATAATTATGTTCATATTAATGTGGCATACAATTAAATACATTCTTAAACTTAATAAAAAGCAAACTATCAAGCTCAAAGATTTGTATTTTCAATTTTCTAAATACATTTGTTCATAGGTAATGTTCTCAGCTAAATGTGCATATGTACATATTACTCACAAGTAAGAGAGATAAAAGATGTGAAGGGTGTTATATTGAAGTTATCTTGCAATTACTGCTTCTACCCCAGGGCTCCACTGGCAGCCAAGTACCTCAGAACAAATATGCAGAGCTCCTGGCCATCATTGAAGAACTTGGGAAGGAGATCAGGCCCACGTATGCTGGAAGCAAGACTGCAATGGAGAGACTGAAAAGAGGCGAGTACAGACCTGTACGATTGAACAAAGTGTGGTAGTGCACAAGTTCAGTACCTTTAAATTCAGTACTGTTAATCTTAACTGCCTTGGCCTTTCTTCTGTAGGAATAATCCATGCCAGAGGACTGGTGCGTGAATGCCTGGCTGAGACGGAGAGAAACGCAAGGTCCTAGCTACAATCACACATTTGTCTTTGCAAGAAGAACTAACAGTGTTGCGCCTCATCAAAAACAATAAATAACTTGCATGGGATTTCCTGTGAGAGGAGGAGGTAAACGAATAATGAATGGAAAAGGAAGTTCAGCTCCTAGAGGAAATGAAAAAAAAAACCCAAAACAAACAAAAATAACATTTTTGACTCTTAGCGGGGATCACAAGGATCACACTTGTGGATTAAAAAATTTAAACAATTCGTTTTTATGCACCACTTTTCGGATCCTAATCTTGAATTCATATTTAAATAATTGGTTTATGCATGTGAGAGGGCCCATGATTTAATTGTTGATACACTGCATGGCTTGTACAGGGTTAGGGGGCTTTTTGATAGTGTTTGGTCTGTTTTCAGACCCCTGTTACACATGAGTGATTGAGGGACACATGTGCAAACTGTATTAGTTCATTCGTGTTGAGGATGGTTTTGGTATAAAAAAAGGAAAATGCTGTTACTTGCATCTTTGTATGTATTTATTACTCAGTGTAATAAATTGTATTTTCAACATAGGCGTCAGTGTGATTTGATCCTATGCAGACTTGTCCTGTGGTTGTGGATTATGTACAAGTGGCAACACAAAGCTGCTTATTTATATCCTAAATGTTAAAATATTCAATACAACCACTGCAATGGATGTTGCTATTATATTTGTTTTTGCATAAAAAAAATCTTAATACATACAGGTGCATCTCAAAAATTGGCAATTGAAAGTATACAAATATTGAGCATTTTCACCATAATTTGTATTTTCAGATGCGCCTGTACTTCCAGTTTCAATTAGTACATACTACACTGTCACAGCATAATTATTTTACACATTTCTTCTACAAGAATAAACTAATCGATTTGTTGTGGATGTATCAAACAAAGTACATTATTAACCTTTTATTAATACTCTTAATTGTCTAATACAGCTAAAATCTGAAGAATGGTAGAATCACCGTCTCCTGTATTTACTCATGTGCCGCCTCTATCTTGGAACAGCTATTGGAAACGCGCAGTGTAAGGACTGGCCAATCACAGTTCAGCATTTTGGCCACTTTCTGACCAATAGTGTTGCAGGTTGTGAACGTTACAGAAGCTAGCTATCTCTGCAGTGCAGTGGCCAACCAGCAACTAACCAGCTAAATTAACTTATCTAAATGAATATGGAGGGACTATTGCAACAACTCAACAGGTATGGTGGCTACTATCTAGTGCGTATTCTTAGCTTTCTGTCATATCATATACGTGCCACAAATTTACACGGGCTGTCTGCGCTCTGTCTACAAAGCTTTAATAACCCAAGTTAGCTCAACTTGGCTAACGAGCTAACCGTTTGAATTGGCTATGGCGGTAGACGTAGCATCAGATTAGCTGGTTACAGAACTAACAGCCAACTTTACATACATGCAACATTTATTAGTGTTGACAGACTGGGTGCACACAGCATTTTTTACTGTCGATGTTATGGCGTCCTGCTGCTAATGCTACTGTGATATATCTGTGTTATTGCTGGTCAAATAAATCACTCAGTCAAACCTCGACAGTTGAGACTTTTGTGTATGTTATTCATAGCCATAAAACGAACCGCTTTGACACAGTTCCTCACAGGAAGTATGGGTCATGTCAGACACAAGATCGCGGAAATGGAAGACTGTGACATAAATATAACCAGTTTAATGTTTATTAGTGTTTGTCAGTCTGCTTGACACCAGTTGGATGTTGATGTCATGATGAATATGTTTTAGGTTAAAAAAATGAAGTTACAATAGACCAGGAAAAGACCTTCACCTTTGACAGCAGAGTATATTTTATCTTCGTTAATGCACAACAAAACCTCTGTCCAGAAAGATAGTTTCAAAACACATTTTCTTCTTTCTCTAGACATGCAAATGTATTATGCTAACAAGACAGTTGATAACATAAGGCTGTTATTACATGTACCTCACTAGTCACTATATCAACTTTATTTAGTCTGTATTTTCATTTTGCTCTTTAGATTACTTATTAAATGGTGCAGTTAATGTCCGAGCATTTCCTCCCAACACAAGGTTGTCAAAAGAAGGTCATCGCGTCTGAGAACACTGTACTTTAAACTACAGTTTCCACAATCTCTCGAGAATCAAGAGGCTTTTTTCCCATCAGCTCACAAGTTCTTAAATGTTAATTTAATCAAGTCTTTTAATTAGCAAAGAGACATGGTGTGAAAAATACATTATGTCTGGATCTGAGCTACTTACTAAAGCAGGCTTAACAACAGAGTACATTTCTTATTGCTTAAACTTTTTGTTGTACTTTTTTCATTTTAACTTCATTTATGGTTCAGAGGTCTGCCAAAAAAACCTAAAAGCAATCTGTTTTATTGGATTGTGTCAGAAATACTGCAATATCAGCAAGTTTTTATGACATGTATGGATTGTATTTAATTAACAATATGTGCAAATTTAAATGCACTTTGTTGATTTATCATGAAAGTAGCATCATCAATTTATAACAAATGTGAAACCTCAATATTTGTCACCTCGCTATGCACTTAATATACAACTTTCAAAATTTTATGTCTTTGTTTTACTAACCAAAATTCAAATCGTTTGTGTGTGTGCTACACTTATTTCTAGGATATATAAACATGATCTCACTTAAGTTCCATGTCTTCTAGAACACAGAAGAAATTCAGTGTTTTTTCTGTTCCTCACCATCTCTAGAAAATTGAATAAGAGCACATCCCCATTTGCCAGGTTCGGGTTGTTTGTGTTCTTTCATCTTAATTCCTTTGGTAGATTGTCCTTTGATATAACACATAACAGACAGACAAGGTTATTTATAGTGCGTTTATTTCCATCAACAAAGAGAACTAAGGTAAACAAAGCTCAAAACTTCAAAACATGTACAGTATGGGTCACGTGGCAGTAGTTTGGAATCAGGATTGGTTTTTCACCGTTATATTGGCGCCTTTTGCCCCTCAGAAATGTGTTATCAATGAACAGAACCTCATCTGTGCCTTGTATTCTGGGTGAGGGCGAGGAGCTGTGTCTGTGTTCAATAAATATTATTCAGTAAAGGTCTTTGTAGTACTGTTTGCAGTATCAACAAGTGTTGGTCATATTCCTGAGAAGTTCTGCATGCAGTACAGGAAAAAAGAGTATCTGAAATGAACAGTATCTTCAGTTTATTTGTGCATCTGTTTGAGAACTGACAGCTTTCGTGATGGATACAATATGAAGAGCAAACATTTACCCTCTCTGTGCCTGTGGTCTCCTGTCCTCTGTTCTCAGCTGTCAGACTGACCCCCTCTGCATGGGCTCATAAACATGTCCACAGATGACAGTATCTCTGAGGATGTGTCCAGTTCTGGGCCTCTGAGCCATTGCCATGTTGGTGGTTATGGAGATGGGGGTAAGGGGAGCGAGACCTCCCTGGTGTCCTCTGAAGGAACATCAGCCTCTGGCCTGGCTGTCTCAGAGGAAAGACACACAGCCTCCAAAACCACAGGAGGCACAGTGGAGAGCAGGCCTATAGACATCACACCAGCATGTGACAAGATCAGGTGCAGCAACTGTAAACACCTCCATTACACTGACATACAGAATATGCAGTACAATAAGACAGTAGTTAGTTTGGGTGAGCAGTCAAATGATTAAACAGGGGCATTCACTTTAACCACTTCAACTCTTTAATAATATAAGAAGTCCAATATTATCATAGACTTGTATGCTTATTAATCACAATTTATTTGGTGATTTTTAATTCAATAATTTTAATTGTTGTGTAACACAATTGACCGAATTTGTCTGAATTTATACACTGAAAATATAAATAATTAAAAAACATCTACTGACAATTCTACAGAAAAAAACACCCCTGAAAAGAACAAGAGGCCTATTTTCTTCTGATGTTAAATTCTGATAAATAAATATCCCCTAAATATCTTTTTCATATTGAAGAAAATCTATAACGGTTTTAATTTTTTTTTCAGGAGTCTGTGTCTGGGCACAAAGGAAGTGCTTGAATGTGGGAAAAACCTCCCGTTCATCAATCCAAGCTCTCTTGAGACCCTTCAAGCTTTGGTTCAGGAGATCCAGAGCAGTGGAGAGACGGACCCAGAGATCTGGAAGGACTGTGAGGTAGAAACCTGATACAGAGTTAAATCTAGATATAAATAGAGTTAACTGAATGAAATCACATTACCTCTGAAGGATGTTGATGGGTTTGGGATGGGGTAAAAGAAACATTGTACTTCAACTTCCTGTTTGTTTTTGCAGATCACTAGAATAATACATAGAGTTACACTTCCTTATTAATCAAAGATGGCGCAAAAAAAAGGATTCCCAGGAGGTTTTGCTTTCTGCTCTTTTCTGCTACAGGGCCGGTGGCTGCATCTGTTTCAGTTGGTTGAAAAGCAATACCAAGAGCAAATACTCGCTCAGCAGGCACAATACCAGTGCCAAATACCGGTAAGCTC